TATGCAACTGCGAATGTTTTATCTACCCAGCACCAAAATGAAAATTTACAATAAATTGATCTTGGACCTTATGATAAAGATACAAGGTTCAAAACTATTGAAGAAATTCGTAACCCTGTAAGTAATTGATCTGTTGTTAATCATTTACTAAGGGCGCGTCGGGTGATTAACAGTCGGACTGACAGTCCGTAACACGCTTTTGGTGCAAATCTGTGCGTACAATATAAATATTTCGTAATAGTACTGTGTATAATGCCGATATAAGCAGCAATAACATAAAACTTACACTTTTTATTTCAATTAAAATATTGTCTGAAATAATTTTATATTTTATTGATTAAGCGATATTGACAATATTCATAATTATTGCCAATATTGTTTGTAAATTGTACGTTATTTGTATTACTTTGATATCATTAATATTTACTGAGACGACAATATTAATACGATCTCTGTACGGGCTANCGAGGTTATCTTTGAGAGCGTGTTGAGTTTGGTGGAACGTTAAATTGTAGGAAAAGTGATTGTTAACCATCCAAGATATTATCTCCTTGCCCGCTAACCCACGCCAATGGAGATTCCACCCCTAGAGTTCCTTCTGATAGAGACCCAGTGCCTTTAAGCTTTTCAGATTTTGCAGCAATGCTATAACAAACAATGAGGAAGCAATACTTTTTAACTACCCTAAAACGCATGTCGCTGCTCCTGTTTCCTTCATATTTTCATTTTTTTCTTAATTAAAATATATTTCAGAATATTGTTAATTACAATGTGAAATTAATTTGTTTTAATTTAAAACTGAACGGTGACATTTTTTGTTATAATTTACTTAATAGAGTAGTAGAAATTACTATTTAACATATGGCAACTTTGTTTTTCCTCCAAAATGGCCGGTGTTGTTTTTGTTAGGTTGAATGCATTCTTGTTTTCTTAGCCATCGTTTATGAGTTCTGTGGCCCTATTAAAGTATTGAAGAGTCGAGTCAAATTCAAGTTCATTCCTTCGTACCTGCTGCTGTTCTGGTTCATCGGAGTTTTGTTCGTTCCTTCGTGAATCGCGAAGAAACTTTCTGTTATGTTAACAAGTGATCTGAGTTTTCTCAAAGTGCAAATGCTTTTTTAGTGTTGTTGAAAACTTTGCGAAAAGACGCTTTTGGTGTATAATATTATGTGTGTTCATAAATAAAGTAAAATTATTAAATTGAAAAGTTTTTGTTTATTTGCATTTCCATGTGCAATGTAGAATTTTTCCAAATCCATTGTTTTGAAAATAATACAATACGTACACCATAAATTTTTTTTTCAATCATCGTTCGTTCGTTTTAGCCGAATGACGTCCACTGCTGGACAAAGGTCTTCCCCCAAGGATTTCCACAACAACCGGTCCTGCGCCGCCCGCATCCAGGCACCTCCTACAACCTTCACCAGATCGTCGGTCGACCTAGTGGGGGTCTGCAGCACATTACGTCTTCCAGCTCGTGGTCGCCACTCAAGAATTTTTCTGCCCCAGCGGCCATCAGCTTTGCAAGCTACGAGCTCCATCCACTGCCACTTGATTTTAGCGATTCTGCGGACTATGTCAGTCACTTTGGTTCTCCTGCGGATCACGTCATTTCTGGTTCAATCACTACGAGCATAGCACGCTCCATCGCCTTTGACCTTGAGTCTTCTTATGAGGCCCACAGTAAGCGACCACGTCTCAGATCCATAAGTTATCAAAGACTTTTGTCTTGAGACAGTGCGATATTTCAGACGTGAGAATATCACGAAGCTTCCTGAACAGGGCCGGATTAACCATCTCGAGGCCCCTAGGCACAGCTCGTTTCGGGCCCCCCTTTTTTTTGTCGCGGAGGAAATGCTTTGCACACTGTCACCACTGCCAGGGGACAGGGTGGTGTGTAGGACTCTCACTCGGTGCCCTAAAAAGGGCGCTGATCTGTCCTGAAAAGGACGGGGTATACCCACTAAAACCTCCGCGGCGTTGCGTGATCTCCCAAGTGGGGGTGTCGTGTCGCGCGCGAGTATCCGGCCGTAGCCTTAGACTTCCGCGACACCACCGGCGACAGCTCGCCTACACCGCAGACCCTACACGCCCGCTTGTGGGGTCCGATGGGAATGGCCCAAAACGCCAAGCCGTTCCCGTCAGACGGAGGTGCCCCCGCACCCCCGGCCTGCTGGTCGCCACCTGGGGGCACAGTAGAACGGTCGTACAATCGCCTTCTCCACCCCCTTCTCCGCCTGCGGAGCGATGGGGCGAGAGGATCATTCTCCCGCTCACGCTCCGCTGCCTCCTTCTGAAGGATGACCTCTTCGCAAAAGGAGGCGACCGCCTTCCAACATCTTTCACTTCCCAGCATGGCGTTGACCAGGCTCGGAAGCGAAAGATTCCGGCCCACGACCGCAGTGAGGACACGGCGCTGCTCCTCCCAGCCTGTGCAGGCCGCGAGGGTGTGCTGCACCGTGTCATCCGCCGCGCCGCATTTGTGGCACAGTGGGGATTCCTCTCGCCCCATTCTATGCAGGTACGAACCGAAGCAGCCATGCCCGGTCAGCACCTGCGCCAGACGGAACGTGAGGAACCCGTGCGGTCGTTCCAACCATTGGTCCAGAACATCACTAATGGCGTCCAGAGTGCGGCGCCCAAACTGCGCGCGAGTCATGTCTTCCTACCAGCGGTCGATCATGATCTCGCGCTTTTCCTGAATGACGGCGCCGCGCCGCTCCGGGGCCGGGCGCTTTCCACGCGCCTTCTGGTCTGCCATGAAGTTATAGATGACAGACAAGACCCCAGCTTCTAGCTCTCAAGGGGGAGTACCAGCAAGAACGCACGCTGCAGCGTGCCCTACCGTGCGGTAGGTCCTTGCGACCCTCTGCGCTGTGACCCGCTGAGGCCTGGGGCAGCATTCTCCCACTTGTTGAGGGCATCTGCCCAGATTGGGGCGCCATACAGCGCCATGCTCCTCAGAACGCCGGCATAAAGTCGACGACACCTCGTTTGTGGCCCTCCCAAATTCGGGAGGATCCAACTCAGTGCGCCGGCTGCCAGGAGGAGGCGTGGCGCTAGCACGTTGAAGTGCGGGCTAAAATGCCACCTCCCGTCAAGCGTGAGGCCCAGATATTTCATCTGGCCTTTGACGTCAATCCTAACGTCCTCAACCACAATGTGGGCGTAGAGAGCGGCGCGCTGGCGAGGTCCCGGAAAAAAGAGGGCCTCAGTCTTCTCCAGCGCGACTTTCAGGCCGAAGCGTCGTATTCTGCGAGCGACTAATGTGCCACCAGCCGTGCCGCAGTCCCAAATGTCTTCCCCGGGCAGTGACCAGACTGTCATCCGCATAGTATATGACACTCATGCCCGCGAGAAGGACGCCCTGGAGGAGCCAGTTGAAGCCTAGGTTCCACAAGAGTGGACCGAGCACCGAATCCTGCGGAACCCCGCTGGCTAAACCGCGCCGTTTAAGCTGGCCGTCTCTGTTAACATACAGGACTTCGCGGTCCCGTAAATAATCGGCCAGCAGCGCTCGAAGGTACTGAGGCACTCTGTGATGTTGAAGTGCCTAGATTATGGTGGAATGAGGGATGGTATTTGAAAGCGTTGGCCATATCGAATGATACAGCCAACACACCCTCAACCCTCTCAGCCGCCGCAGTTAGGCTTTTTAGCCTCTGAATTTAGTCGACCGTTGACCTGTCATGTAAACCAAAGCAGTAATGCCAACGTTACTAAAATGAATTAGGTTCCACAATATCGAAATATGACGATTGAATGTGTAAACCAAAATTACTCGACTTGGCGGAGGCACTGCACTGCCGTGCCCCCAGATAACAAAAAATAATCTTTAACTTTTTTTTTATCGGGAGTGCCGGGCCCCTGGTCATAGTGGGCCCCTAGGCACTGGCCTAAAGTGCCTTATGGATAATACGGCACTGTTCCTGAACGTTGCCAGCCGAGTTGGATTCGACGATTGACCTCTTCCTCGAAGTTAGACATACCTAAGGCTGGTTTTAGTGACACGCAGACCGTCAGTGCGGATCGCTCCGCACAGCCAATCTGTAATCTCTAAAACGCTTCCTCGAAGTTTACAGATCGGCTGTGTGAAGCGGATCCGCACTGGACGGTCCGCGTGACACTATAACCAGCCTAACTGGACTGTTTGTACTAGGTACATATAAGTGTCAACAACTGCCGAGTGTAGAGTATCCAACCTTTAGAGGAGTGGGTGCAACACGGACATTTGACATGATTTTGTCTTGTCCATGTTTCATTTTAAGACCCCCTTGTTGAGAGGCTCGACTCAGGCCATTGTGCATTGTGCCTAGATCTTCCACGGTCTCAGCCATGGCTATGATATCATTTGCGAATCGAAGGTGGGTTATTTACTCACCGTTGATATTTATGCCGAATCCGTTCCAGTCCAGAAACAGTTTCGGAGTTTTCAGTTCCCCCTGTCTGCTGCTGCAACTGGTTTCGAGTCTTGATCCTGGAGACGGAACGACATTGTGGCGTTTTCGTACAAGCCTTTCAACATTTCGATGTATCGATATAGGTAGTCAATTTGACACCGTTGGAGAAACTGTAGTAGGTACTGCCCAGGTCTCGATCGAAGCTTTCTCATAGTCCACAAACGCCAGGCAAAGTGACTGACTATACTCCTCGGTCTTCTGTATAATCTGCCGTGGCGTATGTATGTGGTGTACTAAAGCGATTGAGAGATTGAGAGGCTGGAAGTCATCGAGCTTACGAGCGAGACGATTCGTAATGACTCTCGAAAACAGCTTGTAGACATGGCTCGGAAGTGAGATGGGTCTATAATTCTTCAACAAGGTTTTGTCGCCTTTTTTGAAGAAGAGTNTGTGAGCGTTACGTACGTAGGTTAAGTACAGCGAATTTAACACCAGGCTGTCAATTAGTAGGCTCAAAAATTTGACAGAGAGGGTTCTCTATTTCCTATGTATTACTTTTCTCTATGGTCAAAACGTCTAAAAACTCCACAGGGATTAGAGAAAAACTCAAATTTTACTTACTCTTTTATTTCCTTTTGTTCACAATAATTTATTATAGCATTCAGTGTTCTACTTTACCTATTCCCTCCAATATATTTTCTAAGTAATTAATGATTTGATTTAAAAATGACGGAAAAATGCATATTTATTGCTCAAAAAGATGATGAGGACTCTGACTCCCTATCTTCATTATGTTTCCAAATCAGCCCGGATGTGCAGCTAAAAGAAGTTCCCACGAATGGAGAAGAATATCTACTAAAAGTGATGAAAGAGCGAAAAAAATATAAAACGGTAACGACGTGTGAGAAAGACTACACAAAGTTTGCCAAAAATCAATCTTGTTTTGTTCATGAGGTGAGTCTAAATTTAACAAATTTGACTATACTATAACTTTAGAACTACACATTAAATATGGCCATTGACTCAGAAATCCCTTTAAAAATCAAAATAAATTGAGCACACTAGTTTTATCCACAGACCAAACAATGGGAACCAGACAACCAAGATACAGGCTATGCCTAGTTTGCGGCCCCTTTAAATTTTAGGGTAAATGTCTCTATAAATTCAAAAGGAAAAATATTTTACTATTATGTCTGATCCACAGCTATCACACGCAAAGGCCCCTGTCAAACTAAAACCCACCATAGAATGGCAAAATATTCAAGTTGCAGATTTCTCTGATGTCCGAATGTATATTTCAAGGCTCTTGGCAAAAAAATCTTCATGGCCAAGTACTTTGACTAAAGCAGAAATAGAAACTAACAGTATAAACAGCTGGAAGAGCTTATTTGCGGAAACGGAACCAACATTGAGTTGTGTACTTGGTTTGAAGCAGAAATTATTAGATAGAGGTCTAGAAATGCTTATTCAGTTGTTGGATGAAGTCAAAAAGGGTGACACAATAGACCACAAAACAGGTAATTAAAAAATACTGTCACTGAATATACCAATTCTTTTATTAAATAGATTTGTATAAATAAAATATTTGTAAATAATTTCAGGGCAATGGATATATGCCTTTTTGGCATGTACTCGACAGCCACTGGTTTCTGACACAGTCAGCATTTTAAGAGATTTAGCCAGAAAATGTGCAGAAATAAGGTAAATACAGCAGCATTATCTGTGTTGTAATATTTAATTGAAAAGGCCATTAACAAAATTAACATTAAGTAATTGATTTTAAATAGACAATTAGCACCAAATTATTACCAAAAATACAAAATGTGTCTTAATTATAATACTAAAAGTACCATTATTTTATATTACAGGTCTCACATTAACCCTGAAGAAGAAAATGCAACTGTGTCTGCTGCACCGTTAAATATTTTTATATGCATTGTAGCTAGGTACTTTAGACAATATGATTTGGCTGATTGATTAACTTTTAAAATTTACTTTAAGCAATATGAAATAGCTGATTGATTAAATAAATTAAGAAATTTTGTACAATAAAAATATTTTACATACAAAATGACATAATATTTTATTATTTTTAATACCTTTCTGCTTACTTGAGTCATGCCACTCGCGAATTTATTGGACTGTTTAATGCATAGTGAACACTGCACAGAGATTTTTTGCTTTCTGTACACATCAATTTAAGTTGCTGACATATTTTGGGACAGTTTTTATTGAATTTTCTTTGATTATTTTCATTTGTTTACATAGTTTATTTATGTTAACTTTTTAAAATATGGTTTTATTCGCCATGTAAACTGGATGTGATTTTATCATAAGTAGGTAGGCCAAGCCCAAGCTCTGACATAAAAGTATAAATCTACCTTCTTAAATATTTTTAGAAAATAATTGTAACATCAGTTTTAAGGGTATTCTTCGTCATCCACGTCATAATGCACACCAACTTGTTTTCTCACAGTGTCTTCAAGTTTCGCCAACAAAAGACTCTCTTTGTGCGGCATCCTTGGAGACTCCAAAAGGCCTGCAAAGTAACGTTTGCGCATAAACGAGTTAATGAAAATGTCTATTTGGGAACTTATTTAGGAAGACGTATTAAATCTTAATATTTTAGGCTGTGTGAGTGCCATGCGAAATTTGTTAGAAGCCCCGGAGTGGCACAGGTGCATGCACCTTGTCTTATTTAGGATATAGGTACCTACACGAGTCACGACATACCAGTAAATATACCCAAAATAGAACAAAAATCTAGATCTTTATAACAATAAGGCACAGCGCTTAAGGCCGCGCGCAGGATTTTGCGATAATGGAGCTGCGGTAATGGATATTTTTGTTACGTTAAGAGCGTTGTCACATTTTTCATGCAGAAATCGAGAATTTGGCAGATTTCGAAATGATTTTAGTCATATAATTTATTGTTATAGCNACCACTTCGAGTGTCTGGAACACAAGTCCCGCGCTGTTTTCAAAGAAGAATGTAATGTTAGAAGTATGCAGTGGAATTTTTTCTACTGTGCCATCAACGTGGATCAAAACTTCTGGGAAATGGAAAGGATCTTCAATCTGTGAAAAATTCAGTCAATTGTACGATAGGTAAACAGTTTTAAAAAAAAGTATTTGTCCTAGACGGTTCGCAACTAGAGATGGGTAGTGGGTAAAAACCCATTTCACCCGATTGGGTTAAAACTGGGTGATTTGGGTAAAAACACGGTTTTTACCCATTATCACCCATTCGGGTGGGTGAAAACAAAAATAGCGTTTTTTTTAAGTGAGAAGTTGTATTTGTTGCTAAGGGGGCGTTCTAGTGTTACGTAATGCAATCTGGAGGGAGAGGAGGTCTTGAAAAACGTTACAATGCGTTACAGTGACGGAAGGGCGGTTCGATTTCAAGTTTTCAAGCAGAAGTACTTTGTAGTTGGTGTTGTTATTTGTAACTTTATACCGTAATGTCATCAAAGAGAGAGTTTGGCATCTTTGGCACCCCTCCCTCCATGTCCTTGCCATGATCACAAATTATTGTGTTCCTACTAAATTTCTTCTAAATAGGTTCAACGATTCTTGAAATAACACCATTTTGTAAAATAATTGATCACATCATCATAACGTGATCAATTTTACGATTTGGACACGATATAAATGCATATTAGTGTTAAATTTGACTTATTACTTATTAATCAATAAACTTAAATGAGAAAAATTCAATAAAAATAAAGAAAAGATACCAATTGAAATAATTATAAAATTATTTGTTTTCACCCGGTGTAAACACCCACGGGTGGAATGAAACGGGTTTTTATTGGGTTTTTACCCTCATGTGGGTTTTTACCCGGGTGGAAACCCATCTCTATTCGCAACATGTTATGTTACACCTACTACTTTTCTTTGGCTTATTAGCTTTTTGCTCTTTTTTCATTTATGTGCTCCATACTTATGTAGAACTTCGCGAAGATAACTGATAAGAATTATGTACTCCGCTTAATTGCTAAATAATTATATAAATCCTCACCGTCATCCTGCCTTTAGTGCCTACGACAGTTGCCTTATTCCACAACTTTACAGTCGAGTCAATGTTAATAACAGCGCGCCTGCCGCCTTCATACTCCAGGACCACGGTGTCAATTATGTCTACTTCCAGCTCGTTAAGGTTACCAACAGCCGTTACTTTTTTGGGCTCATCTTTGAATATGAATTGCGCAAATTGCAGCGTGTATATTCCGATATCCAGTATCGCACTGCCGCCAAGCTCCTTCTTTCTGTGAAGTGAATTAAATAATTCAGTGATCAAGAAGTTCAACCACTTTGTGGAGGTATTTTTCATGTAGTCTTGGGTCCAAAGTGTAGAGTCTACACTGAAAAAACTGAAGGAAATACCTGAGTCTGTCTACAGCCACTATGGGGACTCCAAAATTCACATCCACGTGTTTCACCTCTCCTATTTTTCCAGCTTTTATCTCTTCTTCCAGCCTCAGATACACCGGCGAGAAGCGAGACCAAACTGCTTCCATCAAAAACAGCTTCTTTTGCTTGGCTATGTTGATCAAACTCTGTGCTTGCTTCAAGTTCAAGCAAAGAGGTTTTTCACACAGCACGTGCTTTCCATTCTCGAGGAAGAGCTTTGTAATATTATAATGATCAGGATTCAGAACTCCGATGTAAGCGATATCTAAAAATTAAACATTCAAAGCTATTTCATTCAGTTCTGCCAATAGCAGCCCACTATTGGCTTCTCCCTCACAAGGAGCGCCACCGGTGTATTCACGTTATACTCCACTGGTGGACACCGCGACGAAGATTGCAAAATTGCAATGCCCATCAGTGGAAGAGGCTCATAAAATCTTCCGATTGGTTTTTACTCATGAACATTGGAATCTCCCGACTTTTTCGTTGAGTCACTGCCAACTTGACTTTATACATTATACCTACCTACTTAATTAGGATATTTTTTTGGGAGTTTGCGTTAACATACCAATGTCTTTGCTCTGAGCCAGTTCCTGGTAGCTCCCGAACACCTTCGGGATGTTGTGCAATTTCGCGAACTCTGCAGCTCGGCTTTTGTCCCTGGCTGCCACTGCGGCGATGACCTGGTCTCCCACATCGGGGTACGAATTAAACCCGTTCACAAAGTCATGGCAGATTTTGCCAGCGCTTACGATGCCCCAACGAAGTGTCATCTGGCAGAAAATCATAAAAAGTCTAAAATAGCATTTATGAATATTTCAAACTTTTTTTTAATTCGGGAATCTCTGGAATTAACAGAACAAAGCTAAATCATTCCCTCTTTATTACCTATTTCTTGTGCCAAGCGAGATCAAACTTTAAAGGTTAAATTATAGCTTATCAGGACTATACATTTTTGTTGCAAAAATGCATTAGTGCAACTTTAGGTAGGAGGTAGGTACAACTAGTTATGCCAGCTTGATGTAAAGTAGTAGGTGCCTAGTCGTGCTTGCGTTACAAACAGTATCTGCCCCATAAGGAAAAGCGTGGGAAAAACTTGTAATAATTACCTAATAATTGTGAAATTGTTTCATAACTTGTTGAAATTTTTTTCGCGCGGTAACAGCAACTACTTACAACTAGGTAGTACATAAATGACTCTGCTTTACTATGTTTGTTTTAATACATTTTGCTGTTATTTTTACTTTATTAAAACTTTATATTAAAAAAAGTTAAGGCAATAAATTAAAGTGGATTAAAAATAAAATGTACTCGTACTTACATTGCGATATTTTCGAACAGACTAACAACATTTGCGGCTGGCGCTATCTACCATTGAGTGCTATTATTATCTCATATCAGTTGTAGACATGTTAAGCAGTCGATATGCCTAGTCATGATTGGAATTAATGGAACTTTTAGGATGACAAATAGCTAGTTAAGTAGTTTACCTACCTTAAAATCACGGTCTTTCGCACGTAGACAGAACAAACAATATCGCACTTGGGAAGTGCTTGATTACATAAGTAAATCAATGAAATACGCCAATAAGTTTGGTTTGAAACGGCTTCTCGCGTTATTGCTATCAGAAAACTCTACAAGGGTAAGGTTACGAGACTAGTTAGTTAGACCGGTATCAAATACGTGATTACAAACACGGCCACAATCTGTCGTACGATGCAAATGACACCTCGCTCGTTGAGCCACAGGCACAGTTTCGAGAGAGGCGGTAAATTCAATATGACTCTGCGGTTACTGTGCACTTCCTTGGCTGAAAGACGATGTAAAATATTCTGTCTTGATTTAGGTACGTTATACGATTATAAACGTACTGATTACTTAATTGTTTTTTCAAATATTACGCAATTTATATCGAAAAGCCTCAGATTTATAATCAGTATTTAACATTTTACCACGCCTATAATTCTATATCATACAAAATATCAAACGTATAAATATTAGCGCGTTGTAAATTTTCAGGCGATGACATTAATTAACGGAACATTTTTTAACACAATTAGTTACTTAACTAATTACAAAGTACGTACATTTTGTTTACATTTTGGGCAGCGCAGGACCGTTCATTGTGGAAAACCTTGGGGGAGGCCTTTGTCCAGCAGTGGACGTCATTTAGCGTAGTCATTTGGCTGAAACGAACGAACGAACATTTTGTTTAACTTAATTAGGTTTTCTTTTAATTGAATGAGATACCTACTTACTTATTCACCAGAATTTAATCCGGTTTCTTCTAACTACATCTACATCACGGTAACTCATTCTGTGTCCTACTAGGTTAGATTTCAGTCTCGCCTAGGTGGGCTGCAGGAAGTTACGTAAACGGGCATAATTTGACGTACAGAAAGAAGTAATTATAGTTAACAATAAAATTGTTGAAGATAAACTTTTTCCTTGTTTGATATTCAATCTGTATTGTTACACTGAAAGTGCGTATTTGACCCCACTTGATCTATGGTAATATTGGCTACTGCATACGAATGACTATCCCCTCATTTAAATTCGTAATTGTTAATTTAGATTGATTATAACTCATTGTGCTCATTATACATAGTAAGTCTAGGTAAGTCAATTTTAACAATTTGGAATTAAATTCTTTTTAGAGTAGGCGCACACCGTTGATTTTTAGTTGGCCGATAGTTGTGCCCGATTTTAATTTGTATGAAGAATCGGCCAAATCGAATCGGCGTACCTAGTGTGCGCACTCCCATACATGCCCGACTAAACTATCGGCCGACGAAAAATCAACGGTGTGCGCCTTCTCTTAATGTATTTTCTTCTAACATTCATAATAAGGTTTCTGTTTGAATTTCAGAAGCAATAAAGACACAAATTGATAGTAAATATATATATATTTAATAACAATCCATTATTTTGTTGTCTATCGATGCAGATTAACAGTGCATAAAGTTATTTGTATTTCAGATCTTAAAATTAGTCTAATATTGTCGTTTTTGAACATGTAATAGAGGCGTTATTGCTGATCCGATAGACGTTAATATTGGTAGAAAATGGCATATAAAAATACCTAATTTTTTCCCCTTAAAAAAACGGGAATCTTCCAATTTGTTTGTACAATTCGAGCACAAACCCCAATTCAGACTATTGTGATACATAATTTTAAAATATTGTCAAATCGGTCCAGCCGTTCTCAGGCGAGTAGGGACGAACACATAACAGCACTTTTAATTTTATTGAATTGATAACATGTAATTGAGTATTCTATTTGAAACAGTTTCTTAAGGAATGCAGACATATCACTGATGCTAGAAATACTGTACAAAATAAGATAAATAATTAAAATTGAAGTTTCTTTAAATAAAATCACAATGTGGTTAAAACCGTTCATGTTCATTATCTAATAAAAAACCTAAATTTTATCTAGGTCTTGTGAAAAAATTATAATTAAAATTGTTACCTACTTATAGTAGGAACCGATATTTATTATTAAAAATTTAAAATTGAATAAAAAACATTACTGAATTCTAATGTGAACTTATAAAACAAAGGGAAATTCCTTCAATTGTATTGGCATAGCTTTAGTGGCATAGTTTTAGAAATTCAATAAAAAAACTAATTTATTTAAAGCGGCCGGCGGCTTATGTGTCAAATTACAGACGACAGCGCATTAATCTAAACGTTGCTTAGTAGGTCTACCTCTACCGCATAACTCAGTCGGTGCCTGAGGTATGGCAGCGGCACGGGTGGGGTTAGGTTAGGTTAGGTTAGGCATAAAAAGACATAAAAGAGTCTTCTCTCTCGACTTTGACATAAAAGAGCATAAAAATGTGACGTTTGACGTTACAAAAAACCCCCTCCCGTGCCTCTCCCATACCTCGGGCACTGACTGAGTCAAGCGTTACCTAGGTGTTAAGTATTTTGCAACATAAAAGTTCTGTAACACTGAAATGTGATGTCGATGTACGATAACATTTCTGCTAATCTCAGAAACTGGCATCAAGAGCCTGCTTCAAATCTTCAATCAGGTCCTCAGTGTCCTCTAGCCCTACGGAGAGGCGAACCAACGACTCCGTGATTCCAAGTTCTGCTCTCTGCTCGGCCGGTACCGAAGCGTGTGTCATTAGCAATCTGGAAACAAAAACTTTTATTGAAAAAAGTGAGCTCGATGGCTTAGTGGCGCGATGGATTAGCGAAGAAAGTCCAATGTTCGATTCCCGGTTGAGCCATTTTAGAAAACGATTTTCTGATGGCTCACGCCTCACGCCTAGGTATTCCTGACATTCCGTTGCCTGAAAATGCCTGGTGGTACTCAGCCAAGTAAGAATGAATAATAAATAAATAATCTACGTGACACGTCTCGAATTTGCTACTTATGATTAGAATCATTTGTAATTATTACGGTTTACTATGCTAACTGTTGCGGTCATCTTTGTCATCCATCAGACAACACATCAGTGTTTACAAACAAAAAACAGAATCTAAGATGCTATAAAGATTAACAAACAAAACAAGTAAAAGGTCACTTTGAAATATTGTTATCTTACAACATTGCAGTTGTTTTGTTTTTTTATCAATTTGAATGTTAGGTACTCACGGTAGTTCAGCAAGACTTTCGTATCCTCCCAAACTTTCAGCCAATGTGAATACTTTCAGCGACATCAAAAACTTCCTGGATTCTTTGAGACCACCCGAATGGTTGAAGCTAAATACGCCAGAGTGTCCACTTGTTTGTTTCTTCGCTATTTCGTATTGCGGGTGTGTGGGTAAACCTAAAATTAAACGTTACTATTATAGTTAAGTATTTTCAAAAACTAATTGTATCAGCTGGGCTATTTGTATTTATTTCTTTTACTTTACAAGTAATTATTTCGCTGGATTCTTATTGTACTATAACATATTTTGCTAAGTACCTGGGTGCATAACTTCAGTGATTTTAGGGTGTTTCTGCAACCATTTAGCTATCGCCAAAGAAGACGTTCTGTGTCGCTCCATCCTTAGTGCTAATGTTTTCAAACTCCTGTTGATCAAGTAGCAGTCAAACGGCGATGGAACTGCTCCCATTGCTGAAACCAAGTTTGATCATTCTTCAGTCCCAGCCCAGTGTTTACATAGAGAAAAACGTATATGGTTTTTCATAATTTTGCATATGTTTGGACACGACTAGACACAAGAAGGCGGAAATTATCAAACTACCTACCCATTCCAGACCATTCTTTGAGTTCGCATGCTATGTAACTATTGCAGTTGTTTACATATCAAAGCAAGTAGGGTGGTAGATAGGGACGTCGGTAAACACCTCTCAGTATTATTGCGCGATGTTGCATCGATAAATTTTAAGTGCCATATTTTACGATAAACGGGCATGATCTGTTAATATCTTTTAAAACACAAAAGGCATTGTTTACAATGACACTCTAACGTAGTGCTAATTCTTATTAAGTATCAATTCATCACTCATAATGTTGTTTTCAAATACACTCAACATCAAATAAACCGCACCTTCCGCGACGCGAACTTTAAAGATTTTCTTCTGACACAATCATGGTACCCCAACAATATTGGTGTTATTTGAAAGCCCAATAAATATCCTTAAAGAAAAATACATTTCATTTCTAAATAAATGATTAAAATATACCATAAATGTGACTTAAAAAAAGACCTCACTTTGGGCTCACCTCTGGGATCAATTAGACCAATTTTTATGGTTATAAAACCAAATAAAGATCTCACGTGTCCTCTTTAACAGATGGATAGCGATTAATCCCAACTTAACAGTTTTATAGTCATAAAAAATGGCTATAGCGTAACTACCTATTTTTTGAAGAAGTGACTCTGGATCCTTGTAAAGACACATTTTTGGGGTAAAAACCTTTCCTTTAATGAAATAAAGTTTAGAACTAGGCTTTCAAATGGTACCAATTTTGGTGGGAAGTGGGGATGCATAGGTTTCATAAGTGCTTGTCGCGGGAGGTGCGATTTATTTGATGCCGAGTGTAGTTTCTGTCAAGGAAAAACATAAACGTTTCATAACAATGAGAAGCAATAAAACATTGTAAAAGAATTCAATTTGTCGCTCGACAGCCATTCAATGCTTTATTTTCCTTCTTAATAATAGATTATGTTATGTATCCTTTATCCTTATAATACAAAACTTACCGTTTTGTAAAAACCTTAGTTTATCGTTGAGTGCGCTGTCTTTAACAATCGCAGCCCCCATGATGACGTCAGAGTGTCCATTCATGTATTTTGTCAATGAGTACATCACTATATCTGCGCCAAATTCCAGCGGTCTTTGCAGGTAGCATGTCAAGAAAGTGTTGTCGACCACAACTAGAATGTCCCCGCGAATGCTCTTGACCAATTTGACCACTGCCGCAATATCTACCACTTTCAGCAAAGGGTTCGTCGGCGTTTCTAACCAAATCATCTATAAAAGAAGGAAAAATAGTATCTTAAGGAAAATTGACGTGGAAAATCATGGGGAAAACCTTACTTTTATTTGATAGGATAGGACAAGACATCGAAGCTAGGTATATAATTGCATCCCGCGAGTGCAACGCTTGGGGATTATTAGTTGACTCATATTTAATAGCAACATGTATAAGTACAAGGTAAGATATTTTTATTTAATTACTATATTTGCTTAACAATATCCTACTTTTTATATTGCACACAATTTAAATAGCCTTATTTAAGTACGACTTAAGAGTTAGGACAAAGACGATAAACGTTTATCAGTTTTATTGTTTTAAACAGTTATCGTTGGTTGTTTTTAATGTGATGTAAAATATAGCGAAGTTTCAATACGTTATTATTAATACTACTGGGTTTATCATTTATTGGTTCAATTCATATCTTTATAGACTTTAAATGCTTTTAATATTTAATTAGGACTTAGGTAAGGGTAACTATGCAAAAAATATTTCAAATAGTTTATGTACTCATGTTACTTTGTTCTTACACGTTCCATTGTCGAGTGTTGGTAAACAAACACTCTGCCATTGAAGTGTTTAGTAGTATGTAATATACATAGTTGAAGATAGTTTAACTTACTTTCGTGTTATCTTGAATGGCATTTTTCACTTTATTTATATCCGTAAAGTCTGTAAAAGAAACTTCAATGCCTTGTCTTGTCGAGACATTTCTGAAACCAAAGTTTGAGGAAGTTAAGCGCGTGTGGTTTAAAAGTTACACTTTTGTAATTTCTGAAGGATATTTAGTAGGAGTTAATTATACATTTATAAATATTGTTATATACCTGAATAGTCTGTTTGTGCCGCCATACACGTCATCACTGGATAATACATGGTCACCTTTGTTCAGCAATGCCACCAATGTGTTGGTTGTGGCCAAACCAGAAGCAAACGTCACCGCGTGGCTGCCTCCATCGAGAGCTGCTAGGCATTCCTCTAACGTATTCCTTGAAGGATTACCAGATCTTCCGTATTCGAATCCCTGTAAATGAACGCTGTAATTACGCTCACAGAGTCTTACTTAATTGGGTTGGACCTAATTTGATCAATAAAGCAATTGTGGTACCTCTACCTACTCGTATGGCCTAAGTCCTAACCTTTGGAGTTATTTTCTGATCTGGTGAGTAGTGTAGCAAGAGGCACAAAGTAGCCTTTTGGCTCATGTGCCTTTGATTTGTCATCAAGTTTTCGTGGTTCTGTAATACTACTACTAAAATAATATTGTCTTATCTCCCCGTTCGGTACGATATACCTACATGACTATTAAAAGATAAGGCAATTTGACAAGATAACATCCGCTCTTTTAAGTTTGCTAAAACGGCATGCGGCAGCAAATGTCGGCGCGCGCCCATTTATCAATCGTTTATTGATTGCATGGAATCAATTGTATCAAATTGCGAGATCTTAATTGTCATAATTGCTAAATGTTTGTTATTTAAGTAGGCTCATTAATTTCGGATTAAGTGTCGGCGTCGGTAAGAAATGCTGAAGGTTTCAGGCTAGGTATTGTTGAAGAGATGCGTACGAAGATCCTGACGTTCGGTCAGCGGGAATTACCTAGCTTAAAAACGTTTTTAAAAGATGTATGAAACGCGAAGATGTATACAAAATAATTACTAATAAAGAATTAATTACAATTAGATAGATTTAGTAGACTATTAATAAAATATAAAATAATTACGGTATGTTCTGCAGGCGCCGGCTGCTTGAACGTTGTCGACGTTACGATGGGGGGCACGACAGCTGCTGAGTTCCACTTCTCCGGGTCCTGGCCGGCATGAATGGCGATAGTAGCAAAACCCACTTTGTCTTTCAAAAAACCTTGGTTGTCCATCTAAAACAATAGAAAATTAATATGTAGATAGGTACATATTAAAGTAGTTCATTGATTTTACAATTAATGTGAGTAAACGTAAAGTAGGAAATATTCCGAAGCAAGCCAAACCAAAAGTTCCATATAATTATTTTTAATTCATAAAATCTTAATTTATTTAACATCTATTCTTACTTGTTTTAAAAAAATCTTACGACTTTTAAAAGACGGCAGAAAATTTTAATTGTTTTAAAACATTACGGTGTTGTGTAACTGAAAATTAGTTACTGATATTAAAAATTATTGAAACCTAATTCAATAATAAATTATGTTAGTTATGGTAAGCGTAAGCATCGCGAATGTAACGAAAGCCAAATTGACTCGCTCGTGTTATTTTATTAATGTAAAAAAATATCTACGTAACATTATTTTCAGTATTAGGTAATTTAGCAACTCAGAATTTATAAGACAGTACTACCTACTAGAGGAAAGGTAGACTTAACGTTAAGTACCTATTTGTTTCTAAATATTTATTAAATTTTTCCTCGACAATTTATTTTATTTACATTCTGCATTTTATTTTAAATATCGGAAACTTTATGAATGTTAAAAGATAACTATATCATATTCAGTTTCAATTGGCAAAATAAGATTCCATAAAAATTAATCAGTTTTCCATAAAAATCAAGGTTAAGCTACACATGGTGTGCTAAAAGAATGTGCTAAAATTACATCATTCATCATGAGTTCAAAAGTGTTTTAATTAAACCGCAGAGCACCGGAGAAAGAATTTAAATTGCGTTACATACCTTGTTTAAAAATGAGTTGGTTGAAAGCACGAGTAACTTAAATTGATTTGTGAATTTAAAACCGTTTTGTATTTACGACAGAAGATAACTTGGCCACACTATGGATAAACACACCGGACGGAATGAAACCGTGAAAAGGACTGGCTTGACGTACGCAGTGAGCGTGCGGTCTCGGGGCTTATTATAATACAGCCGTGAAGTTTGCTCAATACGCTGTGGCAGGCGCCTCATTGATCCAATGACAAAGCGGATCACGTCGTATGAATAAAAATACATCTAGCGCAGCTGTAGGTATAGCTAAATCTTTGACAAAGTTACCTATTGTTGTGGCAGTTGTTGCCTGACTAGATACCAAGCATGCCAAGAACAAAAATGTAGTAGAAAATACCAAGCAGCCTGTGTTTCTTCGTACCCCAGCTTAGCTTATATTTTCTTGGTTTTGAATGCGGTCGATAAAGATTTTTTTCTTGATACCATATTAACAGACATGAATATTCTCCCGTTGATATCATTACAAAAACTAACCAAAATAAATGGTAACCAACAAACGATGAACGATAATTACCTACCTAATTCAGACATCCGCCTGGGAATCGAATCGTAGACCTCCGGATCGGAAGAGCACCAAGCACTCGGCAGGTTTGGTAGTGTTGTCAATAACTTCCGCCAATCTATCGATAGTCATTCACTGTCTATAAAACGATCAATTGTTTATTTCTTACTAAATTCTTTAAGATCATAATGCAGGCTGCTCTCAAATAGAGTTATCTACCATGTTCTTCTATTTATTTGCAATGTTCTACAAGCAATTCATGATTATAGTACGTCATGATACTCATGATAATATCATGTGATATCAAAATATCGAGTGATATGTACGGTCGGTAAAATATCACGGAGGAAATCAAGCTGTCAAACCAGAATTCCCGCCAAAATTGAAATGTCATAACAGTAGAACTGTCATCATAATCCAAAACAAATCCTCGAAAATTAGAAATTTTATTGGAAAAAGAAAGTAGAGAAGAAGATTGTTACAAATATTAGAGAATTCAACTAAAAGTAATATGACGATTGATAGCAAACCTTTAAGATACGCTCATGCGGAAGGACACACTGATGTTTGCTTTACAGAAGATGGGCAGTAAGTATTCACGCTGAAATGTATTAAAATCTCCAAGTTCGTACTTATTTATATGTAATTTTATGCTCCACGAATGACTGAGTGTGGCCATGTCACACAGTTTAGATTTTTGGTCCTAGTTCATTATTATCAGAGGTTATTTTGTTTTATAAATACTGCTTCTAAAAGTAATAAGCCAGGATGATTAAAATCACTTTATTTTTGTTTCTATAGGCATTTAATAACCTGTGGACACGATGGAGATGTTAGAATATGGATGGGCATTGAGGATGATGACCCGAGCTCTCATTGCGTTGGTGAAAGTGCTCTTGCTGTCTGTTTCAAAGACAAAAGGCTGTATGTGGCCACTGACAGCCATGTGGTCCAAGCCTATACATTCCCAGCATTTGACAAAGATGGAATCGTTACTAGGTTTACTGCCCCAGTCACTCAAATCAAGTCAACTAGTAAAATTGAGGTAATAATGATATGCTTGCTTTTTTGTGATAAGGTTGAATCATGTATTAATCTAAATATCTTTTAAATAATCAATAGGCATTGGGCTGCTCATCAGAGAATATGGAAGCAAGGATATGTAGCTTAGAGGGAGGGGCACCTTTGTTTGTCATGTCTGAACACAAGGGCTCAGTCCTCAGTATAGCTATTTGTCCACACATGAAATATGCCAGCACAGCCAGTGGTGATGGTACGCTGAGAATATGGGATATTGATACACAGAAAATAGTAAAGGAGATTACATGTGTGCCAAAGATTAACACATTTTATTCTGCAAAAGTATTATGTAAGTCTCAGATCCTATTTTTAATTATTTATTTTATTATTTCAAAGATTTATAAATTACTTTTGGAATAGACTTAGTCATAGCCATAAATGTTTATTGCATCATGTTTACCAATAACAATCTTTACCTTTCCAGGTCGTATTGATTTTGAGCCTTCAGAAGGGAAATATTTAGCTTATCCAAACAATAGAGAGATCATTTTACTAGATTGTGAAAGTTGGGGACAAAGGATGACTTTTACACACAGCTCAGTTTGTATATTTTTATTCTTTTGAATATAATTTATTCTTTACAAAAATAATTCTTATTGTTGATACCTAAACAGTGGTATTGCATCACAATGAGGGCAGGTATGTTTAACTAATTTATTTCTAATTTCCAGATAAAATGTGCTATATCGCAATGTCTATTCTCACCTTGTGGCCAGTATTTGGCTGGCAGCACTGTCGCTGGCCAGATAGCTGTATGGGAAGTTCAGACAGGAAATTGTGTGGGACTTATTGAGCATCCAACTTCACATAATGTATCTGCAATGGCATGGAATCCAAAAGGTTAACACATTACCTAATGTTCATATGAAAATAACTAACTGTAGTAGGTACATAAGTATTATATTTCCCATTTAATTTGCAGGCAATGGTGTTTTAGCTTACTGTGATGTAGCTGGGCAACTTGGCTGTCTTGTGAACTGTTATGGAAAAGACAGTGAAATCAGAGATGAAATAGAGACTGTTGAAAGAGTTGATGGTAATGTGTACTTGTAATGTGAAATTATGTTGATGGTATATAATAAAAATTGGCCAAGTGTGTGTCGTGTCACACCCAGTGTAGGGTTCCGTAGTTGGCCGTCGTTATCACCATATATTCAGAAGAAAGCAATTACTTCATCTAAAGTCACTTTTCATATTACATGTAGGGGAGCAACCCTAAGGCCGTTTTGTCGGCGTGATTAATATACATACCTCCAAAAAATTACAGCCTCCTAGAGCCAATAGTTTCCAAGCAAAACCTCGGACAGACAGACAGACAGACATATCGAAACTATCCTTGTCCTGACAAGGATAGTTTCGATATGTCTGTCTGGTACATTAGGTAGGTTCAGTCCTGACTGAACCTAACTAATGTAACCCTAAAAAGGGCAGTAGCATTTTATGCATTTGTACCTATTTCTTTTTAGATGATGATATAGGTGATTTGATGATAAACAACGACAGTGATGACGAGAACGCGATTTCCTTGGAGAAGTTAAAGAATGAGACGCTCGGGTTGAATGACCCGCACGAGGAGTCGCGGCCGGCGTCCGCGCAGCCCCTCGCACCGGCCTGTGCGCCGCCGCAGCCGCCTTTCCAACCATCGGCAACTCCTGCGCATCTAGAGCACAGGTATAAATTAAGATAAAAAAAAATATATTTATTTTCATGAAAAGCTAAATAGGAATAAATATTCTTATGCCCGTTTTCACCATCAATCCCTAATTAAATATGAGAAAGAGATAATGATGCCCGTTTTCACCATCAATCCCTAATTTTTAAGTGATCCCTATGTAAACAAAATTCCTGTTATGTGTTACCATAGGGGTCGCTTCTCGCTTATAAATTAGGGATTGATTGTGAAAACGGGCATGAGACTCTTGATTAAATGACCCCTATTAAAACAAAATTCCTGTTATGTGTTACCTTAGGGGTCACTTAAAAATTAGGGATTGATGGTGAAAACGGGCATTAGGCATTTTTATACTGCATCAATATTCCACAAAAAATGTTTTAGGTTTCTGTAGGTATTTCGATGCAATGCGCTATCGCGATCGAATGCGCAGTCAGCGCCATCTTTTGGTGACGCCAACTTAATCATTCTTAACTGCTTTTATTTCAACCCTTTTCGTTTTATTATCTTCAGATACATGTGCTGGAACGACGTCGGTATAGTCCGCTGCCACACTACGGAAAACGGAGAATCGAGCATAGACGTCGAATTCCACGACACAAACGTGCATCACGGCTTACATTTAAATAACTATTTGAACCACACAATGGCCAGTTTATCCTCGAGTGTGCTGGCATTAGCATGTGAAACGCCTAGGTGAGTGTATAAACTAAGCGGCACCAGCGCGGTCGCTTAATCAGGTACCCCTCGGTACGATTAAAATTTCATTTAGCCAAACCACATTGGCCGATAGGTACTTTTAACTCACAATTATTATTGTTTAGCCTGACAGTTGTTTTCGCACTATTATACTTTGGGCGAAAACTAAAATCTTGAATACATAAATTCAAAATTAGTAGGATGAATACAGAACAGGGCGTAGGCGCAGCTGTATCAATTATACGGGGCGCCCAGACTACAGGGGCACCAGTGCCGGATTAAGAACGTCGCACATTTATCAACCCGGAAAGTGGTCGTAACCGTATCAACTCGAGGCAGTCTGTATTCTTTGTATGAAACGCACGCTTATCCGCACCGTAATGTAAACGCCTCGCCTCGCGATTGACAGCGCGCGAAAGGCGATACGGTGTTGTTCCCTTTTCTGAGTTGATAAGTCTGCTATGACCTTTAGCCAGGCAACTGTGTAGGAAAGTTCTACAATTTTGCATTTACCTTTTTAGTGAAAAGCGTCTCATTGATAATAATAATTATCATTTTTATATGAGGCCTCCAGGAAATTTTGATACTGGGCCCTTCTAAGGCATGCAACGTCACTGGTACAGAACTATGAACAAATTATAATGTCTGTAGCAATAAAAAAAAATGTTTTCAACTCTTTTGTAGCAAGCTGGTCTGCATATCGCTGGTAGGCAGCAGCAAGGAGTGGAGCGTATCTCTCCCGGACACAGAAGAGGCGCTGTGTGTGTGTGCGGCAGGCGGCGTGGTCGCGTGTGCCACCACCGCGCGCCTACTGAGGTTATTCACGCCTATGGGCACGCAGCGACAGGTTAGTTCGTTCGTTTCAGCCAAATGACGACCACTGCTGGACAAAGGCCTCCCCCAAGTATTTGACGTCCACCGCTGGACAAAGGCCTCCTTTAAGTATTTGACGTCCACTGCTGGATATAGGTCTCCCTCAAGTATTGGACGTCCACTGCTGGACAAGGGCCTTCCCCAAGTATTCTACGTCCACTGCTGGACAAAGGCCTCTCCCAAGTGTTTCACGTCCACTGCTGGATATAGGTCTCCCTCAAGTATTGGACGTCCACTACTGGACAAGGCCTCCCCCAAGTATTTCACGTCTACTGCTGGACAAAGACCTCCCCCAAGTATTTGACGTCCACTGCTGGACAAAGGCCTCCCCCAAGTATTTGACGTCTACTGCTGGATTTTTACATTATTAAGACATCTTGATAACCTTTCTTTGATAAACTTTATATCTGCCATATTATTTAGAGGGTAATCAAACGAATATTGTTTATGTATTGCGATATACAACACGTTCATTAGCTCCGTTGAAATACCTAAAGTAAACACTACAATCTAGGGATTTGAGATGATGGAATGTAAACAAACACATCCATAAAGTAAATATTATGTGCACTGGGTATTACACGTATACTTTTATCAGCTGATGCAATTATGGTCCATTTAGAATAGCTTTAAAATGTGGCATTTCAAATAGAGAAGTTATGATAAGCTAAATCAGTTAGTGTGAAGGTCTGTATTAGAAACAGAAAAATAAAATCGTGTGTAATGCTGAATGGCTGACATTTAAAGTAATGGAGTCGGAAAACCTGTTGGTTGCCAAGAGGAAATTGCTTTCGGCAATATGTAATCGCAATAGGGATGATGACTGGGTAATGAAATCGAAATTCTATTTAGTCCGTCAGACAGATAATAAAAAAATTTTTGGACACATATTTTTGAATTTTTTTCATAATCGAATAATTACAGTATTATATTGAGTTGAAATGTCGCGTGACGTCACTTTTGAGTAAAAATTCTACTCAAGCGTGACGTAACGCGCCATTTCAACTCGATGTAGCACTGTTATAATTTAATTATGAAAGAAAATAAAAAATGTGTCCAATATTTTCTAATTATCTGTCTGACGGACAAATAATTGAAATTTTGTCATCTAGCCTTTCTTTCTTTCTTTCTTTTTTCTTTCGTAGGCAGGCACGTGCGAAGTAAAACGGTCCCTGTGCCGCTGACGCCAGGGTCCAAATTGGCGTGGCTGGGAACCACCGACACCGGCTCGCCGTGTGCTTTTGACAACACCGGCATGTTACGTCTTTACGATGTCGCGAGCGGTGTCTGGATACCGATATGCGACACCAGCACGCATTCTAGAGGAGTCTCTGACACCTGGTTTATTGTTTCTGTAAGTATGGCTATGATAATGTCGTCGACATAAACTTGGGCTAATTCATTAGTATTTGAACTAATTTGTGTTATTTGAAGCAATACTTGTTAAAATTGGTTTTATTCTAATGTTAAAACTGATGTCTTTTTTAGGTAAGCGAGCCCACACAGACAGTCCGGGCTATATTATGCAGAGGCGCATCTTTCCCACCAACAGCGCCTAAACCTATTGTTGCAGAATTACCTATACGCGTAAGTACAATACAAACTAAAGATTTAATTATTTCTATTGTCAATTATCATGAATAATATTAACTACTTATTTACCTCTCAGTGTCTTGAGGCAACTTTATTATTATTTAGGCAGTTAAATACTGCACAGTATTTAGTACACCATTTTCTTTATTTTCTTCCATCATACAGAAGAATACGCGTGCGTGAGTCAATGTTCGCTCGTATGTGAGGCCTTGTCGAATAGTGTCCTGTAGGTGGGTCATCGTGCGTGTTTTGTTTTCGATGTAAACTCGCGGAGATGAACAGGCCTGGTAATATCCAGACCTCCTGACTACCTCATGACTGCTGTCTCACTCTAGATCCCGCTGTGTGAGCTGGACAGCGAGAAGGCGCAGCACGAGGAGCAACTGGTGCGCTGGGCGCACTGCGCCGCCGACGTCGACGTCAAGGCTGCTAGAGAAGTCTCGCTCAAACTGTTTGCCGTAAGTAGCACGTAACCAGTAGCCTTATTCGCGTAACAAAACTTCAACGACAACAAAACACTGAGTTGCGATCCTATCGAGTAATCGTTCTATCAAAACCCTTGTGAATACGGATCTAGAACTGTTTTTCAATGGAACGACTTCTGAACGTCAGCGAGATCTTGACTGTCCAAATACGTGAATTAGGCCACTGATCTTTATTTTAAAGATAGCTGTAAACCAAAAGTTGTAGGCAAGTTCCTAATAGGTTATTATCACGGCAAATTGTTGTGACTCAGCAGATAAGCAGAATAGATTGAAGTCTAAGGCTGAGTTGCACCACCTTACTTTAACCGTAACTATAACAATAACCGGTGTTTTTGTATGGAGATTGCCAAGTTTTTGACGTTTGTTAAAGTTAAAGTAAGATGGTGCAACTCAGTCTAAGTGTAAAGTGGTTGAATATGAAAGCTTGAATCAAACCTCGAAGATTTCAATACAATGCAGTACTCAATTAACCAACGTGTAATACTAACGTGTTTCATTACAGCTCGCATGTCGGAGTGAGATCGAGCAAAGAGCGTTAGAACTGATGGAGATCCTCAAAGACGATCGCCTCCTGCCTTTAGCCGCAAAATACGCGTCTCGTTTAGGCCGCGTACACTTGGCCGACAAACTCACCGACTTAGCTTCGGCCTGGCAACGCGACGCAGACCTCAACGAAGCCAGAAACTCACACTTCATGGAATTGGACACGCAGGAAACCTATGACGTCACCAGCACGGAGCCAGACTTGAACGCTAGTCTGATTATACCGCAGAAAGCCAAAGAGAAGAAAACAGAGACCGTCACGCCTATCAAACCTGTGGTGAGTCCGATTTTCATTNTATTCATTTCTTTCGCCCTTTGAGACCTAGTATTGAATCGAGATATATTGCTCAATATATTTTATTGTTTCCAGCCTATAAAATCATCGCCTGGCGGAGCTAGGAATCCGTTCAGAAAACAGCAGGAGGCTACAAAGAACGTTCAGAGTCCATTGAGTTTAACGGACCGCACGTTAGTCGAAGTGCACAGTCATTCAGAAAATGATGATGTAAGTTTTTGCATGATAGTAGTAAATATAATTAGGGACAAGACGATGAGTAATTTCAAAGAACCGCCAATTATGATACAACGACGCGATAAGCCAATTTTATTAATGTTTCAAAATATGATCAATACCTCCTTAATTTTTTCATCAATGACATCTTGATCTGATAAAACTTAAGCTTAAAGCTGTACTTATATTTCAGCCTCAAAAACCAGTTGAAGGCGAAAAATTCGTGGACTGGTTTGCCCGCAATCGAGAACGTCTCGAGCAAGAGAATCCGGAGTTATCACCCGCGGAGTTGACACGAGTCGGCGTGCGAGCCTTCCGCAACGCCGCCGCCCCCGCCGCTAACGGAGAAAACATCAATGGAGCCAATGGAGCTCCGGCAAAGCGCAAGCGCGATACGGAAACAGAATCCGACGCCGTCGTCACCACTGCGCCTAAGCAGTCCAAACTCAGCGCTTTTGCGTTCCAGAAAAAAACGTAGTAATGACGTCATTTACAATTTGGAATGATAGGGTTACAAGAAAATTCGTGCTTTAAGCTGTTAAGTCGTAGACCGACGAACTAAACGCCCAAAACTTAATTCGGGCTTCGTCAGCCTGTGATTGGTAGAGTTTTAATTTTCAAACAGACTTGAATTCACTCTCAAGTGTAAATTCGTAATTGAGTGTTGTTTTATAACGCATTCTGAACAGGCTACTCGTGTGTTTCGAAATGCGATCTATGTTCATTAGCTCTTACTATAAACTCGCCGAAGAGAAAGTGAAGATATTTTTGTATTTTAGATTAAGTGACTATTTTTAAGATAAAACAATCAGGACGTTAAACTTATAAGCCAATATTGTACAAATTCATTTTACTTATTTAACATTATTTAAACGAATAAAAACGTATAAAATTATACATCTTTTGTTATTTATTAATTGACTAGCTCTGCTTCATCTGGCATTGGAAAGATGCCCTCTTTGAACATTCTTTGCCACTCACTCCCGTTTGGATATGCGAACATTTCCAATGTTTCTGGAAGAAATTGTGTGCTGTATCCTGGATTCTGTAATAAAGACAAATCTATATAAATAAAAATGAATTGATTTTCGTCAGTCTGATTAAAACTCGAGAACGGCTGGGCCGATTGAGCTGATTTTGGTGTTAAAATGTTTGTCGTAGTCCAGGGTAGGTCTAAACGGTGAGAAAATAAGGAAAAATTTGCTTATTTATTGCCTTTAAGGCGGAACAGAGTTCGCCGGGTCAGCTAGTAACGAATAAAATTAATATACTGATTGTAAGTCTTGGCTAAACAATTGCAATTCGCAATGATAGAAAGTTGCGGTATAAAATACCGGAGTAAAATCACCGTGTTCTACCTTCGGCCGTTGGGGCAGAAAAGTTCTCAAGTGATGGCCACGTAATGTAGGCAGGTTTCCTACCATTCGGTAGACCGTTGATCTAGTGAAGGTCGCGAGAAGCACCTGGATGCGGGCAGCATAGGACCGATCGTTGTGGAAATTCTTGGGGAAGTTTTTTAACAGCAATGTAATAAAAACGAGAATGAACGCAAGCCTACCTTCGGAGCCAAATATCTTGCGTTCTCAACGACACACGGGTCGTAGAAGTGCTCGTGCTGCTGGTCCACGTATTCTATAAGGCGGCCGTCAAGGAGCCCCGATAGGCTCGCGTAGTCCCAGAACTGTAGGTGTTGCACCATCTCGCACAGGCCCACGCCGCCCGCGTGCGGGCACACTTTCACTGTTAACGAGAATAATACATATTCTCGTCATAATAATATAAGGATCATGAAACATTTGATTTTTCAAAGAAAAAAAAAATATTATTTCGTAGAACTGATGACCGTTGGGGCAGAAAAGTTCGGAAATGGCGATTACAGACTGGAAAATATAACGCATTATGCAGGGAAGCCTCTTCTCGGTGCACCGATGATCTACTGGTGTAAGTTGCGAGAAGCTCTTGGATGCGGGCAGCGCAAGATCGATCGTTATAGAAATCGGTGAGAGACCTTTGTCTAGTAAATTATTAAGTCAGCTAATGTACGGCATTAGCTTGGAAACAGAAAAGTAGGGAACCTTTCTCTAACCTATTGTGGAAAAAATATAGTCGCTCTACGTCATAAAAAGTTTGTAATTTATCCTGAAAGCAGAGGCGGCGTAAGGCGTAGGCGACGTGGGCCACCGCCTACGGCCTCGCGGTACAAGGGGCCTCGCGCATCAAAAATTTTGAAAAAATGTATACAAGGTGGAGATGACAATATCATAATACGAACATTGACTATTAAATATAAATTCTTGGTAGCTAAAACAATGTAGATATATATATTTTTTTCCAAACAAATTCAGCCATAATCAGACACAAAATTAAGCAACAACACAGTTTTAAGTGACGAACATTATTCTTTGGCGCAATATTCCTTTAAAAATAATCACTGAATCAAGAAATCAGAAACTGTCAATGTATAGTATAGACCTTTGACCCTTTTTTTTATTATTTCATAAAATCCGTCTTCAGGTCGCCAGTGTCGCCACAGAACAAGGCCTCGCGAAATCTGTCTTGCCCACATCAAATTTAGGTCTTGCCCCGCCTCTGCCTGAAAGTAATTAAAATATTAATTCATACCTTTAAATTTCTCCGCCATAAGATAGACAGCGAGTATCTCGTTGATACCGCCGATACGCGCCGAGTCGATCTGGCAGAACTGCATGCCGCCGCTCTGCAGGAACTGCTTGAACATCACGCGGTTGGCGCACATCTCGCCCGTAGCCACGCCGATGCCGAACGGTCTGGGGAAGGTTTGGAGTTTAGTTGGAGGCCACTAATATAATACCATCTATTCTAAACTAGTCTAGAATAGATTCTATAGCGCTATTCTTTCATTCTTAGCATAGCTCTAGAGTTTTTCGCATGTCCTTTTTATGTCGCAAAATACTCGTAACACACAGAGTCGAATCCATCTCGATCGCGCGCGCTTGTCACCAGTTTCACGTCTCGTTAACACCTATTCATTCGTGATCGGCTGTACAGGCCACAGATATGGATTAGAGATTCCATATCTGTGGTACAGGCTGTACTAAAGTGAACTAAAAGACCTATTTGAACGACCAAGACGGAATAGTTCGTTCTCGTTCACATAAAGGAATTGCTTCCTATTAGTACATAGTACATGTACTACACAAGCCTAACATTGCCGTTTCTGTGGGTCACCCACAGATGGGCACGGGTAAATGTTACAAACTCACATGAGCTACCGTTCCCAACTACTAAAACATGATTTCGCTTTAAAAATCCTAAAAAAATGAAGTTCAACGTACTCCAGCGCCTTCGATATCGCAGCATGCCCCAGCACGTCATCCGGCGACGTGGGCTCCTCGATCCACATCGGCCGCAGCGGCGCCAGCCGCGTCATCCACGCGATGGCTTCGTCCACGCTCCACGCTTGGTTCGCGTCCACCATCTACAAAATGCCGTAGACTTAACGTAAGTATGCATAGGATGATAAGAAAGGCATCTGAAATCTAAAATAGATAAAAACAAGAAACCGAGGCTGATTTTAGTGTCACGCGGACCGTCCGGTGCGGACCCGCTCCGCACGGCCAATCTGTATGAACTTCTAGGGAGCGTTTTAGAGTAATGCGGTCCGGAGGAACCGCTCTGCTCACTAGCAGTTCATACAGATCGGCTGTGCGGAGCGATCCGCACTGACAGTCCGCGTGACAATAAAACCAGCCTGAGTGACTGTTATAAGCACAGCCCAAACTGCTGGGTCTAGTAGAAATTCCTGCCGAATTTTCCCGTAGTAGAGTTGAACTCTTCGATATGAGGTACTGAATGGGTTTGATTCTCTGATGGGATACACTACTTATCTGTTAAAGAGTTTGCTAAACAAACTTTTCTTCCAGTTTGTTAATGACGTTCAGGCTTCAATGAAAATTATTGTTCGAAAATAACTTGTTATAAATCCACGGCACGACGCAGAACGTATTATGTATCATGCTTTTAAAATAAAGATGCACTTACCAGGTAATTGTGGTCTCCTATGGTTTTACGAACCACACTACATCTTCGAAGATCGTCCTCAATACTTGTGCCAACTTTAACTTTGAAATGTGTAAAGCCTAATTTCAAATATTTCTTGCATAGCTCCTCGACTAGTTCGTCGCTGTAGCCCATCCATCCTGAAAAATGTTGAAGCCATTTAGGTAGGTAAGTACTATGCGAAGTTATCCTATTTTTTAAGAAACGTGGAAAATACCTATTTGGTGCGATTTTCTAATATAATTAAATATGTGTAGTCAATAAAGTAGCGCTGTATGTTTGTGTTGACCTTACCGACTTGCGTAGTGTATGCGGGATAGCCATTTTGAAGCAAATATTGAATTCTGTCTTCTTTGCCTTTACGCTTATTTTTCAACAGACGGACAGCTTCATCTTTGGTGATAACCTCTGTTATGTAACGGAAATCTATAGTGGACACCAGCTCCTGATAGACATGAAACATGTTTATGTTATCAAGGAAATAATAATAATAAAACACCTTAGGATGTATAAAACATCGCTGAAATATTCTGAATTTTATCTGTATCAATAGTATCAATCTAAACACGCAACTATGATGAAGAATAGAATTGATTTAAGAATAAGAAATATGTATTACTTCGGGTTCCATGTCCACAAGTAATCTCCAAAGGGGTTTGTTCTCGATCCTCGCCCAAAGGTCCCACAGAGAGTTCAAAATGGCCGCCACAGCCAAATGGATTACCCCTTTCTCGGGACCTATCTGTAAAAAGTAGTAAAAGCTAAATAACTGACCTATTGTGATTGTGAGTACTTCAATACGATGCTAACAGTTGCGGGTTCCAATCCCATGACGGTCATGTTTTTAACGGATACGGGTTACTAGAGTTAGCCCAAGACTTGAGTTTTTTCCTAATGATTTGATTGTAATTAAGTCACAGAACAATAGAAGAGATGTATTGTTAGGTCCACTGCTGAACCCGACTCTCGATAAATTCTACAACTTACCCATCTCATTTGCGAGTCATTGGTGATGACGCGCCAGAATCCGGCGAAGTCAGCGAAGATATCTGCGGCGTTCTTGCCCAGCACGAACTTCTTCAAGGTCCTGACGGTGAGCACCACCACCTCAGTCCCGCTGCCACAAGTGAAAGTGAGTCCGAAGCCCTGGCGGCCATTTTCCGTGCGCGTCGTGACATAGGCACACGAGTAGTTAGGATTCGTATGCTAGAAATGTAGGTATTCAAAGGTAGTTAAGTAATTTACCTAATAATTAGCGCCAAATAACACTAATGTAGGTAATTTTCTGTGTTAAGGTCGATTATTTCAGAATTTTCAGGCATATTACTTATCTGCCGTACCACATTGATTGTGGCATTTGTGGATTAGTTTAGTTAGGGCTCTACATAAATGAGATTTATGATATTTTTTTATACACTGTGAGCCATTATGGCACGGTATTATGGTCTCATCTTGGCATGAAATTGAATCGAGTTTTGAGTTATTTTCATGTTCTCGAAGTACTTTCTTAAATAAGGAAGAAACTACAATCAAAGTAGGTATTTAAAAAAACGCCATGTGACATGAAAATAATTTTAAAAATGTTTTTTCACAGGCCGAACAGGAATAGAACCTGGGACCAACTGGCGAATGAGTCATTATCCCCGGTTCAAATGGATTAATGCTATAGCGATTAGCGTGTCAATTAATTAACTATTTAGATAATATAATTACTGAGTAGGAAAGTACTAAATAACTATAATCCAATTGACGTTTGATCAGTTCGATACAATTTTAGAAGTCGCAAACAATAGTTTACCTTGAATTTTCGTCATAGTAATTCAGTTCTTCGCATCACAGCGAGATTTTTGTAGCAGGCGTAGGTAAATGAATTTGATGTCATAATTAGTATGGTAATTGGACTAATTGGGTACACATAGGGTTTCTGATTTCTCGACCTATTTTTTTTTCTCGAGTTTCGAGAATTCTCGAAGCCTAAGTCTCGAGTTTTCTCGGGTCTCGAGTCTTTTAATAAAAACTGCCGAAATCGGTTGAAATTATTAATTATATTAGAATTTAGTACCACTTATTTTGGTAAGGAAAAAAACAAAAAATAAAATCTTCTTTCATAATTAATATTTACTAATAATCATAACAAAAGTCATATAGTCGCGTGTACTTTAAGGATAAATAACAATAAAAATCTGGAGCTACAATTGAATCACTTGTTTTCTAAAGAACACAAGTCCAAATAGCAAAAATACGATAAATAAATAAATACATTTTCAATTTTTTTTTACTTTAGTCGATACTACGCTTCCACGCAATCTATGCACATGTCGTGGCAGCTTTTAATTAAGGCTACACTATAAACACGTATTGTTTTCAATGTTTTTTCCAGTTAATTGTGTATGTCTTGTTAGCTGTCCTTAAATAAATAAATAAATAGTTTTTTTTTATGAACAAAAGAAACTTCATTTCATACAGATAACGACTTGAATAAACTTTACGAGGAGGCACGAGTAGGTACCTAACCCAACGTCCGTTAGGTAAGGTAACTGTCTAGTTAACAATTTTTTCAGTCAGATTAAACAAACATAATAAATATAGCATACTCATTGGTGAACATTATTACTTAGTTTCGATTGAGATCATTACTTGCAAATCAAATCAGTTAAAAAAAGAAAGACTAGGCCAGTCTTAAAGCAACGTTGACCTATTAAATAGTAAAAAACTTACTTTTGTCTAAGAAAATAGGCTTTCAAGAATATTAAAGCTTCAAAATCGAAACTCGAGAATTCTCGAGCTCTGGGAATTTTTTTCTCGTCTCGAATGAAGCCAAATTTCTCGAGTTTTCTCGAGTTCGAGAAAGCTCGAGCAGAAACCCTAGGTACACAGAAGAAATAATGATATAGTTCAATGAATTAATTAAGTAAGTTATGACAAAATATTACATACCAAAGCATCTGATCCATGACCCCCGAGAGAGGTCGGGAATCGAACGTCTTTAACGTCAATGTCGACTATTTTTAGTCCTTTCCTATCAGGCACAGGCATTTTCTTAGGTTTTCAGACAATCGGGAGTTAGGTAAGGCTGCCACGACTCACGCCGAACGACTGATAGTAACAACATTATAGAATAAACACAGTTGCGACAGTTCATTATTATAACACGATAACACTATTATAATGTAAATACTTACTTAACTTCATCCTATATCTATTTTTCTTTTTCTTCAAGTTAAATACTGTTTGTTGTTATGCAAGCACAAAACAACATAATTCAACATTATTGTTTTACTAATATTGTTGACCTTGAGACCGCTTGGTAGCTTGATAAGAGATTGCAAGCGTGAGGTTAACGTTCACATAATAATGCCGTCAAGTTTTGTGAATGAAAGATAATTAAATTAAAAGACTATGTAACTAGTATATTAAAAATACTTGTTTTATTTAAAATAATACAATATTATAAAATGTTTTCTATAAGGGGTTATTGATAAAATATATTATTGATAGGTATTTATAAAAGTAAGTACAGTGGGCCACAGTTCCAGCTACCCATTTCCGTTTTTTCTCTCGCTCTCATCAAATGGTGATTCTTTGCGGTAGAACGAGACGACATGGCAGAAATGGTTAGCTGGAACTGTGGCCAATAGTACCTACATAAAATCTGAAATTAATTGCACAATAGTTGGTAGGGAAATAAAAATAACATTCATAAAACAACACCATTAGAAAAGTTTTCACAGTAAAAAATTATAGAACAGCAAGTTAAGTTTTTATCACAATATAAGTATTGTTTTATAATTAAGAAACAGGTTTCAAAATTAATCAAAAATAAATATTTAATTACTTTTGTTTTCAATTTACATACTAGTTATTGAGCAAAAATTTTCTCTCAGTAAAAATTTCTTAAAATCTCAATTGGTCAGTAACAATAACTGCTTTGCAGCAAAATACAATTTTTCTTAACACTTAGCACCTAAATAAACATTAAACACTAAAATCACGTAAATCTTTTAAAATGCTTGTGCAAATAAGCTCTTTATAAAAATAGAGCCTTTCCTTCTATTTAAATGTTTTTCTACTTTTTTTAATACTTAGAATAAAATCTCGTACTATTCTATAAACTAGACTATAAATTTACAACTCACAAGTAAGAGTTATTTTTTGTTTTCCTTGTAAATGATAGAGAGCTCTCTGACGATTTGCCTCTCTCCCTCGTCCCAGAGAAGAGAAGCAAGGCGGCCGAGAGAGCCGTCGTCATCGTTATCCACCCAGTCTTTTAACAATTTGTAGCGAGCCTGTTAAACAAGAACGGAATATTACAAATTCGTCCAGTTTAATTTCTTAAGCTTAGCCTAGGCGCAGACCACCGATTTTTAGTTGGCCGATTATACAATTTTAATTTGTATAATCGGCCGATAGCAAATCGGTGTAATGTGCGCACTTTCATACATCTCCATACTGATTAACAACCCAACCCAACTATCGGCCAACTAAAAATCGGTGGTCTGTGCCTAGGCTTATTATTCGAAAAAGCATGTATTAATGAACTCACCTCTGTAATTCCTTTCTCCATTTGAAGAGTGTCAATACGCCCAATCAAATAACCTAAACTACCAAAGAAAGATTTCCAGTTTGTACCTAAATTCTTTGAAATAAAGTCAATATACTTATGTGTCGGCTGAAACAAAAATTACAATGAATTTATATGTGAACTCATCAGTGGCNTTAATAATACAAATAATAATATTTAGACAATTCAGCTAAAAAATCATTTTATCATTTTAGGCAGTTGATTGAATGTATATTTTTTATCTGATTACCTCAATTTTTGATTCCATAAGAAGAATAATTAAATTATCTTTTTCAATGTTGTCTCCTGTATACCCCTTCTTTTCAGACTTTTCAGTATTTCCATTAGTTGCAGACATATAATATGTATAGTTGCTGCCAAACTGGACACCAGTTGCATTGACAACATTGAAAACCGTACCAGTAGCTGTAATTTACAAGTTTTCCATTGTATTTATTTTATAGATTTAATTTTTTAGGGACTAATAAGTAATTTTTGACTATACCTAACCATTAAAACCCAATACCCGATAATATACTCAACTCACAGGACTTACATAATCGCAAACTGATGAAAAACAGAATACAGATAAAAAAGGACAATAAAAAATATAAAATAGTGAAATCCATAGATGAAAATAGGTTATTGTAACAATTTAATATCAGTAATTTTCAATTCTAGGAAATAATTTCTAGCCATTGCCTATCTTTTGAACAGATAAGAGTGCATTAAATGATAATAGGCAATAACTCCAACAGTTAGGTAGGTTAAAGTAAGAATTACCATTTATAAAAAGTATGGGATATTGTAATATACTACATAATAACACATAATTGCTACGTACCTTGAGTGTTTACAGAACTAAAACTGCCTCGTTTGTCATGATCTTCTGGCTTTGGATCCTTATGGTCATCTTTACCCTTCTTTGATTTAAAAGGGGATCTAAATTTAGTTTTTTTCTCCGTTTTGATAAAGTCATCTTCTTCAAAAATTATCTCTTCATGTTCATCTTCGTTTTCAACGGGTTCTTTACTGTCTTCGGTGGTAATATTAGGTTTAGCGCCCCTTGATTCCGTATCTTCAGCAGGTCGAGGTGGTTTAGGAACAGCATCAGATTTTAAAGAACGGAACAGCTCAAATATTCTACTGCCAACACTTGCCATATTGAGGATGATGGAAATACTGAAATAAAAGCATTAACTGCAACAATGGAACTACTTCAACAAAGAAAACTGGAAGTAACCTTGAAAGATTACGTACATAATCGAAGTTAAACAAGTTTTTAAGCTTACCTTAAAATTTAATGAAGAATGTGAAGGTATGTTATGTCTTAATATTTCTTAGGTTCTTTTAGGTACAGCTGTAAACACATAGGTAGGAAGGGGGAAANGGGGAAAATTGAATTTACGAAATTGAGTCACGATTTCGCAAAAAATACCCGTTCTTGACAAGTGACAACAACAAACAACATTTGACAGCTGTGAGCTGTCAATGATAAAAAATGGTTATCCATTTTACGCAAATTAAATTATCATATGCATTTTACTATTAATTGTATGAACTTACGAATTTAAAAGTTAGAATATTGGATTAAAATCAAATTAGAGTGCATAATCTATCTATCTATTTAAATAAAAATGAATTGATGTTCGTTAGTCTGATTAAAACTCGAGAACGGCTGGGCCGATTGAGCTGATTTTGGTTTTAAAATGTTTGTCGTAGTCCAGGGCAGGGCAGCAAATAAATTCTGTGACAGACAAAATTCCACGCGGGCGAAGCCGCGGGCGGAAAGCTAGTGAAAAATACATTTTATTTCAAATAGCGACTTCTAATTAACGCAAAAATTCAAATCCTTTTATCCGTTTCAATCCGTTTAGCCACTTGAGCAACCAGTATTATGAATTTTTCTTTTTCCTGAGTTGTAGATTTATTAATCTAAGATAGTAGGATATTCTTATGGACAAAGTCCGCAAACTCTATTGAAATTACTCGCACACTATTCCACGCCTATTTTATAAGCCTGACCAGGAACATAAAAACCCTGGCATAGAGGCGCGTCAATTGCATTAATAGTGCAACACTGAGTACAGTCGTACCTGTGTTAAATTAATAGGCTAACTTTATGTATCAGGATTTAGGATTACGGGCTAATTTGATATTTTCATAAATTAACGAAAAAATATAATTATATGTAACCTGGTTTAAATAAATTAAATGAAACCATCAATCGAGCTAGTAGGATTTATTTTATTTTTCATCAATAATCAAATTCAGAACTTGAATATTCAACTACAATGTCTGCTCATGAACGGTTCAAACTCGGTACTTCTTTCCCAATTCCATAAAATTCAACACTTAGAAAGTGACAAAAAAATTAAAATAGGTTGTTAAAACAAACCACAGCTAATTTTCATAGTGGACTGTACTATACGATAAACATGTCAGTCAATTTGACAATCTTTGTCGGAAACATTATTCAATGAAAATATTGTCCGAACCCTTAGTAAGGTAAGTGCCCCCTACTTCGGTATATTAAGGCTCTTACGACTTTAACATTTTATTTAAAAATAACCAAGCATGATATCAGTATGAAAGCTTTTGTATGCTAAACTTTGGTCTTTTGACAGTAAACTAATATATAATTTATAGTTATATATAGTTTGAACTTTTTTTTATATTAATTGTTCTGCGGACCTCTTGTTTGGATCCTGTTTCGTGACAAAATTTTGCTCTGTTTCTAAGTTCGTGAACTCATGTCCCCTATTTCGGGATAAGGTTTTATGCATACAGTTAGGATATTTTAATAATGATTAAGGGTTTCATAAATTTAAAAACGATAATAAAAATTTAGAATAAAATAATTATGTGAAATTGACGATGTTACTTACCTGAAATATTCATAAGAAATAATGTGAGTCTTGTAAAATATTTTGATTTGTTAATTCTAACAATATGTGAAAATATTTCTATAACCATTANAAATACGAAAAGTATGTTGACTTTTCCAGCTTAAACATTGGCTTAAACTACTGAACCGAATTTAATGAAATTTAGTTAAATGTAGAGATAGAGACCCAGGGAAAAAATATAGTTGTAAGGATAGTTCTTCTTGTTTGAAATCTTTTATAACACAACGCTTTGCATATAGCTTACGATTCGAAATCGTGTAATATTATTAAACTTTTTAGTACTAAGTAAAACCATGAAAAACATTCATTTGTTGAAATAAGTGACACATGACAATAATTGACTTTGATTTATTTCACAAGTTACAAACAACTTGCAAATATAGTTTACTAAAATGAACACTCAGGAAAATCCAACTAAGCTTTCAGTTTCTTTATCAAATTTATTTAAACTAGGCATTTTCGAGACATTGTATGCTAAAAGTAATTCTAATCCAGACTCAAAATGTAATTCTCCAAGAGATCCTGTGGACAGGAGAGCGGGGGGTGACTCCCAGGTTCCTCAGAAATGTGCGTGCACTGTACCCGACAGCACAAAGTGCACAGCTGGTGACCGGGGCAAGACAGGCGCCGGGGTGACTGGCTCTCGCACAGGCCGAGTGAGCGACAAAGATCCCGAGGACCTACCAGCCGGGGCATCTAACCCTGGTCTCTTGAGATACATCCACAACGCTGCACGATATAGATTGCCGCAATGTTTCGAAGGCGCTTGCGTTTCGGTTAAACAGAATTCTAAAAACAATTGGATTTTGGGTCATTCGTTGTCGTTCAGTTCCGTGTCACCGGGAGGGTACAAGCTGCTGCTGTCCTACGTGGACAAGAGTAAGCCGAAAGGGCTGCCTTACTTCGTGATGGAAGCGGCTCCGGGTGGGCAGATGAGTTGCGAGGTGCGCGTAGGGCCCACGCAAGGCACGCGAGCCACGGTAGTGGCGCAGATTGCCGATGCCGAGTTCTATAGTTTTGAGAGCATCTTTGATGCGTATTTCAACAGTTTTACGGCTTCTATTATAGCTGTTAATCGTGAATTTATAGCTCTACATTTTCTTCAGGTGCGTAATATTCATGTGTCCCTGAGCTTGGATAACTTGTTTAAGAATTGGAGTTGACTAGATTTCTTCTGATGCAGGCAATCACGGACCAGATATCGCTTGGCGCGGAGGTGGTGGCCCGCGGGCACGCGGTGGAGCTGAGCTCTGCGTCGGGCGCGGGCCGCTGGGCCACCGAGGACCAGTCGCTGAGCGCCACGCTCGGCAACCGCGGCCTGGACCTGTGCTACGCGCGGGCTCTCAAGCCTTATCTCACAGTTGCTGCTATGCTCGAGGTGGGTACCTTTAAAATTACAGGTAATAGCGCCTCATTAAGTAGGTTCCTGCAGTAGAAGTTAATAGAAGTTCCTGGTAGTAGAGCGGTCCAGGTACCTTCCAAAACACACCTGTTTTGTTACGCAGCAATCGCCATTGCGAGGTCTACAAACAATAAGCACTTTTAAAAAAAGGTACAGGGAATACGTTTTTAGTACACAATTACTGACGTAGGTAACTTGTATCCATACCTCAAGATTCCAGACAAACGAGCACGGGGGTAGGTAGGTAGGTAGGTCACCGATCATCGCATTTAAGACTGCAGTGGCTTGACTTGTCTTGATTTCTCATAAAATTGACTCTCTTCTCTCGACGTAGCACATAAGCACCACTAAGATTGTATATAATTAATTGACATCGTAATAACAATAACGTAATAACATCTATCTGACATAATTATTTTTAAATATGCGTAAATGAATTTTATTTAATTTACTAGATCTGACACTAATGATGTACTTTATTTTGTTTGTTTTTTTTTTCTGTATTGTGGGTAGGCGATGCGACTAACGCGCTCAGGATTATGGGCCAATCTGATTCACCTACCTGACGCTATGAATAGACACAACCACGCAAAATGGTTCGATCGCACGTGACGGTTTTGTGGTCGTCGAGACACACACAATCACTGTATACACAAACACTTTATTACATTACAATTTATTTATTATGTACACCCACACAGTTTTGTTTTTCAAATATTATCGTTTTATTTATAATATCTTATTACATCTTTTCTTTATAATAATATTATACTGTACTTACACTTAAAATTTATACGCGCACTATTATTATTATTTATGTATGTATATTTTATGCAGTATAGGTTAGTGTCCGTGACTCCCACTCGGCATGGGGCACACTGAAAACCAGCGTCGTGGCCTCCCTCACCGGGGGCCATGGCATATGCTGAGTGGGGTCCCATTGCGATGGACATCGCTGTGCGACAGGGTGGCACTGCTCAGTTTTACTTTCACTTTCATTGTATGTTTTATTTTATGTCACCTATGTCTTATTTACTTTTTTTTCTATTATTTACATCTTTTGTCTTCTGTGATGTCCATGGCAATAAATGTTTCTTTCTTTCTTTCTTTCTTTCTTTCAATCAGCAAGGTTTCAGATCAGCAGTTGTGCTTCAGATTATGTAGGTGGAGCGCTATGTATTGTTTTCAATAACAATTTGGCAACTGCATTTTAACCAATGCGATTTCAATTTGCTTTAACTATCACCTAAGAATTAAGAATTGAATCTTTACAGGTGGGTTTCGCGATCCGTCGTGCAGTGGCCACGCTAGCCTACGAGTGGCGATCAGATGAGTGGACGGTGCGTGGCTCAGCCGACTCGGACGGCTTGGTGGGCGCCACGCTGCAGCGCGCTCTGGGCGGAAAGCGCGCCCAACTGGCCTGTGCCATCTCTGCCCTGCTCAACCACCCCAACGACAAGTTCCGACTCGGCTTTGGAATCACCGCTGCTATTATTTAACTTCAACGTATCGTATCAGGAGACCCAGTGTGGGTTAAGGAGATTGTGCGAGACCATCCTGAACAACAAAGAACGCTTAGGAAAGGCAAAAGGCAAAGAACGCTACGCAATACCGAGCTACCAAACCAAGAATTACCGTGAAGCGTATAGTCAGTCACCCAAGTAATTAATACTTTCCAACTAAAAGTAAAACGCATATCAAACAAAATCCACTATTGATCCCGAGCCGACGGATTCGCCGCAATGTTGTTAAGAGCTTTAAGCTCTACCTACATTTATTAATTCTGAAATTTCTAATACTTCTACTCTAATAGGTACTTCTCGAAACGAGAAAACCACGTAAAACTTAACTTCACAATAACATTTGAGTAAATAACAAAATATATTTTCTACGAACTTGCAAATCTTGCAACCATGCAGTTTACCTGCGTTTTTGAGTAAGTAGTCATTTAGGACATTTTGTTCTGAGAACTATGTTTTAATGTTATTCATAATTGTATGTCATTTAGATTGTATTGCTTGTTAATTTTATTTATATTAGATAGTTGTAGTTTATAATATCATGCGCTTATTGTGTACGGACGCTTGTGCTACGTAAAATAAATTGTATTACACTTACCCTTTGTTTTATCACTGAACTTCCCTTAACGCTTATCACAATCACTCACTTATCCCGCAAATTGTCCGGCATTTGCACTGCGAGTCTCACACGACCGACGGAGAGGACTATATTAAAAATTCATCTGCTGTATAACGATAATGTAGGCGTGTATTATGCTCCGACGGCCAGCTCGGCTCCGTCTGCTGCGTGCAGTAGGGCGGGCGCCTGCGCGACTTCTGGGCGGGGCGTGCACCGCCGCCTTTGAGGGTGCGATGTTGGAATGTTGACTTTAAGTGTGGGGGATATAGATTTTTATAGGATGTAGGGGCATTGTGCAATGCGATGTGGGCGTGTAGAGCGTCGTCGGCGGCGGTCCGTAATCCGTAGAGCGTGGCGAGTGATGGCCGCGCGCGGCGACGCGTGCTCTCGGCAGTAATGGTGATGGAGCGGCTGGCGGACTTTGTGAGCAAGTCGCTGGAGGGTGGCGAGGCGCCGGCGCCGCCGCCGGAGCCCGGGGAGGATGACGGCGACGACGTGGAGGTGGACATCACGGCGCTGGAAGAAAAGCTTCCGCCGGCCAAGAAGCCGCGCAACTGGCTCGTCTCGCCGGTGCCGTCGCAGCAGTGCAAGAGGGAGCTGACGATAGATGATGACGATGACAGCAAACATGGTAAGTCCTACCTTCTTTTTCTGTGTAAAAAAGTGGCTGTTCCTTCATGGCACAGTGGTAGAACAATTTTAACCGTATTTACCGTTTCTACCCTTGTCCGTAAAACAACCCTGATTAATTTTATTTCACACTAGCTTTCCGCCCGCGGCTTCGCCCGCGTGGAATTTTGTCTGTCACAGAAAAACTTTATCGCGCGCGTCCCTGTTTCAAAAACCGGGATAAAAACTATCCTATGTTCTTTCCCGGGACTTAAACTATCTCTATGCCAAATTTCATCAAAATCGGTTGCGAGGTTTAAGCGGGAAAGCGTAACAGACAGACAGACAGACAGACAGAAAGACAGACAGAGTTACTTTCGCATTTATAATATTAGTTGGGATAACAAGACCAAAAGAAATAGAATTTGAAAAAGAAAAGAAATCAAGCAAACCTTTGAATGTTAATTTGCTTCGTTTGTCCCCTCCATGGAGCTCCGGTTTTATTTCCGAAGCTTACTTAAATTATAATCATATTTATCATTTTCGATAATTATTATCGGAATGTTCAAAGAACATACTTTCCCGGATGAAGATTGTAGTTGCAAGACAGTACCTACTTACCTACCTTTGTTCTTGATTCTTGATGCTACAATAGTTACCTGCTACTTGCAACTATTTAGGCTATTTCTAATATTTCATGTAAAACCTGTCGTACCTAGTCACTATATTAAATTTTATGTTATTGATAAATAAAAGAAAAATTACACTATAAATCGATCCTAGTCATTTTCAGGGAGCTTATTTTACGATATAAACGCCTAATCATATATTATAAACTAACATCATGTGAAATCATGTGTGTGATCGATATTAAAATGAAAGTAAATAGAAAATATTTATTTATTAATTAACCATCATAAATAATAATACATAATTATACTTAAATTGTTAACAACTTATCAACATGTTAATTAAAGTTGCAACTTTTATATACCTATATACTTTAAAAGCTTAAATAATTGCATTCGTTTTGTGTTGAATCACAGTCGACTCTTTTTATTAATGTTTTATTTACTACTAGCTTTTGCCCGCGGCTTCACCCGCGTGAAATTTAGTCTCACAGATCGGCATAAATTATAGCCTATATTTTAATCTGGATTACAAACAATAACACTGTAAAGTTTCAACAAAATCCGTTAAGTAGTTTTTGCGTGAAAGAGCAACAAACTTCCAGACATCCAAACTTTCAATCAATATAATATTATGACTTATTGCTAACAAACATACTCGTATTGTAAATATAATCTTGAAAAAAAAAATCGGCTAACTAATGGAGTCGGAGTCGGACTCTCGCACCGAGGGTTCCGTATAAACTTTCAGGTATGTTAATAATTTAATATACAGTTTGCTCTTTAATTAAAGTTTTTTATGTGATGATCGTGTAGTTACACGATTTTCGGATTTTTTCTTTTGTTTGTGCTTTGTGATATTCCTTCTTGCCAAAATGTAGTTGTAGGTTAATATAACTTATAAGGATTCCGTTTTATTGTTTCCGTTTTTTTTAGGTACGGAACCCTAACAATTTTAGGTATAATACGCAGGTAATCTAATAAACTAATGCATAAGTGACTATCAGGTATGATCTGAAGCTCATCCGTTCAATTATTACATTGAGTGACACTACCCAACAAAGCTTTCTTAATTTTCCCCGATTGCCTAAATAATTATGTGGTCTACAGGGTGACAGGGAAACTCAGAACTCTCGACCTATTCCTTGAAAGGGATTATACCTACTATAAGAGGTTATTAGCAACAATATAAGCCCAGTGAACTAGGGGTCAAAACTGGAAGGTTACTAAGTTGTGACGGTTATCTACGGTTATCCGATTTTTTAGCTGACTTGTTACAAAAACTACTCTACCTACTCTAAACATTGAATTGATACTTTGCTGAAAGCTGAAAAATTAGAGATCATTTATGAAGTGCTTGCCTAAAACTTACATAATTTCAGAACAATATTTTTTTATGAGTTTATGAGTTAATTACGTTTTACGGACACTCAACTGCACGCAGGAGGATTTTAATGAATGCTGCTGACAACGCCATTCTTGTGGCGGAGTTTTGGGCCGACACTGTGTAAGTTTGTTATCAACACGATAAGAAGAAGACGGACACTCAAAATATTTATATGTAGGTAGTAGGTATTTAACTATTTCCAATTTAAAACAAAATTAATATCCAATCTAAAATCTAAAATTAATAACCATTCGCCCCCTTGAATTTTAAGTTTGTCACAGAAGACCGACTTATTTAAACCGACATAAGTCTGTTTAATTTGGTCAATTAATAGGTATTGTTATAAATAGTATCCTGTATTGTATAAACAATAATACTATTAAGTTTTAATTCAAATTCAAATATTTATTTGCACAATTTTGGCTAAACATAATAGTCTTAAAACTAGTATAAGTAGAGCGCCAAAATTTGCTGTTTCATCAAAATTCGTTAATAATGTTGTGTTTTTTTAGTGAAAGAGTATAATTTAACAAACATCCATTCGTTACAATAAATTTTCACATTAAAATCGTTCTTCAACGCACAGTTACTACTAGGTAGGTTTAAAAAGATAGTGACAAAGACATAGGTTCTATAAATTACAACACACACTACGAATGCAACACTGCAGTTTTCGGTGAAAGTAGTTTCAAAGATAAAATTCAAACTGGCTTTAAACATAATTTACCTTTACCATTCGTTTAAATAATAATTTGCATCAAAGTTATTAGTCCAGTAGAATTAGATTTTAAATCGGAAATAATTCCTACAAAAGATTTTATAGTTTTAATGGCTTCATTGGTTGCCCATTAAGACTCTCCTAGGTTTTCGACTTCGACGGCGTTGTGCTTAAGTGGTGGGGGCCCCCGAAAGGGGGTTTTTTCGGTTTTCCGGTTATACCGCGTAAAGGACTTACCCTATCGAAAAGTGGTCTTCGTGACGGTTGAAGGGCATTTAATGCTGCATTAAATAAGACCAAATTCATATGTTTTGGACAAACCGTTCTCGTGCAAATGTTCGGCAAAGTAGAAAATATGTGTATAATTATTAACCCTCTCCACGTCCAATAGCTCGTCACCCGTAGGCTCCCCAACCTTGTAAAGGGTCGCCTTAACCAGCGTATCCCTGTCAAGGCTCACGAGTTGGATTCGCTTATCCTTGTTCGTCCCAGTCGTTCCTTAACTGCGGTTGCTGCACCTCTTCCTGGCACTCTCCTGAACGACTCTGTGTTACCTAATGTGGCTGCCCCTCTTCCTTGTACCCTCCTGTACGATTGCATTGCTTAGCCATATGCCTGGTCCAAGGTTCGACGCCACAAAATCAACTTCGTACGCGTGAAAATAGTTTAAATACTATTTTCAGTGCCTGCAACATTTTTCTTTACTGCTTCGCCTCTATTAGTCGTAGAGTAATTGTATGTATTCTATAGCCTTCCTCAATTTATGAGCTATTTAACACAAAAATAATTATTTTAATCAAACTAGTAATTCTCGAGGTTAGCGCGTTCAAACAAACAAACAAAAACTCTTCAGCATTTTAATATGAACTTGTTGTTGTTGATTTTTGGCGTCGAACCTTAGACCAGGCATACGGCTAGGCAACGAAGTCGTGCAGGAGGATACAAGGAAGAGGGGCAGCCACAGTAGGTAACACAGAGTCGTTCAGGTGAGTGCCAGGAAGAGGGCAGCAACCGCAGTTAAGAAACGGCTGGGACGAACAAGGATAGGCGCATCAAGCTCGTAAGCCTTGATAGGGTTACACTGGTTGAGGCGCTCCTTTTTAAGACTTGGAAGCCTGCGGGTAACGAGCCATTGGACGTGGAGAGGGTCATTAATTATACACATATTTTCTACTTTGTCGAACATTTGCACGAGAACGGTTTGTCCAAAACATATGAATTTGGTCTTATTTAATGCAGGATTAAATGCCCTTCAACCGTCAGGAAGACCACTTTTCGATAGAGTAAGTCCTTTACGCGGTATAACCGGAAAACCGAAAAACGCCCCTTTCGTGGGCCCCCACCACTTAAGCACAACTCCGTCGAAGTCGAAAACCTAGGAGAGTCTTTATGGGCAACTAATGAAGCCATTAAAGCACTAAAATCATTAGTAGGAATTATTTCCGATTTAATTCTACTGGCCTATATGTGAAGAACACTAACCTTACTTATAAAACTTACATGCTCGTTGAACAGTAGTTTAAAGTGACGTTTAGTATAGAAATGACATTTTAAAACAGAGTTTAACAACTGTGTTTATTAGTAAGGGGGTAAAAGCTCAACGAGTATAAATAATAAAGTAATTTCTTTCTTTCTTTCTAATTATTTCCATCCATCCATTGACAGCCTCGCTGTCGTGAAGCGTTAAATCCTCATTGTTTNGGTGATGATGGAATCACGTACCTTTTTGTAGAAAGTGGCAAAATTATTTAACGTCGTCGTTTTATCGAAATTTTTTTACGATATTAAACAGAAATAAACTCAACGACCTTTAAAATGGACAACGAATCAGATTTTTTTAAATAACATAACCTTAGCGAACCTTACAATATAATAAACGAAATCAACGAAATGCGAATTACACAACATTCAACTTAATCGATGGGGGACTCTAGAAAGGAAAAAAATCTGGACACCGCTTGCTAGTGCTAGCGCCATCTAGCGGTGAGCGATACAGGCGAACACCACGGTGCCGGAGTAGTATTGATTATGAATGTGGTGTTACTCAAGATCTTCGATTTTCCTAGTTTTTATAGTTTTCCCTTTATTTGGCCATTAAACCCTAACTCTGTACCAAATTTCAGCTCTCTGAGTTTATGGGAAGTACTAGTTCTATTTTGATGATCATCAGTGAGTGAGTGAGTGAGTGTCGTAAATGCGAAACTTTGCTTTCGCTTAACTTCGGAACTAAATGACCTACAGATTTGAAATTTTGGATTTTAAGTATGTGATTATAGCTTACTAGATGACGAAAATTTCTGCGTTCTGGTTTTATCCAGAGGTTCTCAAATAGGGGCCTGAAAATGCGGCGAAATGGTTCCAGTAAAGGATGGTACGGCAGTGTTTGCTTCGCGCTCGACTTGGCGGGGGCACTGCCGTGCCGCCAGATTTACATCAAAGTTATGTGAACACTAACTTATAAAACTTACACGCTCGTTGAACAGTGTTTTAAAGTGACGTTTAGTAGGTACCTATAGAAATGACATTTCAAAACAGTGTTCAACAACTGTGTTTATTAGTAAGGGGGTAAAAGCTCAACGAGTTTAAATAATAATTATTTCCATCCATCCATTGACAGCCTCGCTGTCGTGAAGCGTTAAATCTTCATTGTTTTAAGTTTAAAACAATCATTTAATGAATATCATTCAAGATTAGCTGCGAACGAGAGGAACAAATGAAATGAATAAGCCGTTAATGGATATCCGGAAAAGACTTTTCAATCAAATAAATCACCGAGAGAGAGTTTAACGGGGTTATTCTCAGCGTCGTTCGACAATTAATCACTGTTCTCGGATCTTTAGCGAGCGTAAGAAAGCCCTGGAGACGAAAGGGGAGAGCGGGTGTGGCCCGCAGCGCCGCCCACATCTGGATAATCCCTCCATTTACATAATTGCCGTATAAAAACGAGAGCTTCCCAATTTGCTAAATTGCTCTAAACGACACTTCATGTCGTGGCTGGATCGCCGGCGTCTCGGCGCTGCTCCAAGCTCCGAGCGAGCGACGACGTGATCGATCCATGACATAAATTAAGTTTAATCTTGGGACAGATTTGTTCACCATCATTTATTTAGTAGATAAGTTACCNAGTTACCAGCATAACATGAAATGAATTTATGCTATTGATATGTTTATGAATTTTTCAACTTACTTAAGGCTCGGTTCGGTCTATCAGAGCTTTTAAAGCTTACTTTACGATTAGGTACCGATTTTTGATTTTGATTTTATACAAGATATCAAAAAACTGGTTACTGATTTTGAAAGTGTTTCACGAGCTCTATCAATTTCCAGGTATCAATAAGCTACAGTATACAGGGTGGAAACGATAAGTGACCTCATTCGATTATTTCTAAACTATACAAGATATCGACAAACTGGTTACTAATCTTGAAAGTGCTTCAACGGTACCAATATTAGGTTACACAATTAACTGCATCTATCCGAAAATTTAATGTTTTCAGCCTTCATACTAAATGTATGCCAGCCAAACAATAATAGAAGTATATTTTTTTTACTAAATAATAAACACTTAAAATGAACTCGTAAATTGCATTCTTATTTAAAATTATTATTGGAAAACATTGTCTTTAGTCTTCACTTGCTATAATATTAACAAGATATGAGTGCCATGACTGTGGCTGTACCTACTAAATGAATGGAAGCTGGAAACATTGAATTTTCGGATAGATCCAGTTTATTCTGTAACTTATTATTGGTACCGTTTGATAGAGCTTGTGAAGCACTTTCAGAATCAGCGTAATCAGTTTTTCGATATCTTGTATAGTTTAGAAATAATCGAGTGAGATCACTTAAAACGTTTCCACCCTGTATATCTTTCAAAAAATTTATTGTTTCCAGCTTCCATACATCATCACTATATCTGATTCTGAATATCATAACTAGGTATTATAATAAGTTAAATAATTTATTGACACTAATTCAGTTTATCTGTGTCAGATATCACGGACAAATCCCCAAACGGGGTGGGTGGTGGAGCCGGCGGCAAGCAGCGGCGGTCGCGGACCAACTTCACGCTGGAACAGCTGGGCGAGCTGGAGAGGCTGTTCGACGAGACGCACTACCCTGACGCCTTCATGAGGGAGGAGCTCAGTCAGCGACTCGGGCTCAGCGAGGCGCGGGTGCAGGTAAAAACTTAATATTTTACTGTATAGCACGCCTGAGGAGGCAGAATAGACTGTTTAACAATATGCTTTACCCCAACGCATTAATGAGAGCAAACTAAAGTGGAAATGGGTAGGACACATAGCACGAAGAATTGATGACCGACATGGGGCAAGTTCCTGAATGTAGGACACGTACCAGAAAACACAGTGGGACGTCCACTCAGAAAGTGGACAGATGACCTAATAAAGGTCACAGGATGGCTCTAGTTTCGGATCGCTTCTAACCAGCCACTCTGGAAATGATTGGAAGAAACCTATGTTCAGGACCAAGTGGCCCAAAATGATGATTCACGAGAGATTGAGTACCCCACCAGTATTGAGGCCAGGTTGCATGTTTTTCTCTAACTGTGCGCTAATTATTCTTAAGCAAAAGAAGGATTGTTCAATGCTCTATAGTTCACAGTAGGTCCGAGTATCTAAACAATTTATGATACAATGATGAGCCGGATCACCTGCTCCAAAATGCCAACCCTAAGAAAAACAAGCTTTTCGACTCTAACAATGAGTAAGTATACAGTTGACCTTGATAACTGTTTCGCTCATAACGAAAAGCTGCTACTAAACCGGACGCTGAGCTTTTCGCTATACCCGAGAGAACCATGACGTAGTCTTTTATAAAATTTTGATCTTTTATGGTAAATGACTGACAGGGTCGCCTAAATTACCTAGCATGTAGGATTTTAATTATTGAGCAGCAATTGCCATCTAAAGCTACCCCAGTAATGCGTGCCCACTTAACATCGCGACCCCTGTTCATTACTAATGCACGTAATTAGCTGTGAGCGTCCAACAAGTGCCAGTTTATCGGCAATATATCGGCATTAGTGCCAGATCGGCGTTAAGTGCCACGATGGTCCTCGCAAGGGACATAAAGTGCCAGAAAATAAATAGGCAACACGTAGCGGTAAGTCTTCACTAGTGTCATGCGATGCTGCTGCCTAATGTAACTACTAATTGCATAATTAGTTAATGTTTTTTAGTAAAAATGAAAATGACTGATTTGCTATCGACCACAGCAAATAAAAACAGTCGAGATTTTCTAAATATACGGAACCTCTGCCACGCGACGAGACTACCTCTACCTTCTTGCAGCCTATGTACTTATGTAGATTTAATCTTACGATTCGCTATTAGGTACGTATACAATAAAAACTGACAAACTACTTAATTAAACGTAGTATTTTAAGTGCTGTAAAATTTCAGAAACATATTTTAAAGAATCAATGAAAGGATTAAAATATTTCTCAATTATTAGGTAAGTATCTTACTTAATCGTCCATAACAAACATTTCTGTCAACATGCCAAAAAATATTTAAATACGCTTTATTTACCGACATATTAAATCACCACTGTTTGCCATCAAATTCATTTAAAACATGGCAATTGTTCAGCATAAAACGAGGGATGTTTGTGTTTGCTTGTTATTTAGGGCTGATTTTTCAATCGTCAGATATTTTTTATCTGAAGAATAAACTTGTCATTTTGACATAATTCCTATACTGAAACTGTCAATGTGTCAATTTATTCTTCAGTTAAAAGTTATCTGACGATTGAAAAATCAGCCCTTAGTCGCATTGTCTAATGTAATCAAAGCTAATGAATTCGCCCCTAGTTAGCGTATTGCCCGTCGCAACTCACACACACTAATCGAATATGTATGTGTGTCACAGATTGCTAATAATAACAATCACAATGATATTGGCATTTCAAATAGAATAGTTACACAACATACAATTAGGTACTTTTTTTTAATCAACCTACATGCGTGTTAATAAATATGTATACCTACGATATTGACCGAGTAAATTGAATAGGTAATGACTGGTTTTGTGAAGATAATAAAATATTAAGATAATTATTACATTAGTTAACTTTAAAACCAAAAGCAATCATTTTTATTTTGAGATAGAGTCAACTTGTAGAGATACTGTTTTTGACCGGGCGGTTTTTTAAATTTAAATTTACTTCATCCAGTTACCGTATGTAATTTTGGACTGTATCAGATATGTGAACTAGCTACTAATAAAGTATCACACCAATTCAGTCTAATACATGTAGGTACCACAATTTGATGTCGGTACCAGATGCAATCAGCACGGCGCGTGCCCTCCTCGCTAATGCGGTTACCCGTGTTTGGCCGGCCGAACACGCGCGTTACAGTACACACACTGCAGTACACAGTGTACAATTTGTGTACTATACTTGCGTATGTACGTGTCGGCGCAGTAACTCGATTACGCGGGTTGTCTCGCTCGAGCCGAGATTACGAGCCCTCGTTTGTTTTTGCAATTATCGAAACTTTAATGCTAATGTTAATCGACATGTTTGTCCAAAATCTGATCTGATTTTATGATGCGTATTGCTAAAGGCCTATTCAGACCTAAGCGGTATTCGCTACCGTCTGCAGCAGAGAAAACGCTCTAGCCGCGGTACTTGATACTAAATACCTGAGCGAAACCCGCGCGGTATGTATGTACCTCTAGTCTCTACCCACAGCGGCAGCGAATATCGCTCAGGTTTGAATAGGCCTTTAAACACGCTCAGGACTGCGTATAGGAAATGAGGTCTACCTGCCAATGGTGTATTTATCGTTAAATAAGTGACAAAACTTATACATGTCTAAGTGCGCGCTTCCCTTAAATGGGAGTTTGTTATTTTTAAGTTGCAGCAATAGAATATAAGATGGTTAAGAGNTTGTCGACAATTACAGCAGGAATTTACCAAGTGTTATACCATTTTGGAATCCTTACTAAATGTGCCAAATTATGATGTCACTTGCCACACTCGCGTAGTACAATTTTTTTTCAGTACAGTCAGTTTAAACTAGGCAAAATTTTTATTTTGAAAATTTTTTTGGGAATAATTTATTTTTTTCATCCAAGCTGGAGCAGCTGGTTTTGTAATTTTGATAACAATTTAGAGAAGCATTATTCAGGGTAACATAACAAAAAAAAATTTGGAAAAAGTGAAGATTTGTGGCAACACGAGTAAAAAGACCGTCACCGGGAGTAGAATTTTTTGTTTTTTTTTTAAATGCCTATTATTTTGACAAAATGCCACATAGTTTTTTTTTCATATTTTTCTGATAACCAGTATAACTTGCCTCAACACCCAGTTCCGGCTTGACGTTACATTACGGGACACCCTGTATATAGATTTTACCTGACGCTTCTTTATGGCATACCTACCATGTATTTCCAAGGGGCAGATTTTTCTGTTCGGTTTGGTTGGTGGTAGGGCTTGTTCTAAGTCCGCCTGGCTAGCTACCACCATCTTACCTAAGTCTGTCGCCATAACAACAATGTTAACAGCATTGTTGTGTTCCGGCAGTTAGAGGTAAAATAGCCAGTTCCTCCGTGGTTGATGATTCCGGGTGAAGCTCGCTTCCACCTTCGGCCTGATCATCACTTACCATCAGGTGAGATACAGGCCAAGAGCTTCTTCGTTGTGGATAAAAAAAATATTTAAACTTTTAAAATATTATGACAGAACATCAAAATTTGATCACGATGTTGATCAAATTTTGAATTGGCAACGAAAAACGGCACTCTTGCCTCGCCTTGCCGACTGCGTATATTCTTACTTACAACCAGCAACCTGAAAAGCACCACTGAAGGTATATCCATTATTTTGAAACAACGCTCTTAATAATTTTAGAACAAAGGTACTATGTTAATTATGACTCATCTAGAGTTTTGTTGCAGGTGTGGTTTCAAAACAGACGAGCGAAATGTCGGAAGCACGAAAGTCAAATGCATAAAGGTAAGAAAATCTATTGTTCACATCCCAAAGGCAATCTATATCCATTATGTGTTTTCTATAGATATTTATCAAGATGGAAATATACCTAAAATACCCGAAGAACGGATGTGGCTTCAACAGTTAACGATACATTGCAGATAAGTTTAAATGAATGGGTAGACATTGCTGTACAAATTGTATTTTAAATGTGCTCGCGTTTAATGTAGTCGAAAAGTACAATTGAAAATTATTTTGGCAAACTAGACGAGCATTTGGCTCAGCTCTGTAATTGCATGGAATGAGTTCACTAGAGCGTATATTGCATTAAATATGAGCTCCAAGTAAAAAAAATACACTGTTATTTAATTTTTGACTGTCTTATATTATCCCGTTATTTGCAGTAGGTAGATACTTATATCAAGTTAAAATGCAAATGTTTGACGATCTTATCTTCGTACATAAGTTGTAAAGTTTATTTCTTATACATTGTAATCAATGTGACTAAACATGTACGCTTTGGCTTTTCTGTAAGCTTATTATGTTGCTCATTAAATAAATAAATAAATGAGTGTGATGTAATAGAGCTTGTATCAAATAAAAATAATGTCATCTTCCTTCCCGTACAAGCAATCTCGTTTACGTTATTATGGGGGCACTCTCCAGGAGTCGAATCTTGACCACTGAGACTCGAAATCGCTAAGTGCGTTGCGCAATTTCCCGAATTTATCGTCTTGTGTGTAGCGGGTGTTTTTTACCGCGTTCTCGCGATTTCCCGCCCGACCCGCAGCCATTTTAATTATTCATCCGCGTGAGTTATGGTCGAATTAAAAAACTGTTAGAGTCGGACCGGCGCCGGCGGGAACTGTAATCGAGTTAGACAGAGTCATGGAGAATACATAATGCGTTAGTGTAGCGCAATAATTTTCAGCTTTGAATTGGGGAAGTGATTTCAAAATCATTCGCTGCAAAACAAACTGTTTTATGCAATTTCGACAAATCGACAATAAGACGTATTGGTAGGCATACGGTCATACAATAGTCTGTATCCATTGAAGCTCGAATGCGGTGTTGCAGAATGCATAATTATCACATTTCTTTATTATTATAACTGTTTTCAGGCCTGTATTGTTGTAAATATTTAGCTAACTACACTGTGTTCGAGTTTGATTTAAGTTCTGCGATGTATTGCTTCCTAGATTTTTAGTTTCCCTTATCGTAAAAATATTTCATAGCAAAATATTTATCGTCGTCTCAGAGACCCAGTAACACTAATGTTCCCCTCGTTTAGCCATCGTTTTGATACAACATCCGCGGTGTGTCGTGTCTTAGCTCGTTACGTCAAGCGCGCTAACGAGACGCGACCGCGGCTCCGCGACGCGAGATCACACTATCTCGTGATTGCAAGTATCCTGCTAAACGGAGCGTAAAGCGGAAAAAAGCCGCTCTCCGGAATCGAATAAAATGATTCCCCGTGGGAGTCATTCGGACGCAATCCCGCCGTCCCCTGCTAAATGTCTTATTAACTTATGTGCCCTCCCCGCGGCTAACGCGAGCACAATCATGTAAAGTGAAATGAAACGGTTATTTGTTACGTTCCCTTTGACGGAGCGCGCTGAGATTCTCTATGTTGGTGTCGTTTGTGGATTTGTAATGTTAATTGAATGACAGTGCAATAGATATTATGTTGAAATAACATTATCATACGGAAGCAAGACACTCTACTGTGACTGTGTGCTCTCATACAAAAATAAAATATCAAATGTCAAGTGCATTATTGCATATAAAGGTAACATAACGTCAATAACAATAAAAAAAAGTAAATAAAGCATTGATTGTTATTCTATTCATCCTGTGTGCCAACAAATGGTCGTCAACATTCAAGAAGCGTAAAAAGTTATCTTATAATCAAGAGAACAACACATTAGATTAAGTTATCACATCTTCATATTAGTGAAAAATCCAAAGAAATGTTACTGGTAAAAACATCATATACCACCTTTTACGAACGCAATAAATCGTGAAAAGTAGGTACTGGATCTTCATAAAATTAAGAATTCATTTTTAACGAAGAAATGAATCTTCGCCGAGCGCGGCGCTCGCCATAAAAACAATCACAACGCCGTGAAACTCAAGAATAAAAAGAATACACCGACGCCTAATTGTTCCCCTGTTCATAAAATTGTAAAGTTATTCGCGCAGAGTGAGGGTGGCGATATTTTATTGCGCAGAAACCGCTGTAAAGATGTTCGGAGCGTTTTAAAATAAGCGGGACGGAGGATGCACCCCGCGCCCGCCAGCTTACCTTCTAATTCGATTAAATTAAACAACTCAGAGTTAATCAAATAAATGCACGGCGGTCGCGGGGGGCGAGGGCCGAGGGTCGGGCCGCGTCGGGCGCTGGACGCGCACCCGCTCGTATTTATGTCGGCACTTCTCGAAAGTAATTCGGTGTCAAATATGGAAATAACTCATACACGCGGGGAGCATCCATTTTGATAATGCCGACGGCGACCGGAGCGACTCTGATTTACTGTGAGCGCGTCCCGCCCCCGCCTTCGTGCATGCTCTAACGGCCAACGTATTATTTGTACGAGTATGTTACCTACTACTTCTGTCTTATNAAAGAAAAAAATACAATAATAAGTATCGAGTTATTTATTTTTATTATAAAAACAAAACTGAACATATTTTTTTCTCAGTGTTAATAGTAAATTATAATGTTATAATGTCTTTTAGTTAGGTATACATAAATGTGACTGTATGTTATTACTTGCGGCCGCCCGCCATTTCGTATGCGTGGATCCTGTTTAACCCCCTTAGGGATTAAATTTTGCAAAATCCTGTCTTAGTGAGCACCTATGTTAAATTAGAGTTTGTCACAGATCGTCATAAATTATAGCCTATATGTTATTCTGGGTTATAAACAATAATACTGTAAAGTTTCATGAAAATCCGTCAAGTAGGTTTTGCGTGAAAGAGTAACAAACACCCAAACATCCACACAAACTTTCGCATTATAATATTAGCATGGTATAATAGTAGCAATGGTACTAAAGGGTTTGACGTTTGTAGACGGGTGATTCTACAAAAATTACAATTTAAATTATTTATTTATTTAATCTTCTGCATTTAAATACAATGCACTGTGGGGGACTTAATGCTGGATGGAATTCTCTGCCAGTCAACCACGGGTCATACAGAGAGAGTGAGGCGATGCAAAATATTTACATTAAGTATAAAATAAATCTACTTACAAAAGATTACATAAAATAAATAGAATAATAATACATAATATGTATAATTAGAATAGAAATAGTTACACTCTCTAATCCTACTAATTAATATTATAAATGCGAAAGTTTGTGTGGATGTCTGGGTGTTTGTTACTCTTTCACGCAAAACCTACTTGACGGATTTTCATGAAACTNGTATATTATGTTGAAGTAACATTATCATACGGAAGCAAGACGCTCTACTGTGACTGTGCGCTCTCATACAAATATAAAATATCAAATGTCAAGTGCACATAACGGTAACATAACATCAATAAGATTTAAAAAAAAAGTAACTAAAGCATTGGCTGTTAATCTATTCATCCTGTGTGCCAACAAATGGTCGTCAACATTCAAGAAGCGTAAAGTTATGTCATAATCAAGAGAACAATACATAAGATTAAGTTATCACATCTTCATATTAGTGTAAAATCCAAAGAAATGTTACTGGTAAAAACATCATATACCACCTTTTACGAACGCAATAAATCGTCAAAAGTAGGTACTGGATCTTCATAAAATTAAGAATTCATTTTTAACGAAGAAATGAATCTTCGCCGAGCGCGGCGCTCGCCATAAAAACAATCACAACGCCGTGAAACTCAAGAATAAAAAGAATACACCGACGCCTAATTGTTCCCCTGTTCATAAAATTGTAAAGTTATTCGCGCAGAGTGAGGGTGGCGATATTTTATTGCGCAGAAACCGCTGTAAAGATGTTCGGAGCGTTTTAAAATAAGCGGGACGGAGGATGCACCCCGCGCCCGCCAGCTTACCTTCTAATTCGATTAAATTAAACAACTCAGAGTTAATCAAATAAATGCACGGCGGTCGCGGGGGGCGAGGGCCGAGGGTCGGGCCGCGTCGGGCGCTGGACGCGCACCCGCTCGTATTTATGTCGGCACTTCTCGAAAGTAATTCGGTGTCAAATATGGAAATAACTCATACACGCGGGGAGCATCCATTTTGATAATGCCGACGGCGACCGGAGCGACTCTGATTTACTGTGAGCGCGTCCCGCCCCCGCCTTCGTGCATGCTCTAACGGCCAACGTATTATTTGTACGAGTATGTTACCTACTACTTCTGTCTTATTTCAATTTCTTTTCATTTTCCTGGTGGCGGCTTGCTTTTCGGTGTCGTTCTAATCCCGCTGGGGGCAAATTTCAGTATGATGACCATTCCATTCGTCCATAGTCTCTGTTTAGTTTGGCATTTTATTTATTAAGTACGTTTTATTATAATTTCTGAAACAAAAACGAACTCCTCAACTAATTAATATTGTAAAGTAACCCGACAGTTATTCCACTTTATCGTTGATTGTGTAAAATCTGATCCTACCTAAGGCAAGGATAATTAAATTAATGAATCCTTTAGACGAGATCCACCGAACACCTTAAGTCGGTTAGATCCGCGTTAATTTATTAATTGCTCACTTCGCCCGGCAGGCGGCTATAAACAATGGATCTCGCTTAATTTACGAGCAAATTATGCTTTACTTAAATATCAATTTAATTAAGTGGAGTTCGGGATCGGCTCCGGGAGGATTTGCCGCGCGGGACGGCTCCGCGCCGGTCCGGATCAATGTGAAGGCTTCATTGACAACTTACTGTTATTTTATGGGTCCGTTTTTCTCGTAACGTTTTAGAAGGTTCTTTCGACTTTGACAATGAAGCAGTGTAACATTATTCGATGTAGGGACAGGGAATGAAAACAAAAACAAGTTAAGCTTTTCAAAATGTTACAATTCAATCTCAGTGATATAACGGTGTTACGCTACTAAGATACACACGGTGGGATCTTAATAAAGCAGTTGTCATGGTCTGCTAAAAACCGCCTGGTAACATCAGTGGTCTGGTCTGCGCCTACTTTACTACCACCAACTTTTAGTTGGCCGATAGTTGAGCCCGATTCTAATATGTATGAAGATCGGCCATGTCCATACTGATAAACAGCCTGACCCAACTATCGGTCAACTAAAAGTCGGTGGTCTGCGCCTAGGCTTACAGTTTGGGAGTCACATAAAAATCAGTTTCTTCGTTATATTTCTGGCCTTCATACTTTATTGTATGAACCCATTTGCATGCAAGTTATATAACAATACAAGTACAGTAGAATCCCGATTATCCGGATCAATTAAAACCCAGGGTATTCCGGACAATCGAAAATCCGGATAATCGATTTGAAAGTAAAATCAAACAATAATACATAATCAACTTTTTACTGTAGAAAGGGTTTTAAATACATCATTTAGAGTCTAAATAAATTTTAGACCATTGGGTGAATCCATTTCTTTTAACTATGAACCAAGACGACGTCTGAACCGTGTTTCGGTGGCGGCGTCGAGCCGTATCACAGACGTCGTGCCGTTTTGATGGGTCCAGGACCTAAATCAGTAATTAGAGCCATGAAGAATGAGTCCGGATAATTGGATGTCCGGATAACAACTGTCTACAGCATTTTTGCACACGGGTTATGCATAGCTTATTTTTATTGTTTTAATACCTAGAAATAAGAATAACAACAAAAAATTGTTCTGAATTTGCTTTTATGTGTAAAAAATATCCCACCAAAAACATTCTGTAAAAAACTAGCCAAGTCTCGATGGAGCTGCTTGTTTATCTCTAAAAAGTAATGAAATCTAGACAAAGTCGTGCCAAGTCTATGGTTCCTTACTGCGATTTCTTTATTATTATAGTTAATGTTGTGTGACTTGGCCGTTTCAAGAACAGCTCACGCCATATGAATCAGTATTTTATGCCGGACACTGCTTATTTATTTTTTTGCGAACAAACTAACTTAATTAAAATTATGACACATTTTTTTTGCAGAAGGACAACTCATTAGCTTTCGAAATAATTTTAATTTATATTGATATATCAAAAGGAAAAAGCTATATCAACCATTTTGTTCCGGAAAATGGCTAACGGACACACCATATGAATCAGAGAATCACACTTCAAATATTTTTAATTTGTATAAAGACAGCAATTATGTCAAAAATGTAATTTGCGCCAGATAGGGCTATAGCTAAGCTATAGGAAAAAAAATATTGCATGCCATTTTGTTAGTTGGTTACTGAACTATACCCAAAGACATCGAAAATTTTGCCTCCGAAGAAATACCCATATGCTTTTTTTGGTTCAAAGTAGTCATTTCACTAGGACGCATAGTTTCCGAGGATTTAAGCGAAAAACCGAAAAGTGGCACCTTTAAACCCCCCTCTCCCCGCCGGCTCAAGGGCTAAGGGCGGGGACTTTTGCTATGTTCACCCCCTAACTAGTCTAAATAAAGTCCTGAAGTCAGAAATTGTGTTCTACAGTTTTCCATCTATAATGCTTTATTGACTGGACTAGTATGTTCCTTATAGAAACAAAAGCTACTTGACGGATTTTAACGAAACTTGGTACAATTATTCTTCATACTCCTGGGCAGGTTATAGTATACTTAGGAATTCCCACGGGAACGGGAATTAGCAGGAAAATCCTTTTGTATGAAAAATCTAAACCGCTTAAGTTAGACGCTTGAAATTTGGCATGCAGGTACCTTAGTAAACGTAAAGCTTAGTTACAACAGGATATTGCAAAATTCCCACGGGAACGGGAGTTGGCGAGAAAAAACATTTGTATGAAAAAATCTAAACCGCGTAAGATAGATGAAGGGGGTAAAACGGGATCCACGCGTACGAAGTCGCGGGCGGCCGCTAGTAAATAATAAAATATAAATAAATAAATAAATAAAATCATTTATTTGCCAGAATATGGTTACAAATGGTTACAGAGAGAGAAGTCTCCAACATACACTGGGAACAATTTAAAGACTTTTTTTCGCCTTGCCTTACCTGGTAGTCGAAACTAGACCCTACAAATCGAAGGCGGTAAATAAAAAGTATTAAACCTTGAAAGCAATATGGAATGCCGCGTATTTACATAACACAATATGCAGATCCTACATCAATATTGCNTCTACATCAATATTGCAGCACACGTAGGCTGCGAACTCCACCGGGAGCGCAACTTCATTCCGCATTAGATTAATAAGACATTAATAAAAATACTCAGTGTTATTTGTGGTGTTATTCATCATCGAAAATAGATTAAGTTATAATAAAGTTCAAACAAATGCGTTACACGCTTACGAGCTACATTTAAAATCCGTAGCGATTACGATGCGGGATAATAATGCGTGACGTCCCGTAGCTTCATAGATGCTACGAGCTACGCCCGTAGAGATCTAGGCTCTTCCGTAGCTGCAATCTACGCTTTTCCGTAGCTGCGTTCTACGCCCTTCCGTAGCTGTGATCTACGCTTTTCCGTAGCTGCGTTCTACGCCCTTTCGTAGCTGCGATCTACGCTTTTCCGTAGCTGCGATCTACGCTTTTTCGTAGCTGCGTTCTACGCCCTTCCGTAGCTGCGATCTACGCTTTTTCGTAGCTGCGTTCTACGCCCTTCCGTAGCTGCGATCTACGCTTTTTCGTAGCTGCGTTCTACGCCCTTCCGTAGCTGCGATCTACGCTTTTTCGTAGCTGTGTTCTACGCCCTTCCGTAGCTGCGATCTACGCTTTTCGTAGCTGCGTTCTACGCCCTTTCGTAGCCGCACTCCTCGCCGCCCGCCGCCTTCGCCCCCTTCGACTCGGCGTTGCTCTCTGCTGCGGCACACCAGGTAAATAACATTACATTTTACAGGCATACACTTAAAAGTATGTGCAATCTATTGATGTGTCGAGACATTGATAAGAATACACTGTGTCATCATCGAACGTCAATTAAGTTGTATTATAAATTTTAATATAAATATCCTTGGACATTTTACACTGCGCTTCTAGTCCCAAACAAAGAAAAGCTTGTACTATGGGTACTAGACAACGGATATAAACATACTTAAATACTTTTTTTTGCAAATACATACATAATATACATAGAAAACACCCAGTCCAATACAAACAAATAATGTTCATGCACACAAATGTTTGTACTGTGCGGGAATCGAACCCGCAACTGCAAATTACCTGCCTTGTTATGCATAAAAAATATAATAATAAAATTCAAACAAATGCGTTACACACTTCTTTTTATGCTAGACAAGGCAAGTATTTGACCGCAATCGCACCTGGTGTTAAGTGAGATGCAGTCTAGGATAGTACATATCTGCCCTGTAAGTGCCTATTCACTCTCGCCTTGAAAACGCCCGGATTATAGTGTTCAGGAAATACAGCAGCAGGCAGCGAATTCCAGTCCCTAGCTGTTTGCATTATAAATGAGTCGTCGAAACGCTTAGTGCGAGCTTACTTACGAGCTACATTCAAAATCCGTAGCGATTACGACCTACTACGCGGGATACTAACGCGTAACAACACGTACTAGCTTCATAGATGCTACGGGCTGCGCCCTTCCGTAGCTGCGATCTACGCTTTTCCGTAGCTGCGTTCTACGCCCTTCCGTAGCTGCGATCTACGCTTTTCCGTAGCTGCGTTCTACGCCCTTCCGTAGCTGCGTTCTACGCTTTTCCATAGCTGCGTTCTACGCCCTTCCGTAGCTGCGATCTACGCTTTTCCGTAGCTGCGTAGTATCTACGATCTACGTCCTTGCGTAGCGTCTACGATACTACGTCCTTTCGTAGCACCTACGTTTTCCGTAGCATCTACGTCCTTGCGTAGCATCTACGCCCTTCCGTAGCATACGATCTACGGACACGGTGTAGCGAAAGACGGTAAGGGTACACAGGAAAATAAGGGTAATTTTCATTCTCACCTCTGCACTCTGTAAGCTACCTCAGTTAGCTACAGTATAACGGAACGTCTCGATAGATAGCTTTATAGCGTATTAGGATATTAAATTACATTTTTGGGGCCAGATTAGAGCCTACAGGGATAACACAGGTAACAATAATTGCAACAGCTATACGCAATTTTGGATTCGTATGTCAAATTATAAACTTGTGTAAGTGCGTGTTTTGACTGGAAGTTCTTTGTCTTACTGTGGTTCTTGCCAACAGTACGCCAGCGCGGCAGCGGCGGCGGCGGCAGCTCTGTGCCCGCCGTACGCCGGACTGGCGGCGTTGGCGGCGCGCTGCCGCTCGTCTTCCATCGCCGACCTGCGGCTTAAGGCGCGCCGCCACGCCGCCGCCATCGCCGCCGCGCGCGCGCCCTCGCCGCCCGCCGCTCCCGCCTCCGCCGACACATAGCCGCTCCAAGCCCCAACAAATGGGTCTATTCCACTATGATCACCCAGGTAATCAAAGTAGACTCCAGGCCACACTTTGGTGTCCTTTGATCACCCATGGATAAGAAGTCCACTTTGATCACCTAGGTCAGGGATGGCGAGCCAATGGCACGCGCTACAATATTTAGAACACGCCACCAATCACCGCAAAATTCACTATGAAATAAAATAGTAATTATTTTGAGCCCTCATCTATCGTATTTGCCCTCATCAGTTGGCGCCACTGCAGAGTAAGGTGCTATAATGCTGTTACTCGCCAGTGGCGCCACTTGTACGATGCTCCCATTGCTATAGCATTATGTGACACATTTATGAATACCTACATCAAACATTTTTTTTAGAAAAGAAGCACGTTACTACATAAATGTTCGCCATCCCTGACCTAGGTGATCTTATCCATGCGGCATCAAAAGGACACAAAAGTGTCACCTGGAGTCCACATTGATCACCTGGGTGATCAAATCCACGTGATTAAAGAGGAATAGACCAACAAATGGGACTAAGTCAGTACCCGCAGAAAGTGCAACCAACTTATTATTGTTCCGTTGATCTCGACTCCACATCGTGATCGTGGTGATCGCTTCGCTAAGAGTCCACCTTACACTTTTGTTCTTCGAGTGTCAGCGAGGTTTTTATCTCCAACACCTTTGTAAGTTTCTCTCAAGTGTCGGTATTGACGCTCAAAGTGTACAATCTAAAGTCCCTGAGTTACAAACAAAACAGTATTCACTTAAGAATAAACGACATCATCAAATTGAAATCTGTAACATTGTCTGAAGGCGTTTTTCACAGTTACAGGCCAGGAATAACATTGTTTTCCTTTGTGAAACCAGTTATGAGTTTTGATGCCAAAATAGTACCTAGTTAGTTATTCTAATTAGTTTGTAATCAATAGTCCTACATAGATAGTTAAGTGTAAACAGCCGCACTCAATAAAACGATATTAAAAACCAGCATTATTTGATCGAAGTAACAGTTTGTGCATTAAAAGATAATTATGAAATGGTAAACTACATTTCTGTATGTGTATAATTATACTTTACCAACATCATGTTTTTCCTATACATGTAAATAAATTGTATTTAACTCATTATCTTAATTTATAGTAGTTTTACGAATCGTCTATTTAAAATGAATACGTTTCTTGTATAAAAATCGTTACGTTACCATTTAAACTTACGTCTTTATTTATTAACTACTCTTTGTTTTTAAATTCGGTTCTTAATTCAAGTTAAAATTATTATTTATTGAAATGCGATTATTGGATCCATTCCATTGTATGTACTATAATAATGTTCTGTAATAATAATTAGATAATGTATACGGTGTTTGTGCAAATATTAACCTGCTTAATCATAGATTGTTTGTTAAATAGAATATTGACCAAAGAAATATGAACTGTGACGTAAATAATAATAATTGTAAATTATTAAACTGTGATAAGTGTACGTGAACGGAAAAGTCGATGATCTCAAGTACCTACGGACGAGTTAATTAAGCTTCTTTAATTAATTTTTAATACTCTTTGTTAGATCGTAAGCGAAACATTTCCATAACTACTGTAAATATTAATTTATTTAACAAAAGATTATTAGCAGTGTTTATTATACTATGCTGTTTATAGCTGAGTATCGATATTGTAAGAATTAAATTATTAGAGGTATCAATAAACGGTTGTTTTCTTTTATAAGTTCACTGTTATTATACATGGGGGTGTCCTTAATCGTTGGAATATTGTTGAAATAAAGATAAATGATTTTCGTTTTCAAATGTGCTCAGAGTAACCGCGAAGCAATGAGTGATACAGATGAGTTCGCTATTCGGTGTGAGCACTATAAATCAACGGCTCCGGGTTTGTACCGATTGTTTCTACATTTGTAGAACTACCGCCTGATTGATGACAACCCCGCCGGCCCCGGCACGGGCCCCGTTAATAATGGACGAGTGTGCAATAACGCTCAGCTGAATGTCGATTGGGGAGCGAATTCGTTTGACGCGGTTTATTTCAAATCCACTCATGGTTATGTGATTCAACCCTTTGACAAGCGAATTGATACTTTATTAACTTTTCCTTACGGTATTGAGAACAAAGTCAATATTATTATGATCCAGTCTTCTAAAACAAGACAGTAATATTAAAAAATCTACGTATACGGCAACGGAAAAATAGAGATTTTTTTATAGAACTCTTTGTAATGCTTATGCCCTACCTAAAAAGGAAATGTTATTTAGAATTTTTTTTGGTTCTTAGAAAATTTCACATTATGGCTCCCGGAATCCCTTAGCCCGTTGCTAAAAAGATTGTTGTAATAATATAATTTACCAAATAAGTGCATCTAATGCAATGTTTAGGAAGCTTTGGAGTCGGGTGGCATATTTGCGCAAGCTGTTTAAAAAAGCGCCGCCCTGGCATCGGGCGCCCAATTACGGGGCGACGTCGCTGATTGGCCCTAATCGCGTTAGCGTCGGGCGCCGCCCGCCCCCGTCTCGGCAAACAAACACGCAACATTCCTACACAAACCTTCGGTGTATTCGAGCATACATCTAATTCGTAGCATCGGCTACATGAGCTACTGTATCCTGGACTATATTCTGCAATAAATAATTGTTACTGAAAACATAAGAGTCGTAACGTAATTGTAAAACTATAGTACCTTAATATTATGTCTGATTAAAGAACAGTTTACTTTTTTTTTAAAAAAAAAAAGGTCGCTATATCATTTATACGAAAATAGTGCATGATTCTAGATATCTCGGTTGTAGGTACAGCTCAGACGATACAAAAGAAGATGCGAACTAACGCAAACAATTAATCAAACTTAGATTACGAGTTGCGATCCTGTGGCTGTAACGCCTGTAGCACATTTTCACCGTGAAACCACGATAGCGACACGATTTCAATATACATCTCTGCGTTTACTTCACCACATTGCTATTGCTAATGTGGAGATTTGATTAAAGAGATCTATAATGAAATTGTTACGCTGTCATAGGTTGGTGGTGGAGGAGGCTACAGGTCGTAAGCTTACATAATACCTATATACATAACTCTCGGTACTGTATAGCGTAGGCTTTTTTGTCTCATTGCCAAGACGTTAACTACGAGTAGATAATGCGACTTATTTGTAAGTCATTAGGATCACACTACATGACTACATACTCTCAAATCTCAATCCCATAAGGAACACAGGCATACAAGTGCCTCACTCACAATATCGCTGTACTTATGCTTAAACAAGCGTCGTAAGGAAGGACATCTTTAAGGAAACCAACACATTTAAAAAAAAGTAACATATTATATTCAAAATATAAACATTCACATATTTTTGGTAAGGAAATAAAATTAAAGTGTAAAAAATACAACTGGCTTAGCCTTCACTTTCACAAAAAATAAACAAGTCTTGATTGATGACTTCTTTGATAACAAAAGACCACCTAAGTGTTAACAAAATAAAATTGACTTAATATGTTTATGCATCTTTTCTAAAACCACTGTCACATGCACATCTATTACGAAAACAATTTTAGAATGCAAGCCCCACTTGGTGCATACAAATATTATTTTAAGATTCACTGTGCCACTTTTCTTCCTTATTAAAATACAGTTTTAAACACTTTAGCACTGCTATGTTTCCCTATGCAGTACTGAACAGTGGCATATATTTTTAACAACCTTCGTTCTACTGCCTTGAAGTGCTCCTCTGTTGCCAATTTGGCTCCTTGGAATGATGATAGCAACTTCACTGTCTCTGTTAGACTTCCACCAGACAACATCTCGAGGTGCTGCCACGTAGATAACGACATCCTATGAAAGATAAACAGAATAAATTATTAGTTAACAAAAATGTCAAAGATATTCATATTATGCATGCTTTTACTTAGAATTGAAAGACTTGAGTTTAGTGACACATACAGGTTGTGTAACACTTAGCTAGGGAAACACCATGTATTCAGTTTGTTTTTTCATGACTTACAAAAAAAATATGGCAGTAAATATGGACATGTTTTTGATTTATGATTTTTTATTATTGCACATTAATACATTGTATTTCAATAAGTACCTAAGTGTTGAACAACTATTTAGAAAACAGCCTGTATACCACCAGACTTAAAGGCTTCCACAGACCAAACGCGGGTCAGAAGCAGTGCGGGTCAGTTGCAGCGCGGCTGAGGCACACTGAAAGCAGCGCAGTTTCAAAGCAGTTGCAACGCGGGCGGTTGTCAAAAATTTAAATATTCGAAAACCGCTTTCAACGCGCTGCTTCCGCCCTGAGTCCGGTGTGTCATGCTAATATGGCCGCCATAGTAATACAACAGCGCGGGCCGCTGGTGTCCCGCACCCGCGCCGCCTCGTTTGTATTTCGGCAGTTGCAGTGCGGCGCGGTTGGAGCGCGGGCCCGCGTTTAAATTTGGTGTGACATACTTCAAAGAGTTTCTTGTATTACAACTTGCGGGCCCGCATTCAAACTGCGCTGCTACTGCCCTGCGTTTGGTCTGCCCAAAGCTTTAGTTATCATCTTAAAAAAAAATATAAAGGATACCTACATGCAACATTGATAGAGAGGAGCCAAGATGTCTAGTTCATCCACCATTGGGTTACCCAATCCTTTCCCATTATCTAAAAGTATTATTCTATCTTTGTAAACCTCATATCGATGTCGGTCTCCATTCTGTATAAGAAAATCAAATATTGCTACATCTATTAAGTTTAGTAGGCGTTTGGTGCTGTGGGTATCAATAACTTTTCTGAAAAAACATAGTATATTAAAAATTTATTACATTGTAGCCTATACATAGATAAATACACATTTTACTAACTGACAAAGTAAACTTCTTGATAGTACTTACTTACAAAAATCGTTATCCTTTTCCCATTCCATTTTTCTACTAGTATAAGAGCGTCTCCATGGAGATTTATATGTTCTGAATGGTTTCTTTGAAAACAAAATTGCAGCTCCCTCAATTTCACCCTTGTCATCAGGGCATACAGTTTCATTTAGTTTGCAATAAAAACATTTCCCATATATGCATAGTGATCCACTAACTGCAAAATGTTAATATTTTGTTACATAGCCTTCTATTTAATAAAAAATAATAATAATACATTTAATAGGTACAGCAGTAGATAAATGCAGTACAATAAAGTTTGCTTTTAGCAACATATTCAAGCCTCTTTATTTGGCCACTAAAACATATTCTTTGCTTTGCTTCTATGGGTAAAGAATAATATCGTTTATTTCTCACCATAACCGTATACAAACAAGGTTCATTCCAATAAAGCCTTTTAAAAGCTGTAAGGTAATAAAATAAGTAAAGTTCATTACCATTCTTTACCATAGTCTTTTTTAATCCTTCAGTTGCTACAGGCAGGACATCTTTATTCAGATGAATCTTCCTAATAACAGAAGGAGAGATCCAAGTAAAGTTCATTACCATAGCGAGGTAATATGCAAACACTTCTGAGTTGTGCCGATCAAATCCAGCATAAATATTTCCATTTATCACCTCATCCAGTTGATATCCCCTGGGTTTGAAGTATAATATGTGCTTTCCCTGTAAATAAACAAAAATAGTTTATGGGATTGGCAAACTCCGTTTTGTTTAGGAATGGAAAGAAATTAACCACATCAACACATAAGTGCAGAATACTTTAGCTATAAATTGTATCATTAAATAAATGGATTGAATAATGATGTTGTCATCAGTCCTTATTTTAAGAAATTAACATTTTTAGAAGCAATTTAAATATGTAGGTACTATTCATAATAATTTACCTCAAGCAGCAATAACAATTTTAATTGTGTTCCTTTTGGCGCATTGTCAACCACTACTATCTGTGAGTTGAGCATTGCCTGTAGTATCTGGCCCGGTGCCCCATCTCTATGCGGAAATAAGGACTCTTCACTGGCCCACTGTAAATGTAATTCATTATGAATGTTATTTGATGTCATCAACAATAACAGTAATCTGGCTCAAATACTACTAACCTTGTCAGCATCCAAGAGCACATTTTTAGAATTTTTACCATTAGTTGAATTAAATGATTGTATTAAAGATTTTTGGTGCGACACAAACTTAGAATTCTTCTGCTTATAAGAACTGGGCAAATAATTCAAGTACTCATAAATATCTCTGAAAACACTCGGAGACTGGTCTAGTTTTATACTAGGCACATTGAAATTTAAGCCTTTTCTTCCAACTGTGTTTAATGTATAGAAAAAATAAATGTTAAGTCCAACAAGAATCAACAAAAATAGGGAAAAACCGAAAGCATAATTCATCGACATCGTTCACTGTATACTTAGTCGCTAAGGACACATATTTATAAAAAAACATAACTCAAATAATTGATTACATATGCTTAATTCAATAGGAAAATTAAATGTATCACATACTTTCAGAATTGCTTGTTTTTAATTACTTTTGTGGCCTTCTAATAAAATTCAGCAGCTCATTCAGGTAAACTGACTCATAGAGAAAAGTAATACATAGGAACTGACCATGAAGCTAAAGATAAAAATGGAGGGCAGAGTTGGAACAAAACCTTGAGTCAAATACCTACTTATATCTATCTCGCTCTCTGCGGCCCTACCTCTCTTTTTAGTGTGAACTGTAGTATTGCTATCTTCTGATTTAAATCTCCTTGTAAATTCTTAAGTCAAACAAATAAATAATTAATATTTGAAACTAAGATTTCCTAGTTAAATAAAAAATCACAAAATTGTCGGCCATTTAGGCTTAATGTGTTGGCGAATCAGGGAATTACAATCCCAATTCCTGGGTAATCGATACCATGTGGCAACATCGGCCCAATCCGGCCCATCATGGCGGTTGTTTACTATTTTGTTTATTAAGCAGTTAATTTCGTTTGAGATTGTTTACAGGAAATAATCATTGTTTTATCACAAGAATTGGTGCAAAATTTTGTAGTGCGTGGTTGCGGTAGTACGTGGTGTCCTGGAAGTGACATAAGATTCCACGCGTAAGTGTTTATTTCGTGATTTCCGACATTGGATCATTGTAAACATTTTTCACATTTTTTACAGTAATTTCTTCCTAAAACGTTTTACCAGTAATTACACTTATCATTTTTAATTATACCTATGTCAAGAAATAAAGATTTTACATTGGTTACATTGAATTTGAGCAATTTTATATTTTTTGTTTATTTAGAAAGAGCAAGTCTGCCCACAGAGAGCGAGATAGTGATACTTAGTTTGTGCTTCAAGTAGGTATTCGGAGTGTGGCCTCCATTTTTATCTGTAGCTTCATGATTGCAAATGTTCGAAATGACACACGCACACAGACAGACGCACGTTTTTTTTTTAAAAAGCGAACAGCTCTCGCTTTGCAATTTGCATTGCAATCATTAATATAATTTTTTTTTATAGTTAATAGTAGATTATTTATTATCTGTGATTGCAGTGCTGTCAGCGTCAGAGTAAATTTCTCTAATCCATATCTGTGGTAAATTTATATTCTTTGGCTGTCAGCTGTGGCTGTCAGTCAAGTCACAGGCTGTCAGTCGCGGTAGTCAGTCACGCATGGGTGTTGCATTGTCTCTTTGTTTTTAATTCTAATATTCAATATTGTATTCGTTGTATTGCAAGCGCTGTCCACTGTCATAATAAACATGCCACGAATGTATTGCGTAGTATACGGCTGCTTGAACTCGTCAAATTCAAAACCAGAACTTTCATTTTTTAAACTTCCAGCTAATGCTGAAAGGTAAGAATGATTATTATATCAAGGCTGAGTTGCACCACCAAACTTTAACAGTAACTTTATCGTTAACCAGTGTTGTTTGTATGGAGTTTGAGAGATTTTTGACGTTTGTTAAAGATAAAGTAAGATGGTGCAACCCAGCCTTGTATTGTCGATGATAATTTTTGATACAGGTTGTCCTAAAACTAGCACCTCATACTGACACCGGAGCTGGAGGTAGCTAGGCCTCACATGCATCAAACAAACCTTGTCAAGCCATGTTCTTAAAAAGTTTGACGAGTTTTGCGATATTAGCAATTTTAGTTATTTTGTAAAAATCACAGATTTGGGTTATTGTATTATCACAATTTTTTATAGCTCTTTATTTTCTTTTTTGCTTCTACCTTATCGAAAATAGTTACCATTTTAGGCTTTATGGTGCATTTTTAGGACATCCTCATCCGCTATAAATAAATAATTTGGTTAAGTGACACGACATTTGAGGAGTTTGTCTGTGAAGTTTGTCATCCATATCTGTGAGTTTGTCAAACCTAGCTGTCATTGAAAGCTCTTTATTATTTTACCGATTGTTTTGAAAATCGATATCTGTGGTTTTCGACAACGAAACCAAAATTGAATGAGAAAAAACTACTTTAAAAAAATACATTTAAAAGTTGTCTGGAGTCGGTTTAGTTATTGAAGTCGGTTAAAAAGTAGTCTTGGACCGATTTTTAAAATCAATACCTGAGGGTACATTAACTAGTTTCATTACCTAGGTATTCTTGAATTAATAACAACTTAATAATCAAAACTTTGATTGGTTGTACTTACATTCTTCTTCTTTCTTATAAAGATTGCTTGTACGTACATTTACACATGTCATATCTGCGCCCCAAAATTCGTATCACGGTTCGCGGTGTTGTTGCTTTGACAGCTACAAACGGATTTGTAACGTAAACGGAACGCAGCTGCAGTTTAGTGTAGAAGCTGACAGAAAGCTACTTTTTATCAATCGCTAGTCAAACGCTTCACGAACATTTTCTGTATTAGTGAATAAATAAGGAGTTCGGACTTTTAATAGAAAGTGCTTATATTCGTTGTTTCGTCTTTGTTTGCTTACTTTACCGCGATACCGAATTGCGCATCTATCATCGTCTACAATTCATTGGCGCTTCTACTCCAGTTGCGCTCCGTTTTTCATTCCAGCTGAGGTGCAAATTCGGTATTACGGTAATGAACGTACCTTCCTAGTATTTTCATTGTCACGTCATGAGATATTTAGCTAAAATCGAAGGTCGATTTCGAAGTTCAAGTATTGGTTGCACTACTTTTGACAGAAAATAATGACGTTTACTTTGTTTTGAAGAATTTTCTAATTTTACTGGAAGGCGCAGCTGCTCTCTGTTTACGTCTATGCTTCGTTTTAACTAGCTGTCAAAACGACACCGCGATACGGATTTGTCAAAACAGCTGATATTCGTTCGTCGTCCGGGCACGTTGAATATAATTTTTTTTTAGCGCAATCGGAGCACTGCTCTTGAAAATGAAAGTAAATAAATATTTAGTTTTCTTTTTTAGACGTTCCAAATGGCTATCTTTAATAGCTAGAGAAGATTTGATGAACAAGCCGCCACAAAATTATACAGTGTGTGAAGACCATTTTGATGCTGCAGATATTTTAAAAGGAACGCATCGGAAAAAACTAAAATCTTGTTCATTGCCATCTAACCAACTACCAAATATACAAAAAAAAGATGTAAAAATGACAAGCGAAACTCCGACGTTGGTCGAAATATGTACACAGACAGAAAATGTGACTGTGACACATTTAGCGAATGCCAGTATTCAAACTTCCAGATCTCTTTTATCGGACTCACCCCGGAAGAGAAAACTAAAATGCGATCTTTTAGAAGCAAGAAAAAAAAATAAGTTACATAAAATTGACAATAAAATGGGACTATGTCAAAGTAATGTTTTACATAAATTGTGTGACAGTTTTCTAACAAAACAGTTAGCAGAGTTGGTACAAGCCCAGACTCTTATAAAACTTCATTTTCCTGGAAATAGATATCAGCAAAGTTACAAAATGTTTTGTTTGAATTTATATTACACCAGTCCGCAAGCTTATAGGTTATTACAATGTGCGATATGTCTTCCAAATCCCAGAGAATTAAGTAAACACGGAATACCAATAACATCTGAAATAAATGAGAGAGTTATGTCAATTCTAAAAACTAAAATTGATGCCATGACTGATATGGAAAAGAACTGCTCAGTTGTTATTAAAGCCATGACTTTAAAAACTAATTTGTTTTATAACTTAAGGCAAGATAATATTATTGGCTTTCATGAGATCGATGGAATACAGTCACTAGAACCTGCAAAAAATGCTTTGGTTGTAATGGTTCGTGGAATATTTATCAACTGGAAGCAACCTATTGGATTTGCACTGCTCTCCGAATTTAAAAATTCCGACGAAATAGCTAAATGGATTGACAAACTTTTGAAAAAGCTTTTTGAGATAGGACTTTATATTAGAACTTTTGTCTCCGACATGGGATCTGATTTATTCAACGCAGCAAAAAAGAGATCTGTTACTCTAGAACGGCCTTATTTTTTTGTCAATGACAAAAAAATTTACTATATTTTTGATGCACCCCATCTCATAAAACTGGTACACAAAAATTTGATTTCTTACGACTTTCATTTCCATGATCGTGTAGCTAAATATGAGCACATCGTTAAATTTTACGAGAATGATAAACAAAAGAGCATTAAACTTGCAAACAAATTAACGAACAGCCACATTCATCCGACAACTTTTGAAAGAACGAAAGTTCGCTATACTACACAACTCTTAAGTAATTCTGTTGCCGCTGGTATATCAACTTACGTAGACTTTAACATCATTCAAGAATCCGGAAGGGACACTGCTGAACTTATTAAACTTATGAACAATTTATTCGATGCATTAAACTCATCAAATCTAAAGGATAATAACGAATACAGAAGAGCGTTTTGTGGAAAAGAATCGCAAATATATTTTTTTAATGAATTGTTATTTTTTTTTCAAAATCTGAAATTAATCAATCCGAAAACTGGAAAAGATGTTACGTCAAATGTTAAGTTTATACATGGTTTCCAAATAACAATTACCTCAATTTTGCTACTTTTTGAAGACTTAAAATCTGAAGGATGCACATTTTTACTTACAAGAAGGCTCAACCAGGATGTGCTTGAACATTTTTTTGGAGAAATAAGAACTAAAAATGGTCTGGCTACAGAACCCACAAGCAGGCAGTTTATATCAGCTTTTCAAAAAAAATTTTTTTCCAGCGTCATTAAACCTCCAAAAGCAGGTAATTGTGAAGATGATTTGGGAAAACTTCTTGTAAAGATCAGTACGTTAAGTCAACGAAATGACGAAACATTAGGAAAAGAGGAAAAAGAAAACCCCGTTACAAGCCATAATGAACCATATAGTAACGTTAAAATTATATGCTCTGAATATAATGAACTGGATATTCCCGAAAAAAATTCGCTTTTTTATGTTTGTGGGTATCTTCTAAAAAAATGCGCCGAACGCCATAACGATTGTCAAGTTATGAAATCATATTATATCAAACAAAATCAAGATATCCACAACTTTAGTGCAGAGAGTCACTACATGAAATACAAAGAATACAGCAAAAATACTAACCGAACTTTACTAATTGTACCACCTGATGATTTTGTTCAATATGTCGAGAAAATGGATGAATGTTTTTGCTGTTTTTTTCAAAAAGAACACATAAATTGTAAAGTTGCTAAATTAATTTACAAAGAAATAGACAAAATCAGTTTTATAGCACCGTGTCCGTGTTTTCCTATAATTTATTTAAAAAAGTTATTCATTAGAATGCGAATTTTTCACACCATAAAATTTAATAATAAAGCTTTTAGAACGTATCGTAGCAGGCGAAAGTATTTTTCAGTGTGTAATCTACAATAACCACAGTATTTACAGCAGCAGCTTACCGCACCACAGTATTTTTAGCAGCTTACCGCATTTTTATTTTATTTTTATTTTTTAATAAAATGTCGAAAAACACTGATAAGGCGCTATAAAACTGAATGTTCTATAATTATTTCTAAATTAATACGCTTCTTAACAATTTTATGTGTTCTATNCCTAAAACGTTTTACCAGTAATTACACATCATTTTTAATGATACCTATGTCAAGAAAGAAATAAAGATTTTACATTGGTTTCATTGAATTTGAGCAATTTTATATTTTTTGTTTATTTAGAAAGAGCGAGTCTGCCCACAGAGAGCGAGATAGTGATACTTAGTTTGTGCTTCAAGTAGGTATTCGGAGTGTGGCCTCCATTTTTATCTGTAGCTTCATGGAACTGACTGACCAAACTGATTGTCATTACTGTCAAGTGTCAGTGCCATGAAGCTGTCAGTTGTATCCAATGAAATAACCTGAATGTCTCCAACTTCCTCATTGGCCCTAGAGCAATTCCAAGTATACCATCAATAAAAGCCTAATTAGAGTCATCAAACCTCTCAGTCATTCAATTAGAGCCATTAGAACTGCATAACTATGAGTTGTTTTCTATGTGTAAGCTGAGGACACGTGTCTCCAGCTGACACATCTGTATCTTCGTAAATATTTATGCTACGATAATGTATTATACCTCAAAAATTACAGTCGAATCCAAATAGTAGGCTTTCCACTTTTCAAGACTTTAGCTCAAATACTGTTAAAACCACGATCAAAAAACTATGTGCGAGCTGGAGTACCGTGTCTCCAGCTNATAATTATCTATAAATATATCCCAATGAGAATGTGACGTGCATCTTTAGAGACATTTTACTATGAAGATGGAAAATTCAAATGGCTGTAACTCTTTAAAAAGCAAATATATTCGATTTGTAATCGCACTTTTTTATATAAATTTGCTTATATAATCAGAATATTATAATAAGTAAAATCCATGCGCAAAAAAACATTTTTTTTTGTTGACCGGTGTAATCGAAGTACGGATAATCGAGATTCTACTGTAGGTACCTTTATGTGAGAAGAGCTTGTTCCAGGGCTGCTGGTGAGCGGCGGCGGGACCCCGCTGGAGCCGTGCCGCGTGGCGCCGTACGTGTCGGTGCCGCGGCTGTCGGCCGTGCCGCGCCCGCCGCCGCCGCCGCTCGCGCCGCACCCCTCGCCGCCCGCCGCCTTCGCCCCCTTCGACTCGGCGTTGCTCTCTGCTGCGGCACACCAGGTAAATCTATACTTATCTTATAATAAATCTGTAGAGAGGTCAATTCTGTACATGAAATATATTTTCAAAATAACTATCAGGGGGTGATTAGTGATCGATACTGATGCCAAAANACTTGCGCCATTTCACATTAACAAGAGTGAGACAGACAGCACTACTGTATAAGCCGGGTCTCCTGCTGCGCATGTTTTGCACTACTCAATCAACAACAACACAACATTTTTGTTGATTGTGTAGGGCAAAACATGCGCTGGAGACCCGGCTTATGTTGAACTGAACACGCGTTATGTGTATAGAGGGACGGACAGCATCCATTTCAAGTTCTAACTTGTTAGTTTGCTAGCCAGTCCATAGATTTACGAGTCAATGGTCATTGGCTGTATGGAAGAGATCCAAAGCCGTAAAACTTGCATTAAAAAAAGTTATTCCAGCTGACGTTTTGTTTAACTGACATCTGTCAAATCTGTCATTAAGTCGTGACGTGAACCCACGTGACCCAACGTAACCCGCATTCAGCCAAAAAGTTAGAAATTGTTTTAAAAGCACGATTTTCCTTTCATCCTGGTAAATTTAAAAAATAAGACGTGTTAGCTGACAAAGTTATGTCTGTGTCACTAAAGGAAACTTTCCTCTACTTTGCTTACGGGAGTAACTTATTGAAGAAACGAATACGTATCAACAATCCATCGGCCCACTTTATAGGCATCGGTAAACTGGATGTTTGTACTTAAATTACTATCACACTAACGTTTGTACATCCGAAGAAAATAGCTAACATTACTACAATTATTTTTTTGTAGAATCATCACTTAGATTTTATCAAGTATTCTGAAAACTGGCGAGGTTCTTCGGCTACAATAGTTCCGGTAGAAGGATGTCATGTATGGGGTGCTGTTTGGCAACTGGATATTATTGATATGCCTGCTTTAGATATGTTAGTAAAATTATTATTTAGATTTCTGATGAAAAGCTACCTAGATTTCATTTTTGTAGGTAATCTAAGAATAATTTTATAATTTCATTTTTTTTTCTAGACAAGAAGGTGTTGACACAAATTGGTATTTTCCAAAAACAGTCGATATTATCACACTTCATGGAGAAACACTGCAATGTAGGACATATCAGCAAACAGTCAATCCTGTTCCATGTAAAAAAATTGATGAATTGCCAGAAGAAAGAAGACCATCTTCTACTTACTTAGAGTGTATTCTTACTGGAGCAACTGAATGCCAGTTGCCAAATGATTATATTCAAAATTTGAGAAAAATACCTCATAATGGAAATGAAGCATCACCTAAGATGATTGAAAAGTTGAAAAATTAAAGTTTCTATTTTATTATTATGATATTAAGTATTATTTAGTGAAAATGCAAATACCTAATACATAATTATGTATATTTACATTGCCTTACCAATATTTCTACAAATATAATAAGTGCTTGTTAATTAGTAGTATTATTTGATACATTGACCTAAAATTAACCAAGTCAAGATAAGAAAAGGTGTCTGTAGTTAAATCTCTTTTTATTAGGAAATACATATATAGAAGTCACNTACATAAAGTAGCTATGTGGGTCACGCTCACGCAGCATCTTGCTATTTGTATTATACCTACATTTTTGAAATTCTAATAATTCCGTAACCGAAATTATCCGAGACTTTCGGATAATCTGAAATGATTTCATATCCGTGACTGTAACCGAAACCGGTATAATATTATTCTAATATCCGTAACCGTATCCATAACCGAAAATTCATATCCTTATTATCCCTGTTACCAAGTACAAACAAGTGCAGGCAGAGCAGGTAGTAAAGGCGCGCGCACACGGGTGACTTTTGTCACAGTATGTCAACTACTAATTACTGTCATGGTGACAAAATTAGTCACAGAAACTTGAATTTTGGGCACATTAGAATAATAATTTTTAACCAAGGTAGATAAAGTTAAAAACGGGACTATTTCCAAAAAACCAAAAATTGTCGACAATTGCAGCAAAAATTTACCAAGTGTTACACCATTTTGGAATCCTTACTAAATGCGCCAAATTATGACGTCACTTGCCACACTCGCGCAGTACATTTTTTTTTCAGTACAGTCAGTTTAAACTAGGCAAAATTTTTATTTTGATATTTTTTTTGGGAATAATGTATTTTTTTCATCCAAGCTGGAGCAGCTGGTTTTGTAATTTTGATAACAATTTAGAGAAGCATTATACAGGGTTACATAACAAAAAAAAAATTAGGAAAAAGTGAAGATTTGTGGCAACACGAGTAAAAGGACCGTCACCTGGAGTAGAATTTTTTGATTTTTTTTAAATATCTATTATTTTTAAAATATGCCACATAGATTTTTTTTTATATTTTTCTGATAACCAGCACAACTTGCCTCAACACCCAGTTTCGGCTTGACGTTACATTACGGGACACCCTGTAGAAGTCACCATAAACAGTCCATCTAAAATAAGAAAACCTTACTGTCATGTCTTCCTGCATGTTTTATATCCGGCTCGAAGGACCAAAAGCGTCAGTCGCGTTTGTGACCCTATTTGATTGATTACTTTGGTGTCGCCATTTCGCCAATATTATAAGCCTTACAAGTCGTCAGTGTAGTTCTTTTAATGTTATGACCAATTGACCAATTCATTCGAAAAGATTGTGAAACGTAATAAAAAAACGTCCCTGTATAAAAATAATTCGCGTATTGTTGATGGTAGCGCCCCCTGCCCCTGACTACTGTGGGTCTATCTAAACAATCGTTTTATTAAAAAAAATGCTTCAATGATAAACATCAACATTGTCTATGTAAAGTACGGACGACAGCAAATCAGACCATACAATTTTGTTACAAATTAGCACCTATTACAACTTCCATAAGATGCCGCAGTATTTAGCCTGACGTACTGGCGCAAAGAATATAATATTTACTCTGACGTGCTGGCGTCTGTACATAAACAAGCGTCAAACTGATCATTTTGTCCCATGTCCATCAAAATTCCTAACAAAATTCTTAGTAGGTAAATTAGTTACATTAAAGTAAATGAATGATGTTTCAAACAGTGAACGACACTTTCTATTACTTTGCATACGGCAGTAATTTACTGAAAAAGAGGATACACATCAACAATCCATCAGCGGAGTTCGTAGGCATAGGAAGACTCAATGTGAGTGATAGAGAAGTCAAGTTTTCATTGGATTAATCTTTTTCACCAACCTACCTAATACCTACCTACCTAAACTAATGCGAAAGTATGTGTGACCACAGGATCACTTACTTGATTTTTTCAAATACTCGGAGAACTGGTGCGGCGCCGTTGCTACTATAGTCCCGTCAGATGGCGCTTATGTTTGGGGTGCTGTGTGGAAGATAAGCGATAACAGCATACCTGCTTTAGACAAGTAACTATGTACTTTATCAACCCTTTAAATGAGATCCAGAACATACTATAATCCTTCCATCTTAGGTCTTACGGTCACCCACTACTAACGGTAGGCATCTGCTGACAGATGAGGATGAGATGACCACCTATGGCTTAACATGCCTTTTTGAAAACTGGTTGATGTAAGTCAATTAGGTACTTACTTATATCCTAACCATATTAGGAACAAACACTCAAAATTATTTTACACTACGTGTCCCACCTTGAATTCGAAACTAAGACATTTGTGTCGAGAGAGACCACAATACGATTGTTAAGAATTTGTGCTATACCTAATAAATAAAAAATATCATTTAAATATCATGTAAATTTTACAGACAAGAAGGAGTAGATACTAACACATATTTCCCGAAAATGGTAACAGTCTTCACTCCCACCGAGAGTAAAGTTGAATGCCGCACATACCAACTAACTGATATGCCAACAAGACGATTGCGTGATGATAATACAGAGCTGCCCTCTGAAAGGAGACCATCCATCACGTATTTGGACTGCATCATAAAAGGCGCTATGGAATGCAAATTGCCCGATGAATACATTGAAAAGTTGAGAAAAGTGCCACATAACAATCAAGAAGCAACTCCGCAAATGCAAGAAATATTAAGGGGTTGAAAACAGATTTGTTACAATAAATGTTGTTTACAGTACTACATTATTACGTTTTTTCTTTTGTTTGATTACTTAACATAATTAGTTCCACAAAGTAATCATTTTATGTACAGTAACACGTGCTACCACGTTTTAACGTTACTTTTTATTNATAACTACGGGGTATAAAATTCTAAAAAAAATAGAGGTGATGCATGCTAATTAACTCTTTCAACGATTTTTTTATTCCACAAATTGCTACTCGGTGCTTATAATGATAATATGCAAAATTTGATGAGACTGGAGATACTTGGTACTCCAGCCAGTGGGCTGGCTGCAACCAAGCATTACAATACAACAAACCTGTTGGTTTTAGGATTTGGAGCCTGTTTTAAATTTTATGATTAGACTACAATAAACACGCAAATAATACCTGCATTTTTATCATGATTAGATCTCTTTTCATGTTGTATTGCCGTCTGTACTATGCTGGTAGAAAAAATACCAATGTCAGTGTGCCACTGGTCATTGGTCAAAACTTATTACACATCAAAATTTATTAGACCAAAAAAGTTTAAAATTACTGTAACGATGTTAAAATCAAACGTGTCCAGTAAATGCGATAGTTTCTTGTACTTTTCATATGGTGGCAATATGTTAACATTCAGAATTCACATGCATTGCCCTACGGCGGAATTTTTGTCAATAGCCAGAGTAGAAGTAAGTAGTTAGTATTAAGTTTTGGCTTCGTATTCATTAAAAGGTATTATTGTACTCAGTTAATTCAATTATTTCCTTTTCCTTTAAATAGAATTATAGACTGGATTTCATTAAATACTCCAAGTTCTGGGGAGGCCCTACAGCTACTTTGGTTCCCACTGCAAACGCACACGTTTGGGGTGTACTTTGGCGCCTTCATGAAAACGATATGTTAGCACTCGATGCGTAAGTTGAATACTATTCAAACTGAATTAAAGTAAAATAGGTATATGCTTACTTAGAGCGTGCAAAAAATTTATAACATTTTTCACTTTCAGACAAAAAGGGGTAGAAGTAAAAAAATATTATATCAAGTACATTGACGTATTGACACCATATTTGGGAAAATTCCACTGCCGAGCTTATGTACAAAAAGTGAACCCTTTGCCGAGAGGAGATAACGATGAAATTCCTGTCGAACGGTGGCCTTCGTGGGCGTATAAGGAAATAATGATAGCCGGGGCGCGTGAAAACGGGTTACCCCCATACTACATTGAGGGCCTGAAGAAAATGAAACACAATGGAGAAGAAGGTTGGCTGAGAACAGTCTGTCTACTGAATCGTTATGCACGACAAAAACCTTGCCTATGTAAAGTACCAGGGAGAATTCCGAGAAAACCACTAAAACTCGACTTGAAGAAATATAAACTTAAAAAAATGAAAAGCAAGGGTACATAGCCTATTTATTCCCACATGAGATAAATAAAAAATCATTATTGAAAAATTGATTTTATTGAGAAATGTATAGGCTTTGTTTTAACTCGTTATAAAATATATTCAAACAAGGGGTATAATTAGGATACACTTTGATATTCAAAACTATGCTTCACTAGTTTTAACCATTTTATTAATAATATAAATATTAAAATTATTATTAATAGGTACTCGGTTCTCATTAAATTAAATATAAAAAATTGTACACTATCTCAATCGTTTGGTGAATTGTATCTAAATTGAGCATAAAGCACAACGCTACCCCAACACTTCACATAAACACGCACACAAATCACACGAGGAACACATCATTTGGAAAAATATATTTTATCAGTCAATAATTTACGAATATTATAATTACTAAAAATGAGGTAATGTAACTGCCTTACTAGGTAAACAATCACAATTATAAGTAAATACTGATAAAAATAAGAGCGTAAACGATAAAAGGTAATCAGTTAGTCCCGTAGGTGTAGGCGTGTGAGGCAACGTTGTGCGACAGCGGGCCGCGCCCGGCGCCCGCGCTGCTCGCCTACAACGATGCAAGGTGGAACGGAAATATGGCCCTACAATATTTATCATTACACTTACATACCGTTACATTTAACTTATATTTTCATAAATTGAGCAAAAGGCACTATGCAATTTCTAAAATTAAAGATATATTTGGATTTTAACTTTGGAAAATAATTTGAAATCGATGTTTTTTTTTCCTTTTTTTGATAATAAAACCACATTAGATGCAACGTGCCTTGAGCCCTTCATAAACACCAATACTCACTGTGCACACGGCGCCGGTTCTCAATGAGAAGTCGTTCCGACTTCTGCCGGCCGCAAAAAATAATCCGAATGGCCACAGTATAAGAACCCGACGTGGTATGCACAGGTGCCCTTTTTCTAACTCATTGCCCACGACTAAACCAGCCTCGTTGAAACTCATTCTGTGGCACAGTTATTTGCTATCTCCTTTTGAAATAAGTATATTAAAGTTATTGAGATAAATGTTTGCAAACAAGTCGCACACACACAAATGGAATCGCCCGATTCGTATACCATCTGTGTATAAATTGAATGTCATGTCTATCTCAAACAATCAACAATCCTGCATTCTGTTGAAGGCTGGATGTTTGAAGGCACTCGTTTAATACCCTTAAACCACGTTATCGTTATAGTACTATTACCGCACTGGACCACAATAAATTTCTAAGTCTGCAGTCCAATGTCCAGGATTGTAAATTGGAGTCTAATTATTACAGTTAACTTTATAGATGACTACCTTCAACATGTAAAAATTAATTGGTATTGTTCATTAATAAAATATAAATTTATGAACCTGCTTAATTCGAATTCCTCCGTTAGCTATTTTATCTAAAACTTACGTTAGCAATAGGTAATCCTTCACAAGTCCTTTTAACAATGAATTTAAGATAGAAGACATGTAGCTAGCGCATAATTTACAGAATAATAAAATTATTGAGATAGCTATAAATTAGTGATAATAAGTAATACATTATAATTAAGAACAATTAAAAATATTAATAATTGCATTACAAAATATGTAATTCCACCCCGCGACTATGCTTTTTCTGAATAATTTACATTAAGATTTATAATTTTCTTATCCACATTATAATCATAACAATCGAAGACACACCGCTACAGCGCGCGTGGCCATCTTGAACTATTTCGGCTGATGAACATACAAAAACGAGGAACCCATAGTAGAGAAAACCTATTTGTATTTTACTAATTAAAATTAAGAAAGATTTGAAATTTATTTGAAGAGAAAATATTAGATTAAATACAGATTATATTACACAAACTAATCTTCTATTTTATGAATGGGGTGATTCCATACTTTTGCTCGCGAGTGGAGTTTAATGAACTAATAACTATGAACTTAGTTTAAATCTTGATTGATGTTGATCCTATTTTTGTATTTTCACCAGCTCAATTTTATTGTTCTATAAAGATGATCACGTCATTGTGCGTTTGTATCTACGTATGCACAAGAATTTGACTAATTATGTATTTTCAAGAGATTATTTTATTACATTCAGATAAATACATTTTAAAACATTTAGTTGCCATTTACATACCAAGTCATTCACATGTAGCGTAGTTATTATATGTAATACATATAGTATAACAAGATGGTACCGCTAAAATTTCCATTTATATTTACTTTACATACATAATTCCACTGTTTACACCGGTTGCATTTCATACATAAATAGATAATATAGGTATAAGTGTCGCGGTCATTTATACAAATATAAAATGTAGAGTATATTTCTCACAGTAAAACAATAATATTAGATAATATAACTATGTAACAACAATGGCAGGTAAATTCTATTGCATTGTAATTGATTGAGAACACATTGATTTCAGATTCTTAAACCATTCTGTCTGCATTGTATGGTCTGTCATTAGCTCATCCTTCTTGCAACTATTGATAACACCATATGGAAGTCAAAATGTTTAGTCACCTGATTAATTTATTAAATTTTGTATCGCTGGCGTATTTAATAAAATATATATATATTTTTTTTTTAATAATGAGGAGAAATATAGAGCCAGTGTAGAACATACCGAGTATTATAAACAGTTGCACAAAGTGTACCACAGTGCCACACGAGTAACTAATTCGTAGAATGTTGTGCACTTTCAACAAAAAGCGCTTTTAACAATAACTTTAATTCAACAATATCGACAAATTCGCCACTCGTCTGAAACTATTTCAAAACGGAAAACCGCTGGTCACATGCGAAGAACTAAATAAAATTAATTTGTACACGACCTAGTCTACGCGATAACGTACCTATACATACACACTTTACATCTTAAACGTAACTTAACATTAATAGGCTCTGTCAAAAATGACACCGATACAACTATTTTATTGAGGTAAACTATATAGGATTCGCGTCGAAACAGATCGACTCATCAATATCGCCTCAGCAAAAATATTAATTTCCTGATATGAAACGAATCGTCAGACGAAAAGAACTGCGCACGGCACTCGCGGGCCCGCGCGCCGACAAATAAATAACCGACGCGGCGAGCGGCACCGCCCGCGTCGAACAATTCACTAGCTACGCTTACAACTAGGATTCGAAGAGTCGGCCGCGCGCCCACCACGGCGGCCGACCTGAGGTAGATAGAACCAGCGGCCCCGGTCTCGCAGAGAACGAAGGGCGATTATAATTTTCAACTGAATCAGTGTTACGACGGTTACATCAGAAATATTATCCCTTCGAGTGAACGTCAGCCCTAGAAATAATCGTTCCCGTCGAGACCAAATCCGCTTGCGTTTACACGCCGAGTACTCTGCTGCCCACTGTCACGCTCGACTGTCGACTAAATCTGTCGATTGAACCGTTAAGTAAAATGTAACCCTATAACTACAGTATGGGTTCATATGTGACCCCGCTATAATGTTTGTTGTAATTAAATAATACAAGATCGTCTACAAATAAAGATTGTAATTATATGATTACAATCGTAGTTGTAGCACTACAAGATACTTTTAAAGATGTAAAAGATTTAATATCACTATGATAAAAGATTAATCGTTTACCACTACTTCGAGACAACTTATAGATCGATGATCAATAAACGCGGCGCAAGAAACTCAACACGAAAAAGTTTTCTGACTAAATAAATACCGTCAACATTATTTCGGGTTCACGCATGATTCATCACTTAGGCTGATTTCAGAGTCAAGCGTTTGACCGGCGCCAGTCACACGCGCGCGCTTACAATTACACTTGGTAGTATTTGCGTTTCATAGACACGACGTTCAAACGCGCCGTTTGTGAGACGCGCGCCGTCCGACACATCGCAAAGAAACGCGCGATAATAAGGCAGGGTACTCTGCCATGTAGTATTTAACGTAACCAACCTTCAAGTGAGTACGGCTCGTCCACGGTCATCGCGTATTTGGCTGCGAGCCGCCTTTGTGTTCGCAGTGATACTGCCACTCGGCGGGTCGCTGTGATTTCCCTGCGAACCACGCGCGAGCAGCTCGCAGCGGGTTCGTGCCTATGTACTCACTTGGTACAGTATCTGATACATTACATGCTACACGGCTAGATGAGTACCCTGCTTAAGACACAGCGGTCCGTCGGTCATGCGCGCGCTTTTGAGACGCGCGTGCCGCCATCGTTACTCTGAAAGCAGCCTTACATGTGACATTAGCCAACGTTGTCAGCTGTAGGGTTACGTGTTACGCAGCGCTCGCAGGCGGGGCAGCAGCGGGCGCGCGGGCTAGCAGCCGGTGTTGGCGGGCAGCTGGCCGTTGACTGCGCGCGGCTCATGCGGCGCCACGGGCTGCAGCGGCTCGGCGGCGGCGTCGTCGGACGCGCGCGACCGCAGCGACGACAGCTCGCGCACCCACGACGCCAGCCGCCCCGACACGCCGAACAGGTTGGACCCGGAGCCGGTGGCCACCGCGCCCACGTTCACCTCCGGCAACTCCTGCTCCTCGTCTGTGGACGATGGGGTGATGGTCAGTTAACAACGCTCATTTAGACTATACAGGGTGTTAGGTATATGGGTATATGAGCCGACCCCTGATCATATAAATGGTATGGTGAAGTCAGAAATTTGACATCATCATTTAAATTTTTAAAATTTTCATACAAAATAAATTTTATGAAATCCGATTTGAATGAAAATTAAATGAAGATATCAATTTTCTGACTTCACCATACCATTTATATGCCCATGTTGACATGGGCTAGTGTCGGCTCATATACCCATTTACCTAACACCCTGTAGAACTCTATTCTCCAGGAACATGATTCGACTATTTTCTTGGTGGATGATGGGAGACAAGAAAAGGTCAGTCGCTAAATATTTAGGCAGGTTTTTTTTTTATAATAAGCAAAAGAAATAGTACCTACTACTACGCGACTAGACTAGATGTACGGAACGTGCTTTGTTTACTGTATGTGACGCCTAAAATATTATTGGATTATTTCTATGTCTATATTCTCTATCTACAACTGATCACCTGTTGTTGAAATATAATTTGTACATGAATGACGTTGCTACTTAGATGAAGTATCCTATCATGCAATAATATCATTTGAATATCATGTAAATATTACATATTTTTTGCAGCTAGCTAACTAAAAAACTTTAACAATACTGTGCTTCTATTTAATTACACTTTATAGATGTTGAGTCTGACTACATGTTTCCGCACAAGACAAACATAACGATACCCGCAGGCATGTGTGGTCCCTTAAAATGGCACTTTTGACATTTGCATGCTCGAGATATTCTTGGAGTAGGTATTTACAAAAAGTTTTGGCAGCTTTAATTCACTTATCATCAATGACGTCACTGTACAGTATTTAAGCAAATCTTGGTGGAGGACTCCATGAACTTGCATTAATTATAGCCACCAAATCAAAAAAATACATGGCGTCAAATGAAAGGTATGGTAGAATATGTCTATAGCAAAACCATATGGGAGTTGATGTTTTTCAATGACCAAACATATTCTAGCATAAAACTTTTTCAGGGGTTGTTTACTTTCAAGCTGATGGTTGTTGAAATGGTTCATAACCACTGTAGCAAGATCTCGTAAGTGCCATCTTAAGTTGACTCTACAGTAGCTAGCCGACTAAGCTGTAACTAAGGTCACTCAGGAAATGATAACAAAGTGCTTATGTTACTGTAACATGCGCCGTTACTTACGGTTAGTTTGCCGTCTGCTCGCCACACTTGTCTATGACGGCATGGCCGTGCAAACAAATAACATTTCATTATTAGTATCACCAAAGTATGCGATAGCGCTTATGTTATCATTTGCTGATATGACAAAAGTTTTGAATAACATTTTATTAATTTCTAATCGTGATTACAGTCTTAATTTTATTGATTATTCTATGGTGTTGACGTTAATCATTTCACCGAACCTGCTTTAGTAGGTGTTTTCATAGATATTATGTCAAAGTCATGCGCATGAGTCTGTCAGATAAGGCTTTTCGACACATCCACAGATATGGATTAGAGTAGATACAGCAAGTTGATCGTCAAAGCGTGCCATTCCGATATGTCCAAATGGACATACATGGTCGAGTGATGTTCATGTAATCCGATTACAACAATCGGTTACGATGATTTTACGAGAACAGTAGTACGAACACAGTAGAAAGAAGATATTATTTACGGATTGAGAATTGTAATTAACAGCACAAGTAGCAAATAATTAATTAGAATAAAGTAGCAGTAGAAGAAGTATAAAGTAGCATTGTTTTTAATACATATCCTGCGATGTACTCTTAAGAGTTAAAACCATGGTCCCTGTATGTGGTGCACTCATACCGATCCCAAGGAACCGTACTTACTCATAACAATAAGACACACACTGATCCATGTATTCATGCACTTGACTTTATGTCTTGAAACGCTGGTAGGGTAAAAAAAATAACGAGATTTGACGATTTGTAAGTATTACTTTATTTTAAAAAGGTAAATAAAGATGCTTTTAGTTTTGTATTTAACAAATTATCAGTTTTATCGGAATTAATTAATTTTCGAATCGAGTCACACGATATCATTCGATGACTTTGCGAATGCAGTACGATGATACGATTACTTTTACGTTGCGGCAATCACTAAAATTCGCTAAAATGACACTAATGACGTTTAAAAAGTGGCACGCTCGGCTTCATACAATTTTTGACACATGCTGCATCTATCCATATCTGTGTTTTAGAGTAGATACAGCAAGTTGATCGTCAAAGCGTGCCATTCCGATATGTCCAAATGGACATACATGGTCGAGTGATGTTCATGTAATCCGATTACAACAATCGGTTACGATGATTTTACGAGAACAGTAGTACGAACACAGTAGAAAGAAGATATTATTTACGGATTGAGAATTGTAATTAACAGCACAAGTAGCAAATAATTAATTAGAATAAAGTAGCAGTAGAAGAAGTATAAAGTAGCATTGTTTTTAATACATATCCTGCGATGTACTCTTAAGAGTTAAAACCATGGTCCCTGTATGTGGTGCACTCATACCGATCCCAAGGAACCGTACTTACTCATAACAATAAGACACACACTGATCCATGTATTCATGCACTTGACTTTATGTCTTGAAACGCTGGTAGGGTAAAAAAAATAACGAGATTTGACGATTTGTAAGTATTACTTTATTTTAAAAAGGTAAATAAAGATGCTTTTAGTTTTGTATTTAACAAATTATCAGTTTTATCGGAATTAATTAATTTTCGAATCGAGTCACACGATATCGTTCGATGACTTTGCGAATGCAGTACGATGATACGATTACTTTTACGTTGCGGCAATCACTAAAATTCGCTAAAATGACACTAATGACGTTTAAAAAGTGGCACGCTCGGCTTCATACAATTTTTGACACATGCTGCATCTATCCATATCTGTGGACACATCCAAGACAAGAAACAAGTAGTGTCCGACCGAATGTTCGGTTTCGGTTTCGTTTTCGGTTGAGTTTCGGTAAAAACACGAGTTTCGGTTTAGTTTCGTTTTCGGCGGCAAACTTGCCGAAACTACGACCGAAACCGAATGTGCATTCGGGAGTTTCCGCGCTGTTATCGGTCATGTTCGGCGCATTGAATGAATGAATCCGATCAGAGCCAATGTCGTGATTCGCTCGCTTGTTTGTTTGCTGTTAGTTTTGTTTTGTTTTGGTGGCGAGTTTTCGAGTGATTTATTTTGAATTTGGTAAGTTTTATTCAGTAGTAGAAAACATCAAAAATAATATTCAATATGACTGATAAAAGTATAATCAAGTTTAATCTAACCTATGAATTTTTTTATTCGCAAATTCTATACGTAAACAAACATTAGTTAGGTAGTTAGTAATGACTATAGTGCATTTCATGGTGATAATATTATGGATTCAGAATTTCAAAGTTCATTTTAGTTTTTATCACCAAGCCAAGGTATCCAAGTGGCAAGTACAGTAGATACTAACTTACGTACTACCAATTTTGTTTTGAGAATGACCCGACTATGGGACGGGTTATGTAGATGTCCTGAATATTGCGAGTAATTAAAAAAAATCTAGACTATAAATCCTTCTTTTTCTTTTCAACCGACTTCAAAAAAGGAGGAGGTTCTCAATTCGACCCGTATGTTTTTTTTTTTTTTCTATGTTTGTTACGCGATAACTCCGCCAATTATGAACCGATTTGAACAAATCTTTTTTCGGCGTATAGGTAATACCTCAAGGGTGGTCCCATTTAAGTTTAATAATAGAAAAAACAACCCCCAAGGGTGGAAAATTGGGGATGAACTTTTTTATACGCAATATCTCCGCCGATAATAAATCAATTTGAACGATTATTTTTTTGTTGAATAGGTATTATCAAAAGGGTGGTTTCATGCGAATTTGAAGAAAATATTTCACCCCCAAGGGTGGAAAATTGGGGATGAACTTTTTTATACGCAATATTTTTAATTTTTAGTTTTTTTTGTGTTCACGCATTTGAAGTCGGTTTTATTTTTTAAAAAAGTTAATTATTTAATACATAATTTGATACCTTTAAGAGTAAAAAGGTGCTTTATAAGTTAAATTCTCTTTAAATAATGAAATTTAAAGAGAAAACAATAAAGACTGACTGATTATAATAACGTTTTCTTTATTTTTCCCTTAAAATATGAGCCTTGTAAGGAAGTTTCGGTTTCGGTTTCGGTTTCGGCCGAAATAGACACCGTTGCCGAAATTCGTTTTCGGTTTCGGTTTCGGTCGTAAAACTAGTTTCGGTCGGACACTAGAAACAAGTTAAGCCGTTGGACCGCTTAAATCATACGAATAAAAATATCTAAAATGAGCCAATCAGTGTTTGGTGACCTCACGAAAAATCTTGCTAGAAAGAGAACATTAAATGCACGATATTCGCCAGGAAGCCCTCGAAGTGTCACGTGATCACGTCGACGTCACTCACAGTCTCAGTTAATGTTACGTGTGACGTGACACCGCAGAGCGCGGTGAATACATACAACTGCGCGTTGATTGTCACGTGGTGGGCGCTAGTGGGGCTACTCCGAAACACTGTTTACGTAGTTTCATGCTAGCATCTCGCTTAGCCTGAGAGGGACGGCAACGTTCGAAACTTCGATTGACGTATTTTCGGAAATTCAGAGTAACCTTGCGGGTCGGAGGCGTGCGAGGTCACGTGGTGCCATAAAGTTAATGTGCCTAACAAAATAGAGCAACAAAGGACTGAGCGAGCGAAATGTGACTAGCTAGCAGCAACACTGTGTGTTAAAAAGAGATGCGTGACGCGATGTAATAAAACCTATAATGTAACCCACGCTGTAAATTTGAGCTCTGATATTTTTTTCTCTGAGATTTTATTTTATTGTGGATGTTTATGAGGAAAGAACCGTGGTGATTGGTGCAGTGACAACCTAAAATCGGTTTCGTTCGACAGCCCGTGATTATTGCTCAATTACGAAGGAATATTAACTTTAAGCGTACTGACCTGTGACGGAGCGCTGCAACGCGTACAGCTCCTGCGCGTGCGGCGAGTGGAAGAAGGAGCGCTGCCGGAAGTAGGGCTGCGCGGTGGGCGCCAGGTCGGCCACGAGGCGCAGGAAGGACGGGCGCGCGTGCGGCCGGTGCGCGTCAGCTCGTACGAGGTCACGTGGTACTGACCTGTGGCGGAGCGCTGCAACGCGTACAGCTCCTGCGCGTGCGGCGAGTGGAAGAAGGAGCGCTGCCGGAAGTAGGGCTGCGCGGTGGGCGCCAGGTCGGCCACGAGGCGCAGGAAGGACGGGCGCGCGTGCGGCCGGTGCGCGTCAGCTCGTACGAGGTCACGTGGTACTGACCTGTGACGGAGCGCTGCAACGCGTACAGCTCCTGCGCGTGCGGCGAGTGGAAGAAGGAGCGCTGCCGGAAGTAGGGCTGCGCGGTGGGCGCCAGGTCGGCCACGAGGCGCAGGAAGGACGGGCGCGCGTGCGGCCGGTGCGCGTCAGCTCGTACGAGGTCACGTGGTACTGACCTGTGACGGAGCGCTGCAACGCGTACAGCTCCTGCGCGTGCGGCGAGTGGAAGAAGGAGCGCTGCCGGAAGTAGGGCTGCGCGGTGGGCGCCAGGTCGGCCACGAGGCGCAGGAAGGACGGGCGCGCGTGCGGCCGGTGCGCGTCAGCTCGTACGAGGTCACGTGGTACTGACCTGTGACGGAGCGCTGCAACGCGTACAGCTCCTGCGCGTGCGGCGAGTGGAAGAAGGAGCGCTGCCGGAAGTAGGGCTGCGCGGTGGGCGCCAGGTCGGCCACGAGGCGCAGGAAGGACGGGCGCGCGTGCGGCCGGTGCGCCCAGCACGCGCGCATCAGCTCGTACAGCCGGTCGGGGCAGTGCTCGGGCCGCTCCATCACGCCGCCCGACACCACGTAGCGGACCACTTGCTCGTTTGATAAGCCCTGCGAACGAATGTACAGCATCAGTTAGCTGCCGTCGTAAAGCTTCAACCACACCAACGCGTGCAGATGGCCATCGCCGGCGCGATGACGACGCGATCATAGGCAATGACAGGTCGCGCGGACTGTCATGGGTCGCGCGATCTGTCATTGGCCTTTGATCGCGTCGGCGATGGCAATTTGCACGCGTTGGTGTGGTTGAAGCTTAATGCGATAACCCAGTCAAGTTCTAATCAGAAGTCAGACGTGTCACGTGACTACTTCCTGATTAGCAATATGGGATCATAATACGAAAACGCAAGAGTCTATTTTAAGGTTACGCCTTAAGGAGGCCTATTGCGAATTCTTAATTTCTAGTTGATAGTGTTTCGACAAAATTAACAAGTAAGTATGTCAATCAATTTACCTGATAGGGCTGCATGGCTAATGTAGCCATCTCCCATAAAACGACGCCGTAACTCCACACGTCGCTACTACTTGAAAAAACCTGAAAGCAAAGTATTCACATTAATTAAATATTCAACTCATTCCAAGTACCTGCCTAAATGAAAAAAAAAATGCTTTAAAGATACCTACCCCGTCTTTTAAGCTCTCGGGGCTCATCCATCGCACCGGCAGTAGGCCCTTGGTGCCTTTCCTATAGTAATCAGTCTCATAAATGTCTCTGGTCATGCCGAAGTCGCCCACTTTGACGGTGAGGTCCCCGGCCACCATACAGTTGCGCGCCGCGAGGTCGCGATGCACGAATTTTTTCGCCGACAGGTATGACATACCATCGGCTATTTCTATAGCCATCTGAAAATAAATAAACGTCGTTGAATATTCTGAGCTTTAGATGATTGAAATAACATTATTATTCTTTTTACACAAATGAAAATGGCAATAGCATTAAATCTTTAAAACAAATTACAATGTCCACAGCATTGAAAAAAAAAAAGATTAGGTGTTAAGTAACCGCATTAACATCATCATGATTTTAGCCTATAGATGTTCACTACGGAACGAACGAAAGTCACAAAACACGATCTTTTGCTTTTTTCATCCATTCACTGCCCTATTTTCTTGCAATGTATTCTGCACCGTCGACGAGTTCTAGCTGCTGCCAGCTATATTCTAGATAGTTCGTACATCGAGCAAAAGTGCGACCGCAGGTAGGTCTTGAGGTCGCCGCACTCCATCAGCTCCATGACCACGCCCAGAAGGCGACCACATGTGACGTGGTGACGTGTCTAGACTCCGCACACTAACCTGCAGTATATTCTGCAGCGTCGGCGGGTTCCCGCCGCCCTTCTTGGGCAGCGAGCTCTCCGAGTCGGGGCGGTGCGAGCGCAGGTAGGTCTTGAGGTCGCCGCACTCCATCAGCTCCATGAGACTACGCCCAGAAGGACCACATGTGACGTGGTGACGTGTCTAGACTCCGCGCACTAACCTGCAGTATATTCTGCAGCGTCGGCGGGTTCCCGCCGCCCTTCTTGGGCAGCGAGCTCTCCGAGTCAGGGCGGTGTGAGCGCAGGTAGGTCTTGAGGTCGCCGCACTCCATCAACTCCATGAGACCACGCCCATANAAGGATTTTCGAAAAGTGTGACTAGTCTAGTCTATTAATAGACCCACTGATCACGTTCGAAGCACCTGTGCGGCGCTAAACTCGTCACAACATGCAACGAGACAATGGGCCAACTATCCGGCCGCCGGATATCCGGCTATCCGGCCTAGCAGCTGGCCGGATATCCGGTATCCGGTATCCGGCCAAACAACTATCCGTTTCATCTCTACTAATAACTATAAACGCGACGCCTAAACACACAAGCTGGAGTTGATTATTGAATGCAGTTTTACTTGAGCGTGGTTTCATATTATAGAAACTGTCTCTTATAACTTAAGATAGGTACTATAATTAACAATAGTTATAATATCATATTTTCCAATTTCTTATCACTTCATCCTCACCCGAAACGTTAAATAATAGGATCTCGCTCAACAGTGGCATCAACTGGCAAATACTAACGCCCGTATTCACAAACATTTATATGAGGTCTCACAGTGCGCGTGGACGCACAGGGTCACACATGAACCAATCACAGAGCTCTATTCAACGCTGTGCGTTTCGATTTCCTGCTTCACTTTGTGAATACGGGTGTAAGAATATTACAAGCACTCATTAAAATATCACAACATCAAACTAAAACGAACGAATAAAACGAACCTGATTGGTGTCCTCAATCCTTGTGTAGTGCACGTTGTAGGCGACGACGAATCCGTTGGGATTCTGCGGCGGCTCCCACGTCACGTTCACTTCGGGCAAAGTTTTGTTAGAGGGCAGCACCTCCGCTTGCAAGCGGGCCGCTACGTCTACGTTTGCTGTAGAACAAAATTATACATTGTCAACAATTAAGACAGACTTACAAACAGCCATCGATGATGTTTAAGGCCCGGTTTCCACCAAAGCGAGGAGAAGAGGTTTCCACCAAAGTGTTTGAATAATCAATCTTCGAACCAAATCTGAGCAGAGAGGTAAGATGGGAATAACGAAATCTGATTGGTTATTCAAACACATCTCTTTTTTTTTTTGGACGGACTATGCTGATAGCCGTGAGCAGCTTTTTCAGCTTCACCGGACAATAGGTGAGAGTAGATGGCTCTCAACCTCAATCAAACACATCTCACCTCTCTCCGGTTTGGTGGAAACCGGGCCTTATAGGGGCCTGTAACTGTTTATACATCTGATAAATTAGCATCAAAGGTTACTTACTGAGTTCAAGCGTACGGAAGGTGTTGAATGCGCGCTTAGAGCACCATGTGTCGGCGTACTCTTCGTCGCTTTCATTCTCATACTTGTGGCGGCAGGCCCACACGNTGTGAACGCAGGTAGGTCTTGAGGTCGCCGCACTCCATCAGCTCCATGACGACCAGCGTGGGCTGACCCCGCGAGACCACGCCCAGCAGACGCACCACGTGGAACGTGTCGAACGCCTTCATGACTGAAGCCTCGTTCAAGAACTCGATGCGCTCCCTGTGCAGTCGAAAATACTAAATGTGATGACGTCGTAAAAAGCTAACATCATGCGTCTTTTGTTGTTGCGATATAAAAACACTGAATGTAAGATGCGATATAAAAATACTGAATGTAAGGACGACGCGACGCCGTAAGAATTACATGTGTTTTTAATTCGTTTTCTGTTTAAATACGAATTTGGCGACGGTACACTGGTTTCAAACTATAGCAAATTGGCAAAGCTTAATTAAAAAAACAGTTGCTATGCTACTAAAGATTTCATGATGTATTAACGAACTCCTTACCTGTCAGTGGCATGTTCATTGACAGTTTTCACAGCACACCGAGTTTCTGGCTTGCCTTTTTCAATGCTCTTCGCTATTCCTTCATATACCTGTGAATATAAACACAAGTGAATAAATAACCCTACACTTTTATGCTATGTATAAGTGTAATAATACCAGATCTGGACAGAATAGAGATCAAAATCAATAATAGAGAACAAAACTAATTCCCGTCCACAATAACAAATCACTTACCATGCCGAAAGATCCTTGTCCCAACTCCCTCACGAACTGTATATTAGCGCGCGGCACCTCCCACTCGTCAGGCACGTAGACAGACGACACGTACTCAGGATTGACACTTGCGAACAGCTTGTTGGCTTCGGCTGGGGGTGCGAAGAGCCCGCGCCGCGCGTACCAGATGCCGCCGCCTACTAGCAGCGACATCACCACGCAGCCGCCTACTAGGCCCCATACCCATTCGTAGCCTGAGTCCGCGGTGCGCTCCTAATGAGAGATTTCTCAATTTAAAAGTTGCGCTCATAATGCAAGGTTTTCTCAATTGAAAATCTCGATTAGGGAATTTACTGGACACGTGACTTGATGAAAATTAGACAACCGCCATGATTGTGATGATGAAAGCTGAAAGCTATGTGTCACATTGTTTAGTTATTTTTGATGTATGTTATGTGGAAGCTTTCGATTCAAAGTACTGCAAAAGATTCTACATAAAATGCAAATTGACAGCTCAGGTACTCTTCAAGGCACGGTTTCCTCCAGTGGGAAGATTGTTTGGGATATTCGGCACATCAGACAAATGATCAAATGATTTTACAAAACGAGGATGATCAACCGTATTTCGTATGCAATATTTAAAGCTATACTTAGAATGCAGTAGATGGATGTGATGAATTGATGTTGATTGAAACTCTGTTTCTTCGATAGCTACTCAACGTTTATATCGTGAAATAACGTATAACAAAACGAGATATTTCATGATCACAGTGAGATGAATGGTAGTAGAGTGCGGTAGGCGCCAAGCGCAATCGCGACCGTTATCTGTCAGATTCAACCGTAGTGATGCGTGCACTCGTTAGTGAATTAGTGATGTCGTAATCGATTCCTGAACAATGCTTTCACTGTGGCATTTAGAGCTATACAGGGTGGAATTTTGTAATGCCACCTGGAGGGAAAGTACTCTTAATACTGTAGATAGAACATTTTACTCAAAGAAAACATTCCTTTATTTTTTTAAAGAAAGAGAACTGCATTCTTAGATTTTAGATTTTTTTCGAAAATTCACTACCGTACCATACAATTTTCTGTAAATAATTGAGATAATTTAAGATTTCATGATTTTCCTTTCATTTGATTTATCAAGTTTGTTAGAGATTTCATCCTTATTCTTAACCCTAACGATCGATGCAATAAAAATACAGGGTGTTATTTTTAACAGATTTTAGTTGGTTCGATTCCGGGGTGTAAGCAAGCAAATTTTTGGAAATCTTTGAATGCAGTTCTATTTCGTTTCAAAAATAAAGGAATGTTTTCTTTGAGATTTTTTTCTATCTACAATATTAAGAGTACTTTCCCTCCAGGTGGCATTACAAAATTCCACCCTGTATTTCAACAAAGGGTTTTGTGATGTCGCTGTACGTTGATGTTTGAAGTTATCCCACTAACCGGTATGTAAATGTAGATGTCTGACACATTCCCGGCGCCGCTGACGGTGATGGGCGTGACGCGGATGCTGTAGTTGCCGGCCAGCAGGTTGCGGATGAGGTAGCCGCGCCCGTTGCTCTCGTAGTCGTCCGCCATCAGGCACGTCTGCAGACCCACGTCTTGTGCCTATGGAAATAAGGTTCATTTTCGATTACATTCACAACGTAATATTAGTCCTAGGTTCTAATTCTACAGGGGCTTAGGTAAATGGGTATATGAGCCGACACTAGCCCATGTTAACATGGTCATATAATTGGTATGGTGAAGTCAGAAAATTGATATAATCATTAATTTTTTTTAAACTTTCATACAAAATAAATTTTATAAAATCCGATTTGTATGAAAATTAAAATAATTAAAATGAAGATATCAATTTTCTGACTTCACCATACCAATTATATGACCATGTTAACATGGGCTAGTGTCGGCTCATATACCCATTTACCTAACACCCTGTATAACAACGCGACGCTTAAACATACAAGCTGGAATTAATCCTTGATTGCAGTTTTACTTGAGCGTTTGGCGACTTTACAACAGGCGAATGCTAACGCCCGTAATCACAAACTATACTGTGAGGTCTCAGAGTGCGGGTGGACGCACAGGGTCACACATGAACCAATCACAGAGCTCTATTCAACGTTGTGCGTTCGATTTGCTGCTTCACTTAAGCAAGCATCGTTTATAAATACGAGTATAAGAATATTACACGCACTCATTAAAATATTACATCAGACTAAGAATGAAACGAACCTGATTGGTGTCCTCAATCCTTGTGTAGTGCACGTTGTAGGCGACGACGAATCCGTTTGGGTTCTGCGGCGGCTCCCAAGTCACGTTCACTTCAGGCAAGGTCTTGTTAGAGGGCAGCACCTCCGCTTGCAAGCGGGCCGCTACGTCTACGTTTGCTGTAGAACAAAATTATACATTGTCAACAATTAAGACAGACTTACAAACAGCCATCGATGATGTTTAAGGCCCGGTTTCCACCAAAGCGAGGAGAAGAGGTTTCCACCAAAGTGTTTCAATAATCAATCTCCGAACCGAATCTGAGCAGAGAGGTGAGATGGGAATAACGAAATCAGTGTGCCTACCATGAGTTTACGTTAGGTGTGCTCGCTAACGACTGCGTAAAAAAAATACATTTAAATGTATGACATATTGTGCAGCGCCCCTAGCGGCTACTTTCAAGAAATAAAATCTTCATAGAATTTTTTGACGTATTCGCTAGCGAGCTCACCTAACGTAAACTCATGGTAGGCACACTGATTAGTTATTCAAACACATCTCACCTCTCTCCGGTTTGGTGGAAACCGGGCCTTATAGAGGCCTGTAACTGTTTATACATCTGATGAATTAGGATCAAAAACAATTAAGGTGGTTACTTACTGAGTTCAAGCGTACGGAAGGTGTTGAATGCGCGCTTAGAGCACCATGTGTCGGCGTACTCTTCGTCGCTCTCATTTTCATACTTGTGGCGGCAGGCCCACACGTTGACAGTGTACCAAGTGAAGTGACGCATGTCAGTCACGGTCAGAGACTTGGTGTTGTTTGACAACTCGTAGTACAACGACTGGACGTACCCTGTACATCAAAAGTACATAAATACGCGTACAAGGTATACAATTTTCTTCCAAATGCATACGTAAAAACGCCAAACGGCACATTTATATGACCAAATCCTTTGCCCAAATTTCAAACCAAATTACTCATAGATATGGAGGGAATAAACTATTTATTATTTTGCTCTCAATGAACTTGGGATTGTTATTGTTCATTTAAATGTCATATTACATCTTTAACTATGTACGCTTGTAAAATATGTCAGGCTAGATAAGATATAAAGTATAATTTATAAACAATATTTAGAGTGCCTTTTCCTTCTACTTTTTAATTCTTGTTGATCACTGAATAAAGCCGATATTTAAAAAAAAATTCAATGAGATGCTTTCTAAATCCAATATCAAATAATAATATATCTACTTAATTTGAAAATTACCACATACATGCAAGATAAAATCAATCATCCAGGTGGGCGCAGTATGTATCGTGAACAACTATATCTACTTTATATCATGCAGATCAATTTTACTTTCTACTTTGAAGTCATGCTGATCGGTTTGCTCCGGTAAACTTAAAAAAACGATGCTAACGTGGAAATCGGTGTTTTGTGATGATAGTGCATGCAGCAACCGGATACCCGTGACAAAACAAAAATGTCTGTGGTAGTAACCTGTAGTATTGTCCTTTACGACGCAAACATTAGGCTGGACGCGACTGCATTTGGCTGAAACGAAAATGTTAAGATGGACGTGATGAGGTTCGTGAACGTTGGCAAGCATGACAGAGTGAAGAACAAGCATAGAGGAGGTATGCTTCAAGGTGGCGAATGAATGTTATGATGGGGGAATGCGTTAAGGTATATTCACATGTAAAGTAATGGTAGGGGTAATTTAGGGTGTTTACTTTCGTTGTCCGTAGTGTTGGTGTAGTTTAGGCCGAGGACGGGGTCGTGGTTCTCCGTGAGGATGACCAGCATACTATTGAGCGTCATGTCGACGGATCTTCGCGCTCGACTGTTTCCAGAGCTCTCGTAGTTCTTATCATTCCTCGATGTTTTTATGTACACCTAAGACAATAAAAAAAATTGTAAACGTATGTGAAAATTGTAAAAGCATGATTGTTTTCTTTACTATCTCTATTAACCAGATTTCTCCGGCTGCCAGTAAATGCAAGTATAGCCGATAAGAAGTCAATAGACAAAACATTGTTAATTGTTTATCAGCAGTGACATATCCGTCTCAAAAGTCCGCGGTTATAATAATGGATACGTATACGAATATTCAGGTGATCAGTAGTATATTATACTAGCTTTCCGCCCGCGGCTTCGCGCGCGTGGACTACATTATCTACATATTTTACGGAACCCTATTTTTTCCAAAATAAAATTTAGCCTATGTTACTCGTGGATAATGTAGCTTTCGAATGGTGAAAGAATTTTCAAAAACTGTCCAGTAGTTTTTGAGCCTATTCATTACAACCAAACAAACAAACAAAGTTTTCCTCTTTATAATATTAGTGTAGATTACCGTATTTTGCAAGCCATTCTCAAAGTTGATGGTTTCGTCGCGCTCCTCCTCCGCGCGCGACGTGAACTTAGTTCCGGATTTCTCCTCCTTGCACGAGCAAGAGCCATTCTTCACCTCCCCCGTCGTCTTGGCTTCCTCCTTCTCAGGAATATTCTCGCCGCGACCGGCGATTATATTCGCCAATGCATTCGCTGTAGATATGACATATTTTTTACAGATAACCATTATTAACGGTGAAGTCAGAAGACAACCTGATAAGTTTGTTATCACTGTTTANGGGTAGAATGTTTCCGCCAGTAGCCGAACAGACCCTCTCGCATCCAGAACCCCTCCATCCTTCTCCAACGGCTGATCCTCTCCCCTCCTCGCCGTCCTCATCATTACCCTGTATATCCCCTCCCAAACACCCTCACGATCCTGCTTGGTGCAGAACTCCCTCCAACTCTCGACCTGCGCATTTCTAACTTCCCTCTCATACTCTTCTTTATGTTTCAGGTACTCCTCGACGACCTTCGATCTGCGGGCAGGTGCAGCGGTTTTGACTCTCCTTTTCCAGGTGACCGTCTCCTTCTTCAGCTTCGCCAGACTCTCGGACCACCACGGCAGTGTAAGTATATCTTTGGTTTTCTTTTTAGGTATTGTTTCTTGACAGGTTTTTGTAATAATCTCTATGTAATCGTTAACTATGTTTTCCAGTTCTATTGTGTCATTTATTATATCTATCGTGTCTTTATTTATGTTTTTATTGTGCAAAGCTAGTCTCATTTTCTCATGAAACTGAGACCAGCTTGCTTTTTTAGTGTTGTATACTCTAGTAGTCCTAATGATTTTTATTCCTTTAGATCTAGTTAAATTAATTTTGAAGATAATGCCGTTGTGATCCGAGCTGGTGAGGCCTTCGTCCACTCTCCAGTCGTCCACCAGGTCCAGGAGGTCAGTCGAACAGGCTGTGATGTCGACATAGCTGCTGAATCGCTGCCCGCCGCGGATTGTGTCGAAAGTCGGAGTTTTCCCTGTGTTCAGAATGTGCAGGTCGAGTTCTGCAAGGGTTCCGGCCAGATCATCGCCCCTATGGTCAATCGTGGCGCTTCCCCACCACGTGCTTTTTGCGTTTGCATCGCCTCCAACAATGAGCCCCTTCGAGCCTAGCTTCTTCTCAACCTGCCTCAGGTGTTCGAGGTAGGGTGCGATGGGCTCATCGGGTTCGAAATAAAAAGAGACGAGAGAGATCTCCCATGCCCTTGTCTGGATCCTCACCACCGCGATGTTGTTGGTGGTGAGTTCTGGATACTGCGTGACGTTGAGGCTTTGGTCGAACACAGCGATCGCAGCCTTCACAGTTCCGTCCCCGGGGTTTGTGTTTTGGAAGATCCTCACGCCTCGATGGTCCCTCATCGCTTTTCCGCCTCCCACGTATGGCTCTTGAAGGAGCGCTACAGCGATCTTCCTCTCTACAGCTTCTAGGAGGAGCTCATTGTTGGCCAACTTTTTGCGCTGCAAATTCGCCTGGGCGATTATATACGGGGCATTCACCACTGGGACCACTTTAGCAATAAGCTACTGATGATCTCGCTAATATGTCCCAGCGTTTGCGCACCGGACAGGCCTGCGAGAACGCATTGTGGTCTACTTGATCATATTTAGCGGTGGAGCAGTTTTTGCATGAGGCGTTTACGCCTGCCAAGAAATCCGCACACTCGGTCTTAAGGTGCGGGCCCCCACAGTGGCTGCAGAGGTCGACCGTCTCGGTGCAAAAGCGCTTGCCATGGCCATAGCCAAGGCACCTTGTGCACTGAACCAGAGGGGACTGGTCCTCAACTCTGACCTGCTGCAGGTCCACATGCAGGGAACCTTTCGAGATAGCGCGTCTCCATACGAGTGGTGAGGTGCTCACCACTACGTGGTTTGTGTGCGGGTTTCTGGCACGCTTTTTAAACTTGATTTGGAGGCGATCCTCCTCGTCGCCGAGGCTGTGAAACAGGTCTTTGTTTTGGCTCCTGATTGCCTTTAGGATGTCGTCGTCGCTATTAAGCTTCAAGACATCCTTCAAAACCAGGAGCGGGTCCTTGTTTTTCACCTCCTCGACGACGAGCTGGTCGCCCGCACTTTCTATTCTCGCCTTAACTCTGGCCCGCTCCTCCTTCGATCCGCAGCTCATAATAATTTTAGCATCCTTTGCTTTGCGAATCCTCTCCACCTTGACCCATCCCTCTTTTGCGTTCACCGCTTCTCTGACTTTACTCAGCACAGTGTCTCCGGTGTCCTGAACGTTCACCGAGGACACTATGACTGAATGAAGCGTAGTCTTCGCTGGTGACCTCCCATTCGAGTNACTGTTTATTGTTGTGTTCCTCAGAAATAATAAATAAGAAAAATATTATATTTTAACTCGGACTTTGTAGGTTTGTAATCTAATTCGTTTGAAATGAATTCGTAAACACTCTGCAAGCTGTATGCAATCAGCGTTCTTGTATATAGGTTTCAGATACGGAGTTCATGTATTTAAAAAAACTTGCTGAACTTACGATTGTATGCAATCTGTTTTTTTATTAAATGTATATAGGTTTTCAGCTCAGATACGGTGTTGATGTACTAAATAAACTTGTTGAACTTACGATTGCCGCAGTAATTATTGCGCCAGGCAAGGATCTTGGGCCGGTTGTAGCTGTTGGCCTGTATTTTGACATGATACAACATGATGGTCCCGTTGGGCATGGTGGGAGGCGACCACTTGATCTTCACGGAGTGCGGGCCCGTTGACTCTACGGTCAGGCCCGCTGGAGGGCTGGGGCCTGAGTAGAATAAACCAGAAAATTGTATCTTATCTCATAGCACATAATTACCAATTTTGCTGAATTTTTAAAGTTGTTCTTGAACTTTTCACTCGAAATAACATTGGAATTTATGATACGGGATTCGGTGCAGTTGTTAAGAATTCGTTTTTTTGCACTTAAGTTTGCAGTTTCGATATGGCAATACAAATATTTGATGCATGATATCTGTTTGTATAATGTCTGTAATTGTATTTGTTTTGTTGTAGTCTGGGTTTACACAAGACATACTTACACAAAAAATGTATTACGATTATATTATTTGTTGTAATACAAGTTATTTAGTCTCAGATAGCGTTGAGTAAAAAGTCCTAAGATATTCAAGAGATATTCATGATTAGTAAATAAACAAAGAGGATAGATCTGCTTAGAATAAATATTATCAAGCAATTGAAATATATTTTGTGCTTTATCAGTAACTAGCGATCCGCCCCGGCTTTGCACGGGTACAAATTTATCATAAAACCTTCCTCTTGAATCACTCTATCTATTAATAAAAAAGTTTTAAAGATCAAAGCATACATAGGGACAGACAGCGGAAAGCGACTTTGTATTATAATATGTAGTGATATATGCAAAAATGAACAACTCACGTCCAGGCAGCGTCTGCAAATAAATGATCGGGCTCTGCGCTCCCTTCTTGTCCTGCTGCGTGGTATACGTCTTGACGTAGGCCGCGTACCGCGTGAACGGCGTCAGCGAGCGGATGATTTTGAACTGCGGCTGCGACTGCTTGCAGATGTCGCCGAGCAGCTGGCTGGAGTCGTCGTTACTGCCGTTGCTGTGGCCGCGCGCCTCGTCGATGGTGAAGTCGAGGACGTTCCAGCTAGATTTATTGACGAGCTTATTAGTTTCACCATAGACCAGCGTTGCCAGACGTCCCGATTTTGGCGGGACGTCCCGATTTTTAAATCAAATTTAAATGTACCGCGCGGGACAGGCTCGGTCCCGCTTTTCGGAGAGAGACACTTACTTCACCAAACTTTTGTTTGAAACACCATATTATTCTAAAGAATAAAACATTTTTAATTTCATTCTTTTTTTATTCTAAAGACGAATTTAACGATAGAGTAAATCTGATTTAAAATATTTTTTTTTGTTAAAATACATTTTCTATGGCTACTTTTGCTATATATGTCAAGTAAACGTAATTTTAAGTCAAATAAAAAGATAAATATTTGAAAACCTTTGATTATATACGTTTTTTTACTATGTCCCGCTTCTGACGGAAGAGTCCCGCTATTTTCACTCAAAAAGTACCCAAGTCCCGACTTGGCGGAAAAAAAAACTGGCAACGCTGCCATAGACCCTCGCTCGGTATTGTACACCAAAACTGACAGTTACAAGAATACGAAACTTGGAACGACACCATTTATAACATAAATGAAACCTAACTCAATCTAAATTTCAGACGTTCTTATCGATGTTGTGATCTGTTCTAGACAACCAGGGGAGAAAACGGAGTTAGAGAGAGAGGAGAGACATTTCATCATATTATTCATGTCAATTGAATTAACCAAGATACTGTCACATAATATAGAATAGCTCCTTTTAGATGATATAAAGTAGGAAAGGAAGATGTGTACGGATATTTGAGGAGATAAGAGGAAATGACCTAGCTGAATTTTAATGCTCAAGATAAACCAGCCCTGCTGCTTGCAGATATAATGCAATACGCGTCATTTTGCAATGCCACTCACATACAGCCTCTCTTTACATTATTTCAAACTATAGGATACTCACAAGTCGGAACACGCGTCCCTGTGCTCATAGAGCGTGACGTCATTCTCCGCCGGGATGTAGTAGATGGAGTAACCCAGCAGTTTGCGGATGTCGGCCACGCAATACGTGTCCCACTGCAGCACCACCCAGTTGCGGCCTATCTTGCTCACCTTCAGCTGGAGGCTTTTGGGAGAACCTGTATAAGACAACCATAAAGCTGTAAGATCTATAATTTTATGGAAGTAAGTTCGAAGATATGGCGGTTAAAAGTTATGCATGACAGACCGTTTCGGACGACATCGGGGAGACAACGGCATTGCGACAGAAGCGCGACAGTATCATCACCCGACGCTCCCATTGCCCGCCGCCGACGTCATGGGCACAGAAGGAGGCTCTATGACCTCCATCTGCCCCTTCCTAATAGGCTTCGGCCATCAGATACGGGGGTGTCTGGTGGCGTCTAAAGAGGCCGCGACGGCGCAGCACGTGTCCTGCGTGCCGCTCGCAGGAGGTTGAAGGCGTAATAACGCCTTCCTTGGTTTGAGGCTGCGCAATAAGCGAGTGAAATGCCGAGCAGGGAACACGGACGAATGCTTGAGGCAAACGCCGATAGTGATGGCCCGCGTTCCCGACTCATATGGCTACCGAGGGCAACGTCAGGTTTTTAGTGGGTACGCCTTGCCCTTCTGGCAGGGAGAACCCCACATAACCCACTAACTGCCCCCGCGGCTGGTGGGTATACAAATCAATGTATTTTCCTGACGAAAAAAAAAAAAACAAAAAAAGAAGCGCGACAGTATTGCGTTTGCATCGCGACAGAAGCGCATTTTAGAAATGCATACGCCCTCATCCACATAAACGCGCTTCTGTCGTGCGTAGTAAACGTGCTAGCTGTATAGCTAGCGACCGCATGGCGACTGTATCGATGCAAATGCGCAACAGAATCGCTACTGCATCGCTACAAAAAGTCGCCGTGGGCGACGGGCCTAAGTATACACCAGAGTATAGCTAAGATCTAATCTGACACGTCATCAGTGAGAAATATGTAATAGTTAAAGAGTTGCAAAAATAAACTCACATGAAGCCTGGTCGCCGTTATTATCTTCAGAAACTTCTATCTCGGTAAAATTCGATCGCGGATTAGTCATGTTTTGAAGAGGCAGTATTTGATGGTAACACAACTTCGGGTTCAAATGTATGTACAGAGTTCCAGTTATATCCAGCGGCCCGTGAACTGACCAATCCCACAATATTTCCAGGTTGGGGTTGTTGAATATGTGTAAGGCTTGACCTCTGCAAACACACAAAAGTTTTCGATTATAGTGCATGAAAATATGGATTAATATCGATATAATGTTTGTACTTAAAACATTTGATATACTAACTTGTTTTCTGTTGGTATAGCGGTGATTTTCTTGAGGTTTTTCAGGAACATCAATGAGATGAGCGTGTAAGATCTCGTCACTTTGAGGCACCCGTGGATCTCTCGAATCTCGCCCAACGATTCCAATGTGACCATGGTGTTACCTGCATTGAATGACAAAAACAATTGAAAAAATTCTGGTCCCAATATTAACGGGGAAGATCAGGAAAGAACGAATTTACATTCTCGCACATTTAATTAACGTTAATTAATTAGCCTGTTCACGAATACTTAATTTTATTTGCGATACACTACATAAACTATGACTACATAGTAGGTATATTATAATGAGATAAACTTAGTAAAATATCCAATCATTACAAATAAATAATATTGCAGTTGTATGATTTATCTCTGTCTTGCGTCTACATAATATGACATATCAATACGTTAATAAATCTCTATGAATAATTAATAAGGCTGGGAGTAGAAGCGAGATTTTCACTGCAAACCTTATCTATGTTATTTAATATCATATCTGACCTACACCAATGATTAGTATCTTTCACCGTACATGTTATCTTAGTTATGCGTTACGTAATTATATGCAATGTGCATTGTTTACACTTATCATGCTAATAATCCATTCACAGTTGATCTCTGTAATATGAAATAGAAGAATCGTGCTGAACGACCGATAGTCAGTCAATTTATCAAGATTACTTGCCTCTATAAATTTAATAAGTTAGAAACGAAATATGTAGTTGTGATTTCTTCATAGACATAAGACCCGCGCGTCCCGCGCACGCACCGTCTTCACAGCTAATTCCATGCAATGATTCTTTGCACGTGCCATAAGTGTATCGTAATGCTTGTCTGTTACTAATGTGGATGTACCTTTACTAAACTGTTCAGCCCAGTGGACGATTCTGAGTTATTATAAGAGAAGCAAAATCTAAACTTCTTACATCACATTTTCATGTTACCAGGTTAAAAAGGAAAAATGTAATAAAACCTAGGGGGTGTATTTGTAATTTGTATCTATAATAGGTCATTGGGGGGATAAGGGGTGCCAATAATACCGTCAACTCACCGCCTGTGGCCCGAACCGCTATCTCCAGGGTGCCCTTGATGTGTGTGCACCCCCGGAACTGCTCCGCCGCGGCGACCGAGTCGATCTTGGCCCCGGTGCACTCCCGCTTGCAGCGCTGGCCTGGACACGGCGTGCAGCGAGCGTTGCTGACGTCACCGTCCTGACAACAACACACGTGTGGTTACACTGAAGTACATATTTTTATCATTCGGAACGCCCCGATCGTCAATTCGATTTCAAAAGTGTCAAGGTCAAATAAGACGTAATAACGTACTACGTTACGATCGTTACGTTTAATTAGGTCGGTTCTAGAAAAAAAAATGTACTTTAATAGAGTTTAACATACTAATAAAAACTTTTAAACAATCGTATTAAATTAAACTGTCATGTACAATTCAGTCATAACGAGAACGACTATGCCCTGAGGTCAGATATTTATCTAAATTACTATTATAAATTACTTGCCAATCCAGCAATCAACATAATTTTTAGGTAATGAGCTACATAAATAAAATCAATGTCAACTAACGTCTTCTTGCCAATATATTTCGATGTCTGGCCTGGACATTGTTTACAAGACAAGAATACGAGTAATTAAATAGAGGCATGGCATGTCGCATGGCCGCATAAGTCCATACATAAGGGAAGTTTTGTTTCGTGTACCTAATTGACATGCTAATGAATTGTTATATGACATACCAAAACGTGGCTAGCCTGTAGGAAAAGATAAGCTATGACGTCATTTTTTGGAAGTTACTTGATTGGGGTGAAAATTTTGTTTTCACCCCACCAACGCGTGCAGATCGCTATCGCTGGCGCGATCAAGGGCAATGACAGGTCGCGCGACCCATGACAGTCCGCGCGACCTGTCATTGGCCTATGATCGCGCTCTGATAGCGATCTGCACGCGTTGGTGTGGTTGAAGCATTATTCGGTTTCCAAGGGTAAAATTGTTTTCTTTTTTAGGAGTTGCCTTGAAATTTTGGTTAATGGTAGTCTACTCAATTCCATACCTCCATGTAGCCGCTAGGGCAGTTGTAGACGCAGGTCCTGTTGAGGATCTTGTACGCATTGATGACGGGCGCCGGCCGGTTCAGGTCGATCGAGCCGGGCGTAGGCACCGGCATCTGGCGGCACTCTTGCTCTGTGACGCAACGACGCGCCAGCTGTCAACATTACACTCGCTATAGTTTGGTTTACGTTTACATTAACGGCTACGTCATTTACGATTAGTGGGTAAAATGTACAATAATAGCTAACGTCATTGACTATTAGGTAAAAATATGGCCGATGAAGATTACACGCTTTTCTGAATGACTTGAACTGATGAGAAGAGTGCTAGTATGCCGAGCTGCAAGCGATGTAGCGCGAAACAGACCACTAAGTAGGATCAAGCAACCATGGTCTTTATGGCGCGTAAAGTTCACATGGATCATGTGAAATAAAATGGCATCTAGGTTCAGTCAAATAAACACAGTTTCTGGCCATATCTCTACGCAGCATTCGGACCTTTTCTTGATTTGATTTATAACTAATATCTGCTCTGCACTGCATCGCAAATCCATTTACACGCACAGCCGCAGTTGAATTTGCCTTTAAGAATAACAATAATAAATAAGTATACTATATCATTGTACTTTGCTTTGCTATATTGTATGTACTTTTTTCTACCTCGATAGTAACCGTAGCAATTTAACTGGATTGGATCAGCGTTATCAAATAATATGAATTACCTACTTATAATAAAATTTATCGCCCAGTTTACAGTTTTTAATTCATTTTTATGAGTTTTATTAGAAACATAGTAAGTAGTACTTACTAACAATATGTACTGTATATATTATTACTAGAGTATTTCTCAAAAAAAATGTACATTTTGAAAAAAAAAAAGTGTGCTTTGAAATAGTTCAAAAGTTTTATCATCACACAAAAAAAACACACACAATTTTGAAGGATGAATATTAATCTTTAAGATAACGAAGAATTATAGCTATAATCCTACTTATTACCAAATATTTAGACATTTTAAAAATAGTCCTTTTTTACCTTTCATACAAAAACCTGTTTGCCACCCTAGCTTTTTCATGTATTTTTGTTTCATAAAATGCGATACGTAACTAAATTATTGTAAATTTCTTTGTATTATCGTTCTACAGTAATCGCAGTTTCTGTATCAAATTGATTTTCTATGGGGTGTCATAATGAATTGGCAATTTAAAGCAAAAAAACAAAATGAGTCGCTCTCATTTACTATTTCGTTATTTACTCTTTAGTTACGATTTATTTCTACTTTCCCATGGTTTCTGAACAATTCCGTATTTATTTTACACGGACAACAATAGCTGCACTCTGAATGGCTGTTGGCCTGACGTCTCCGCCATAACATCTATCGCGAAAATTAGTGAAAACGTGTGTGTTTTGTGGGATTACTTTTTCGTAACAGGCAGTAAAATCAGCGATTTTATATAGAACGGTAAGTCTTCATTTAACCATTTTTTGTAATACGTGTGGTACGAACATTTAGTAAGCTTTTATATTTGCTGTAACAAATTTTATCAAAAAAATACTTGTTTCTGATCTCATTTTGTCTAATATTTCGTTACGTTTTTTACGAATTTCGTTACGTTACGAAAAAGTACAACATAATGCTGAGTGTATACTGTTATTACCTGACTAAGCATAGTAATATTCACTACTTAATTTATTTCAAAAAATATAGAGCGTTAATAACAAAAGGATTGGATACTATCTGCTTTACAGAAGTGCCACCAGCAAAAAATTATCAAATCATTTAGATTACGTTTTTATGTGATTACTTCTTTTGTTTTTTTAGGAATGCCGCCAAAAACCAATGCCGAAAGGCAAAAAGCTTACAGAGAACGACTCAAAATGGATAAACATGATGGAACAAAAATAATTTTATTAAAATAGTATGAATGATTACTCCCTTATTTTATTTCTAACCCCTTAATATTACCCCGTATTTGGGTGCATACTTACAAATATTTCGAATTGAATAAATAAAGAGCATTCACAATATTTCGCCAATGTATAACAAGCCTTATGGCCTTACTATTTCGTTACTACCGTTTCGTTACGTACATTTTTTTTGAGAAATACTCACTACTCTTTTGAAATATTTATGTAAACAATGTTACGTCACTTCATATACCATATGAAACGTCTTAACAACCTTCAAGATTAACACAGTTAACTCAATTAGATCTTTGTAAATGATAATAATTAAGTTATAAGCCATCACACAAAATGACCTCCCGAAGTCACAACTTTGTGACATCTGGGACACTGTGTCGGCCATTGTTACACTGTATGTGCAAGAATGTACAAACATAATAAACGGTAGTGTCACCTTTATTAATTCCATCAAAACACAGTAGGTAACATATTTTTAGCGTACATATAGCTTGTTTTGGTTTAGCATAGATGGAAGACTTTTTCTGCAAAATACTTCTTTTGCCGCATGACGCATAGGCGTTCAAATCCATATCCAAATGGAGAAGTTCTGGCACAAATAGCAATATTTAGCAGTGCTGCCAGTCACGACGCATAAGCGTTAAGCAATTTATTCTAAATACCCGTAGGTACTGTTAATTATGAAAAATCTAAAACGTTAAAATAACGGTATCGTTGTGGCCAATGAGATGCTGTGATAGTGACATTGACAATACGTCAATGTCACACGAGAATCAAACGTCAGAATAGAGGGACGCGCGGAGATGACTTCGCGCGCTTTTGTGCTAAGTGATGAATTGTATCTAAAATAAGGCAATATAATGTATAAGATAAGTATCCAGTGTTTTATTTATGAGAATAGATCTACCGGCCTCTAATAGTACATATGTATAATGTTCAGCTGGTAAGTGTTAGCTGGGCACTGTTCGACGCAGCGGCGCTCGGAGCCGTAACCGATGGAGAAGTTCTGGCACACGTAGCAGTCTTTGGCAGTGCTGCCGGTGCAGCCGCCGAGACACGACGCGTTATGACAAAACGATACATTCTAAATATCCGTACATATGATGTTCACCTGGTAAGTGTTAGCTGGGCACTGCTCGACGCAGCGGCGCTCGGAGCCGTAACCGATGGAGAAGTTCTGGCACACGTAGCAGTCCTTGGTAGTGCTGCCGCTGCAGCCGCCGAGATACGACGCGTAAGTATAGAACTATTTGTTCCAAATATCCGTAGATATAATGTTCACCTGGTAAGTGTTAGCTGGGCACTTCTCGACGCAGCGGCGCTCGGAGCCGTAGCCGATGGAGAAGTTCTGGCACACGTAGCAGTCCTTGGTAGTGCTGCCGCTGCAGCCGCCGAGATACGACGCGTAAGTATAGAACTATTTGTTCCAAATATCCGTAGATATAATGTTCACCTGGTAAGTGTTAGCTGGGCACTGCTCGACGCAGCGGCGCTCGGAGCCGTAGCCGATGGAGAAGTTCTGGCACACGTAGCAGTCTTTGGCAGTGCTGCCGGTGCAGCCGCCGAGACACGACGCGTTGCAGCAGCGCCCGTCGGCCGTGCAGCCGTGCTGCGGCTCGCACTCGATCGGGCATACTGCCACAATACCACACTTGTTACAAAAACAACCATGTTAACACACTAAAGCCACCATGGAGTTATATGGAGATGTTCGATAATTTAACAATAATAAATACACATTTCAGCATATACCTAAATGAAAATGATTAATTTTAGGTATACAAGTATATACAGTGTGAGTCACGTTAAAGTGTACATATGAAAATAGATGAAACTAGACTTATTTTTATCGACAAAAAAGTGGTCAAAAATTTTTTGAGATTTTTTTTAAATTTTTTATAGAATTTTTTTTCTTCCAATTACTTATTGTAAAGAAAACGTAATAACTTTTAAACTAAGCAGTATATCCTGATAAAATAAAAACAGTAATAATGCTAAATAACAGAGGATACTAAAAAAATACAAACAATACACAAAAAATGCCAACAAATAATAAAAAATGATATTTTTTGAAAAAAATCTGCTTAAAAAATCGTGTTTTTTTGGTTATTTGATAAATTTCTCCGAAAAATGCCCGTATAACAGGTGGTTTTTATTTTTTTGTGTTATTCTCTATTGTATTACCTTTGTAAAACCANAAACATTTAAAAATCGAATGAGAACGTTTTCGACTTCTCCGCGGACGAAGTCGCGGGCAAAAGCTATTTGTAAAATAATTAGACTAAATTATTAAAAGTGCCTACCCAAAGTCATTATTCCACGCGGACGGAGTCGCGGGCACAGCTAGTTAAGTTATAAGCCGTTACACAAATGACCTCCCGAAGTCACAACTTTGTGACATCTGGGACACTGTGTCGGCATTGTTACACTGTATGTGCAAGAATGTACAAACGTATTAAACGGTAGTTTCCCCTTTATTAATAAGGGGTTTTCGCGAATGAAAGATCCGCTAGATGGCGGGACGTGGATGTGGGGTCTGACTGCTGCGTGATTGGTGGATTTTGACATATCTGTCAATGTAATGATAAAAATAACCAATCATGCAGCATTTGGACCTCGCGTCTACGTATTGCCATCTGGCGGATTTTTCATTCGCGAAAACTCTAACTTCATCACTTTTTCTGCAAAAGACTTCTTTTGCCGCATGACGCATCAAATCCGATGGAGAAGTTCTGGCACAAATAGCAATTATTTAGCAGTGCTGCCAGTCACGACGCATAACTGTTAAACAATTTATTCTAAATACCCGCACATACGAGTATGTATAATGTTCACCTGGTAAGTGTTAGCTGGGCACAGCGGCGCTCGAAGTCGTACCCGATGGAAAAGTTCTGGCACACGTAGCAGTCCTTGGCAGTACTGCCGCTGCAGCCACCGAGACACGACGCGTTATGACAAAACGATACATTCTAAATATCCGTACATATGATGTTCACCTGGTAAGTGTTAGCTGGGCACTGCTCGACGCAGCGGCGCTCGGAGCCGTAACCGATGGAGAAGTTCTGGCACACGTAGCAGTCCTTGGCAGTACTGCCGCTGCAGCCACCGAGACACGACGCGTTATGACAAAACGAATCATTCTAAATATCCGTACATAATAATATGATGTTCACCTGGTAAGTGTTAGCTGGGTACTGCTCGACGCAGCGGCGCTCGGAGCCGTAACCGATGGAGAAGTTCTGGCACACGTAGCAGTCCTTGGCAGTACTGCCGCTGCAGCCACCGAGACACGACGCGTTATGACAAAACGAATCATTCTAAATATCCGTACATAATAATATGATGTTCATTGTTCACCTGGTAAGTGATAGCTGGGCACTGTTCGACGCAGCGGCGCTCGGAGCCGTAACCGATGGAGAAGTTCTGGCACACGTAGCAGTCCTTGGTAGTGCTGCCGCTGCAGCCGCCGAGATACGACGCGTAAGTATAGAACTATTTGTTACAAATATCCGTAGATATAATGTTCACCTGGTAAGTGTTAGCTGGGCACTGCTCGACGCAGCGGCGCTCGGAGCCGTAGCCGATGGAGAAGTTCTGGCACACGTAGCAGTCTTTGGCAGTGCTGCCGGTGCAGCCGCCGAGACACGACGCGTTGCAGCAGCGCCCGTCGGCCGTGCAGCCGTGCTGCGGCTCGCACTCGATCGGGCATACTGCCACAATACCACACTTGTTACAAAAACAACCATGTTAACACACTAAAGCCACCATGGAGTTATATGGAGATGTTCGATAATTTAACAATAATAAATACACATTTCAGCATAAATATACCTAAATGAAAATGATTAATTTTAGGTTTAAAGTTCAAAATATTTCCCTTAAAATTGATTACTATTCCATAGACGTAGAGAGTCTTCAAGATATTCTAGCTAAAGCAACAGATTTAAGTATATATACTAAACGTAAGCAAAATGAGAGCGTTTTGGGAAATTACATCACAATTTCCAAAGTTTGGAGGCTAGGTAACTAAATTACTTACAAGTGCCCTGAAAAGGGCACAAATGAAGTATTTGAATTGATATTAGCATCAAATAAATTAAAAATTTAATTAAAGGTTTGATACTTACTGTGCTGACAATGTTTGTCGTCCCAGCAAAGCAGACGGCCCGTAGAGTCCGCTGGACACTGCTTCTGCGAAGGCTTTTGTTCCTTGTTGTTCCTACTTTGCGCATTCCGGCTTTGCGCGTTCGGACACAGGCCGCAAAGTCGATTGTCGTAATTGGACTGAAACAATCAGATAACAGTAAAAATAACCGTATGGCCTTAGTGCTTAGGCATTGCTGTATGTAAAAAAGTACTCGATGTTTTTGCAAGAAAAAAATCACTCTTGGTAAGTAGTTACGACACTACAGTGAGGTAGAGTGCATTTCATGTGTACATTATACAACACATACTTACATTGATTTTAATATTAGGCAGATCATTTTCGCTCACAATCGCACTCCAATTTATCGTGTTGGTATAACACAGTCGATCGTTGAGTTGGATTCGAACGGCACCCCGTTCAATCTTCGTCAAAGAGCGGAGTCCCAGTGACTGAAAAAGAAAGAGAAATTAGTTTTATTATAATGACTCTACCATAATACACATTTATGATAACGTAAAATTAGTTAGAGAAACATACCTCAAGATGTGCGCTGTCATAAATCACAATAGCATAATCTTTATAGAGCTGCAACCCTCGCACTACAGTCAGATTCGGAAATATATCGCCAAGGTTGCGTATGCCTTTCGCTCTAGAACAAAACAAACAATAATAAAACAGGTCGCTGTTATTAAAACAAACTAGGTAGATAAATAAAATTATTCCTAGCTTTAATTTTAAGTACACAATCGCGTGAATAGGCGGTGAAACGATAAATGAGAAAGTACATATACCTACTAACTAATGTTATAACAAACCTAACATAAATAAATTGTAGACATAATATAGTTAACAATATTATATGAAATTCATATCGTGGAATATTTATCCCAGCTGGCCACTCGACAACACTTCGTTAAACATTCTCATTGGCTTTCATTGAGATGAAAATTAATGTAATTGAATTTACTGCTGTGTTTAAATTTATACGATGACCGAACCCGCATACCTGTAAATCTTGATGAAGTCTGTTACCTCCCTGAGTTCAGGGAAGGATATGTTCTCGAAGGACTTGGGAGTTGCGTGCTCCATAAGCACTATGCTTAGCTGGCCCTCTATCACTTGGCAGCCCCGTAGCTTCTGCATGTTCTCCGGGGAGCCTCTTATATCCAAAGATGGACATACTGTGGACAAAATAAAAAAATACTTAGTTAATTTCGAAGTGAAGGTTTATCTGAAAGGTCTAAACTCTCTTATTCATATTTCGACAGTCGAAGGCTTTAAAGAGGTGGACCCTGACCTTTAAGTTTAGATCAATGTGAGCGTAGAAAATAGAGCTTTCAATGTTTAGTAAATATCCTACGTATGAAGTACGAACCTATATGCACAAAAGAACTTGAGTGTTTACCTAACCAACTAACCATATATGTAATTAAGCCAATAAAAATAAACGTACTTAATTAGCGCTGATGAATTTGTTATTGTTTTCACGGACGAGCCACTTACTCATATTTGTTACAAATGACCCCCCATGAAGCAAAACCGTCAACAGACCACATGCGAGCTTGACATGCTTTTTGATTAATTATCGCCAATGAGAAATCAATAGACCTAAGCTGTTACGTACCATTGATCTGAGCAATCAATAATTATTCCGGATCACACATAATGTTCATTAGTTTTACAATCATTTAATTTAAAATAGCTAATCGGAAAACAATTATAAATTGCGCAATTTTATAACTGGACACTATTAGAGACTAGGTACCTCATTTCCATCAGTGCTTTGTTTTTTAAAGTTTACAATATACCAATGACCAATGTAGACTTGCTTTTTTTTGTAGAGTTTACTGACTAAATATGAAATACACTGGAATGGAAAAACTCCGTCTCGCAAAAAGTCACTTGTCTTGGCCGGCAGTCGAACGACCCAATACAAAACATCCTGTATATTATGTTATTTATCATCACATAATTAAATACATGACCAAGCTCAAGGTAGAGTCATTGATACTCAAAAAAAGTAGGTATTTGACAAAGTAAGTATACATATTATTATATCAGTTTAGTGAGTGTATATTTGGGATTTAAGTAGAGTTCCTTAGCTGTTGTGAAAATATCTGCTGATGTTTTCCTTAATTACTTATAAAACTATTATTAACATCACGAGCAAGTAAGAAACTCATTAGCCGCAGTGGCGGACGTTGTTTACTCGAGGTCTAATAACAATTAAAACGGCGTCAATGCGTATAAATAACTGATCATAATTCATGAGTGAAACAAGAGGCGAGCAAGGCCGTGCAGAATTGCGTCGTTTCTTGTGAGTACTAAATTCCCCCCCCGCCCTGGGTGAAAAGCCTGCCACACTCCACTGAGGGAGAGCCGAGTAACAAGAGTTGGTCTGAAAGAGCGAGGGATAGGCTGGATGAAACACGCATGCGCACTAAAAGCGCGGGATTGTAATTCAAGATGGCGCTTCGATGTAAGTAAACAATGCGGCATGACTAAATCTCGTAAAGTCGCATGGCGTATAAATCCATGATGTAAGTAAATAGGTTCCTATAAATGATATTACCACGGCTCCATCAAATATGCACTACAAAACGATAAAATATTAATAAGATGCAAACTACGATTGGAAGAAAACATACTAGTACCCAGACAAACAGGAAATACGACAGCATTGCAGTGTAGTTAATACCTACTCGTTTTAAATTTTTTCAAACCACTCAGGTTTAAATCGTTTTGTAAAGAACTCAATTAGCTAGGACTTCCTAGCCTAGTAGTTCACATAACAGACAACTATTGCCGGAGGTCGCGGGTTCGAAATATATCGGTCTAAAATTGTAACCAGCTTGTAGCAAAAATCTGAAAACACGTCATAGTACAGCCAGCCGGTGCATTGCGATGCAAATGAACTCGCCGCATAGACAGCCCCGCGTCCCGCAGCCCTCGGCGACTCCCCAGCGGGTATTTATAGAGCATGGAATGTTATTGTTTTATACCACTAGTGATGGTCATTGATCTAACTAAGATGTACAACTTTTGCGTAAAAATGGCGCGTAAGATTAATGCGACATGCCTTAAAACAGTATTTATAGAGCATGGAATGTTATTGTATTATACCACTAGTGATGGTCATTGATCTAACTAAGATGTACAACTTTTGCGTAAAAATGGCGCGTAAGGTTAATGCGACATGCCTTAAAACAAGTCAAGCCAGTCTGGTTTAATAATTACTTGCAGTAGCGGCGTAAGGGGGAGGGCGGTGGGGGCGGTCCGCCCCGGGTGCCAAGCATCAGGGGGTGACAAAAGTCGCGCAGATTAGTACTCACTGACGCATCTGCATGGCAAGGACGGTCGTGATGTCATGACAGGGGGGTGCCATTCTGGGGTGCCTTAGGCTATAATTAGACGAGGGGGGAGGGGGGGGGGGGGAGTGCCGCCCCGGGTGCCAACCTATGCTACGCCGCCACTGATTACTTGATTGATTAGTTAACTATCAATGACGAATTGATGACAGCGACCACAAAGTCAATAGTGTCAATAATAAACATTTTAACGAGACTACATTAATGAATGAGAGAGCCATTATTATTTTAAGTAGGATTACAAATATTTTCCACTTGGCGGTGAAGGTGTTTAGAATTTGCCTTGTTACTTTTGCGACGATTATGTTATTTATTACCTACATATCGCGATAACCACGATAATATAATATTCCTAAAGTGAAAAGAGTATTTTTTCCATGCCTTCGTTTGGTGACGAGCTAAAAGTAACTGAACTGTCATTATAAATTATAATATTGAACGCAATTCAACTGACTCTACACCCGCGCCGCGTACTACGCCGCCACTACAGCTTCACCGCTCGCCCTTACCCCTCACCCCTGTACCACTCAATAGAGCCTCGTTCTAAGTAGAGCGATCGCGAAGCAACACTGCAGTTATTGCCCTATTGCGTTGTTTGTTCAGAAAGGCCTGTCAGAAATTGTAGAGCCTGAAACATTGAAAGTCTAATGACCGTTTTCATCATCAATCCTTAATTTTTAAGTGACCCCTATGAAAACAAAATTACCGTTATATGTTACCTACTCTCCAATCTTACGTTTTAGTGGTACAGAAGATATGAAGTCGAGTTATTAATGGTGCATTCTGCGCCACTTTTACGATTACTATAAAATTAAATGAATGTCATTCAGCTCACCCTACAACGTAGATTGCAGGATAAACAATGAGTAATGCAATAGTACGAGATGTATGTACGAGTATGCATGTGCCTATACAATCTTACAATCACGTCATTGAATTATATTATTTATGTAGGTATGTACTTAATTTTATTATACGATATACTATCTGACTCAATGACTTAAGTGGATAAGTACATAGCATTGCGTAGGCAGTTTAGTTTATCTATTATCGAAATGATATCAAATTCTATTTGCCCGTTATTGTATAGTTCGGCAGTAAAAAATATTGTATAAATCCAAGCAAAGTGCCCTGTAGTCAATTCGAGTTCGTTACTTCTCCGAGTTAAAAAATATTTTAAAAATATTTTTTCAAATTCAAATCCTATATTGCTCCAATGTTGGTATATAAAGGTTGAATTTTTAAACTTGATCAAATTGAAACTACCTAAGTGTCATTGTACATTGTCTAGGACACAGCGATTGCAGCATTTGCTAGCATTGATAGACACCATCTAATCGTGTCAAACTTTTGAATGCGTCGACTCCAGACGCAATAGAAAATGAATCGAATCCATGTGGACAACAATTCACTTCTATTTTCATAGCGAGCTGGATATTAGGTCGCTGACATGAGTGACAGCGACAGATAAACCAGAAAGTACGGAAATCACGGTAGAGAGTAGCAATAACCGCATACGAAATATTAAATAGCACGCGCACGAATAATGCAATGACACGGAGGTGTAAAAATAAATTACTGGGAAAATAATATTGTAGAGATACTTGACATATTGATGTATTGTAATTGTTTATAGAGTCCTTACAAGCTTATAATCGCTAAACCGGCAGTAGATTGACATGGATTGTTATGCTGCTGTTACACAACTGCAGCACATCATAGAATTACATTATGACATAAAAGGCAAGCAGAGAAAGGTCTGTTGACTAATTGAGCAGGAAAATACGATTACTGTAGGAAAAGCAGTCAATTAAGTAAATAATTAAGCAATTAATTCGTGAAGCTTCCGCAATACAGTATAAAATAATTCATAAATATGTACAGAGTTATTGTATTATAATTGACGTTTTAAATTATTAGGTCAATGACAACAGACCTTTCTCTGCTGCTGTTTGCTTTAACATTGCTGATCGGTTCGATTAATAATAACCAAGCGTTATAAAAGTGGAAATCCCCTTATAAATTAATTTTAATACATTACATACAGGGTCTATCTAGAATTACCCAAGTATAGGCTCTAACTGTAATTAGTTGGCCATAGAAAAACTGTATTAAATCCTGCTCTTTTTTAGTTCTCGGGGTTGTTAGTAAAATGGAATAAGTTTTAGTTTGTTTAATGTTTATATTACATTACTTTAGGTAAAGTTCGTGTCAATTGTCACAGCACGCTCCATGCTGCTGCCGACGCAGAAGCGCGGGCGCAACTCTATTTCCGACTTGTGCGTGACTCACTGCACTTTCACTGCAAATAGAGCTGCTCGTCTACCAACAATTGCTGTCACTATTACATTTAATAAACCAATACGTTCATAGACATTCATCGACTGCATCGGACGCCTGCCCACATGCGCGGTGGAGCGGACGTCCGCTAATCCAAAACAATTTAACTCTTCGGATCTTAGCTCTTGCACGGTTAATGCGCAAACATTCAGGCTCGAAATATTATGATTCCTGTTACACTTATCTATCTAGAATGCTTTTGGTTTAGCCAGTTCTACTCTCGAAAGTCGGTGAGCGTGACGTGCTTGATGTAGAACACGAAATGAAACGCTTGAGGCGGATTATGAGTCGAAGTTAGGAGGTGTGATCCTCGCTGCGCTGGCGGTGCGTCTCGGTACGTTGATTTATGTTTCCGGTGTCTGAATGAAGATATCAGTGATCGCCTCACATGTTACGGCGTGTGGTACGAATACGATCATACGACCATCGCACGTTCATTCATAATATGCACATTGTCATGTGAACACATTATA